ATGCATCTTGAAATATACTATAACGAGGAAAGATGCGTCTTGGCTCAGTCATTGGATCGCGGGGTCCCCAGCGAACACCGTCAAGACGGTCATCGACCCGTCCTTTTGACGTTGGGATCGTCGACTCTGCGCCTGCCCCTCGTTCCCGGAAGAATCCCGCCGAGGCCATCGAGGACTATTCTTACTCTCCCTTACTACACGTGGTACAATCGATGCTGATCGTCGAATTTTCTACACCTTCCAGCTTCCCCGTTAGGTTTAACATACATACCGTAGTGTATTCTGGACTCGAGATGAAGCCGGATCGTCGCCTTCCAGCCCGTCTTAGACTCCGTAATCACTCGTTGCATAGGAAGGAAGTAATACGATTGACACTCTCGCAATCTTGTAATCACACCAATAGGGATTGGATATCACTATAGAGGATGAGCATCATGAGATATTTGCTCATCACCTTATACACCGTGTCTCGTCACCTCCGACTATGCTCAATATGTATGATGTCAAGTGCGTGACGTTCGATACGCTATCAAGGCAAGATAGGAGCGAAGGGATTGTCAGCGCGACAAAATGCGAACTGCGGGAATAATCAAGCATGCCATTACATTTACTACCCAGGTAGGAAGATGGTAAAATAATTAAAATTGTAAAGTCGTAAAGCGCAAGGTCGTCAAGTGTGGTAATTAGCATCGCGGAGTTGTAGCCAATGATCGATCCCAAGGGCAGCAATATTCATTTATTTGAGTACCTCCCTTTCAAGGAGTGGCGGAGTAGTTATCTCACCGACATCATACCAGGCCCTAAGTACTTGTTACAGCCGAGGTGAGGCACACGAAACAAACAGCAGCATCACTCTACGTCAGGATCGGCATCGTTAATCTATTTAGTCTATGCTATAAACAACCAAATGGGAATGATAATAGATAAGGTAAAAAGATGTGGAAATGAGGAGTTCATATCATCCAGCAGCTTGGGAAGGGTTGAGGCCCGAAGCACATAAGGTATGCAGATCGGGGCGTGGAATATTAAGAATTTGGTACTCGATTTAGAAGAATTTGACCATCAAACATAGACTCCACCGAAAGAGTAGCAAGTTTCTTCGCTTGCCGTCATGAGCGACTTGAGATCTACTTGTTAAACCGTGCCCGGTTGCGTAATTGGTGCCGATCCGCGAAGCCATGCGGAGCGGCTACCTACCAAAAAATACGTGTAAATGCCTACTAGTTAAGAACAATAATAGCGAGCTTCCCTATTGGTGCGCCCGACGATGCGGTTCGGATCCAGTTGACTCAATTTTTATCAGCCTCTCTGTTTCACGGCGCTCCCTTACGCATCATCAATTTCATCAGTGGCTCAAAGAACTTTCTAGCCCTTAACTTCACACGTTTCTCCCGGACTCGCTCATCACCATCATCGTTGCCCCTAGCCCAGTGGAGTGTGTTTCTCCTTTATTGACGTGACCTACAGCTTACATACTACGTACACGCAGCATGGAGAAGCTATCTCTTCGTGCTACCGTCATCGGAGCCCTTGCTCCTCTCATATCTATGAACCCGTTAGACATCGGAACACAGTAATCGCGCTACCTCGACCCGCCGGCCGCCAGCATGGACGGTCGACTCATCGGGACCAGCCACTAGTAAAAAGGGGTTTCGGCTAGCCGCCGGCCATATTCCCGAACGATTGGTATCACCTACTTAGCAAGTAAGGTTGGTCAAGCAATCAGAATCATCTTTGTCAACATGTCTAGCTCTCTGACGACCTTGGACCAACGTCAGGTCTAGATTGACAAGCTGTATCCTAGCACAGCAGTGGTAAACAGACTGAGACTTTGCCTTAATCGCAGATACCTGCCTAGGTAATCTATCTATCTACTGTACATACTTTATCGCTATGACCAAAACCGTGGGGACGCATGAAGCAATTTGCCGCCAAGTTGAGACAACATCCCGTACGCGCTGTGAAGAAACGTGGCACAGCGTCGGTACTAGTAGTAATATCTTAGGATCTGTTGGCCCCCGTATCGTTGCGTGTAATGCGTGGCTCAGTTTTCGTGTCTTTTGCGGTCTGAGACTCCGTCACTTACTCACCTGTACAAACCAGGTCAGACCGTCAATTGCATGCGATCTCTATTCCCGGTAGATACCTAGTTGCCTACCAGCCAGCCAGCCAGCGCGTGGCCTATGAGTCGGACCTGGGGCTGAGCCTCAAGGCGGCGACCTCTTATCTGACCTGCAGGGCACGCATGAATTTGGGCGATATATTTAGAATTTAGACGCGATTTCTCAGCATAGTAGCAACATCAATAATGCAAAACATCCAAACACTGCGACTCAACTCGATCACGATGTGATGCTGGCGTGTGTGTATGACCACCCCACGATTGTCGCCGTTGGGAACGAGCGAATATGAATATCTAGTTGCATCCTCAAACCCGTGATGCACAGTGGCGGCGGTAGCAACAATAACTGTAGCAGAAGCACAGCCTCTGGTGACGCATCTCGTCCGTCCGTGCCTCTCTTTCCCTCCAACCCCGCCGCGGGTCACGGCAGGGAACCGACGCACTTCGTCGGGTATCCGCATAGCGTTTTCTCACCTGGTCTGGGGTCTGTTCGCAGTCTCAGCTCCCAAGCCTTGATTATCGTATAGGTTACATTGTAGAACATGTGCGTAGTAACTACCGGGGTCTGTTTGTGCTTGGGACTCTAGCCAGATCTTACTTTTTGGTTCCCGGATCTATAATCTCAGCCTCACTTTGAGGTTTTGGGAGAGGGTGTGGCTAGTTACTATGCGGTGCTCTGGTAATCAATTACAATAAGGGCTTTCCTTGCGGGAATATGCTACGGTACCGATCTACACCCACCACCTTGTCATCAACTATTAGGACATGATGTGTAACAATGGCGAAAATAGGGGCACAAGTAAATAAAGACTAAGAATAACCAATTCTGGTGGTATTCCTCATTTGTGATAAAGGCCAAGTCATAGAGATACCAGATTATTAGACGCTTAATCCTAAGGTAGCCCCCATATTCCTTTCTAACTGCCTTCTGGATAGTAGATGATATTCCTACGTTGACGAATGACTTGACAAATCAGCTGTGCGATAGCTGAGGCCGCCGAATTGCATGATGTTGATCGAGGGCAGACGCAGAAGAACCGTCTAGGCAAACAACTAGGTAACGGAAAAGGGTGGCTAGTAAAAATAGCTGTATTAGGGGTCCTCGATGCTATTTGGAAGAGGCTCAACCAGAATCTCTAGTCGAGTAGGACAACCGAACTCCCCCCTTTTCCCAACCCCCCAACCAAACTTACGGGTGAGGTGGTCGCGGTGAACTGCATCCCTCGCATCTCGTAGCGCCCGTAGACCCCCCTGAATTGATACATCACGCTCTACAGACGAAGGAAGGACAAAACCTAGAAAACGGGCAGCCGGGTCTGCTGCATGCTACAATGAATCTCTAGCAACATGTTTGTGCCCTTTCCATGCGTTGGCGCCGGACTGAATATTCCTGCTGTGGACGTCTGCATTCCTACTCTTACCGGGCGCTATCCACGTTAGTCTCCTCTATGTTTATTGATCCTGTTGGTTAAAGGGGTTGTATCCATCGAGACCGAGATTTGTAAGTCGACGAGAATAGGGGCGTAATGGGCGTACAGCCCTTGATCCGCAACGTGACTTGGATGGCAAGGTAGCCTCGTAAACGGCCCCAAAAGTTATGAGATACGTAGGAACACCAGATCACCGGCACCTTGTAAAGGAATATATCATATGGCGGGTAGGTTACTATGATAGCACATAAATCATGCTGAAGTGGCGCTTGTGAGAGTCCAACAGCACCACGATGTCACCACCGGTAACGCAAAGTCACTCACCCCAAACATTGTCCTACTAGGACACAATACCGTCACCCGTTACGGGAACTGAATTACACCCGCTATTGACTCATACTTTTATGACTAACACATACAAGGAATCGTTTTCGGGGAAAGGCTAGGCCGCTGTTAACCAGTGTTACTAGAAATGGGTTAATTTTCGACGAAACGCGAATATCCTCCTAGATACCCAGGGAGATATGTCATGATTTGCGATATTCCAGTTGGAATTAGTTAGGTGATGGGATTAAGGAAGCCATTCCACTAGGCGAAAGCCGACGCCAAGGGGACGAGAGATCCTTCGGGTAAGTCCCGTACCAACTACCATACCAACCCCAAATCGCGACTTTCGCAAATTCACTACATATGGGAAAGGTGGCCACTTAGATATTGTGGTCCTGGAAGCCGTAAGGATTACCTATCCCTAGCAAGCCACTCGCATGAACGCCCGCGCCTAAACCCAACACAAGATCCTTCACGGGTTTGTCGAGCACTAAGGCTGACGTGCTAACGAAAGAAGAGAAACTGGAAACAAATGCGCAGGATCCTCTTCCGGGAACCCATATCGCTCTAACTATGTCGAAATGGATAGACAAGACTTGGCCCTAACCCGGTATTTCGTGCCGTTGGATGGATATACGGCGTTTGGCTTCTCTAATCATGAGTAAGCGTTTTGTGTGATATCTCATTTTGCAGTGCGCTGACATATACGAACATAGAATCATACTGGGTTTGACTGTTCAATTACTTGTTCTATAATTTTTTTTTTAAGGAGGCCTGTCGTCTATTACCACCCTTGCATGAATAATTTAGCTTCAGTGATCATATGTATATCATGATATGTATAGCCCAAACCCCCAATCATGAAGACGACATACCAGGCGCTAGGAACAGAGCCAAGCTAGGAATGACGCATCATTCGAAGAGTCCCAGAAACTGTCGTACTGCTAGCGACGAGCCTCCCGACGCGGATTGCACTGTTGCATTGAATGCTACTATAATAGTCCAAGATTACCCTAATATTATTCCAAGGGGCCCTTTGCCGTCTGCAAGTGAGGGTTGCATGCAAGACCATTAGTGGGACCTATTAAATCAATCTATCTTCGGAGTACCCTTTCCCGTTTCTATCGTAGGGGACCAGTCTGCTTAGTCGTAAAGAAAGGGTGTTTTAGAGCCTCAGATGGAGTGATGCGCTTGTCGGGATTGAGAGTGAGACATCGCTCGAGGAGATCTACGAAGTGGTTTAGATCCCTAGACTCCACATCGTTCATCCCCCCAGAAGCAGCCATAAGGCGAGTGCGAAGGTCACGGGTTGGCTTGACGATAGCTAAGGTCCGTACTGTGGTCTGTGTCTCAGTCGTTAGTTTGCAAAATTTGCATCAATGATATTCAAGCTTGAAAAGTAATGTGCAGTAAAGGGTATTAGACGCGGGGTTCAACGGAAAATAGGATCAAGCTAGTGATTGAAGTTGGTTGGCGGCGTCAGCTCAACGCCGTAAGATCCGGGGTATTACTCAGGTCGTAAGCGTGGTGTTGTATGTATGTATGTGTATGTACTCTAACCTGAGACAAATGATAACGCGATATGATCGTAGGATTCCGGGCACTCGTCCCTTGCCTAAAGTGGAAAAATCCCAATTGTAGACATTGGGTGAGTCTGACGAGGATCATGGTGCGGCTGGCAGCAATTCGACTGCACACGCTTTGATGTGACCCGCCTGCAGCTTGCAGCCGTACCCCGGTACCCGCAGCCGCTTGGGCTACCAGAAACGCGTTCAACCATACGCCGTATATAAATAGAAACTTGAGGGGTTTGCCAATGTTTCCCTAGCATGGTATGGACGGAAATGATTCGCGAAGTAGAAAATATTAACATACCTTACCAAGTGCCTTATCTCTTTCAAGGCTAACGAAGTTACCGAAGTCATCAAAATGCATGTGAGATAGCTGACCACGCTTGTACAACTTGGTGCTAAACTTGCCGCGGATTTCCATGATCGCCTTTAGCATCTGGTTGTTGCTATCGCCCGTAAATAGAATCTTTCCGGTGTAAAGTTCGTACAATGTGCAGCCAATAGACCACATGTCGACGGCATAGTCGTACGGCATTCCAAGGATAATCTCTGGAGCTCGGTAAAATCGACTGACCAGGTACGGTGTGATTTCATTATTCGCAGTTGCAGCATCCGATCTATCAATAGCCGTACCCAAATCACAGATCTTGAGCACATTGCGATTTTCATTGACCTGTATGAAATTAGTAACGACCCAGCGTATGAATCTGCATGTTGTGCTTACCAAAATATTGTCCGGTTTTAAATCGGCATGGATGATACTGCATTTGCGAAGATGAGCTAAGGCGACAAATATCTGATGTGCATAGGCGCGTGTCGCACTTAGATTAATGCCAATATTATTACCGAACTTCCTCAAGACCTCTCTCAGGTTCAAACTGAGGTTCTCAAACGCTAAACAAAGGTGGCCCTTATGTTCAAAATAGCGCTCAAACTTGACGATGTGCTTACGGTTCTCAGGATCAGCTTCGTTTAACTTTTGCAAGATCGCGATTTCAGTAAAACCTCCTTTCCTGAGAGCGTCGTTATTCCTCATCATCTTGATGGCAACTAGTTTCTTCGTTGTGATATCGACAGCTCGCGCAACACCCGAAAACATGCCTTTACCTAGGGTAGTCTGAACTTGGTATCGACCGTCCATGATTTCGCCGATACGGATTTTGTAATATCCGTCTTTGTCGTCGCCCTCGAGAATACCGCCAGCGTTAGCCTGAACAAGGGTAACGGGAACCTTGCGGTCGTCCTCAACAGCATCTAGATGGGAAGGTTTAGGTGCAGCAAATTTCTCTTCGTCGAAATCTTCGGCAAACATATCAAAATCATCATCGTCATCTGTTTTGGGTTTCTCCGGCCGCTGCGGCTCTTCTACTGGTGCAATTTCAGATTTTTGGTTAGTAGGCAGCACCTCTCCATGGGGACCAATATGGCCATGTCGGCGCTCGTCTCGTAACTCATCCTCTCTCATGTCGGCTGTTGGATCGTAGTCTGCTGCGGAAGGCCCATCGTCATCAGTACCCTTGAATTTACCATGAGTGTTGATAAGTTCTTGATCATTAGATATATCGATGGCAGCTGGTGACATTCCTTCCTGAAGCCCACGGGCTGGTGAGTTTGGCGACGAAGTATCTGTTATAGTGTTAGGAACTTTTCAGTTTAGTCGCGAGGTTAAATGTGACTTACATGTCTGGGGTGTGTTTCCTTCGGCGACCATAGGTGTGCTTGCTCGTGTTTGGCTCGGCGATGATACGTCCGTTCCTCCTGAAGCTTGAAGAGCTTGTACTAGCATTGGCGTACCAGCGCGTCTTTTGGCGAGCATTTCTTCGCGACGTCGGCGTCGGCGTTCTATTTCCGCATCTTCATCAATAGGCTTTTCCTCTTCGTAGTTTTTCTCCGGCTCATTGGATTGAGCTGGTGGATCCCTAGGAGTAGTTTCTTCTGAACTACCTGGCGCACGTTTAGTGTCATCTCTGCCAGTATCTCTAGTTCCCATAGGTGCATATTGCTCAGAATACTTTGAATGATCTTGATAATGTCGAGGAGTACCCTGTCGGCTGGACTTAACGCTTTCTACATCGTCTCTATCGGAAACGCGTTGATGTCTGCCATCGTCGCGTCGCGGCCGACCACCTCGGTGTCGTTCGCCCCGCGGCGGTCGAGGTGGAGAACGGGTGCGATTTCGCGGTCGCTTCTTAGGATGACGGTCACGGTCTCGGCTTCTATCTCTAGGTTTATTGCGGACAGCGTAGTCTCGGTCCCTATCATCGTAGTAAAGGCCGGCCGTTGATGAGCGTGAACGGGGGCGATCTTCGTCATCGTAGGATAAGAGCGAGCGGCGATGATTATCGGTAGAGTCCTCGTAGTGGACGCGAAATCGTCGGGGGTCTGCGTCTAGACGGCTACCACGATGAGAATCGCGATCATCGCGAGGGCGTTTATGGCCGCGAGGCGAGCGACTTCGTCGGGAGGAGCCGTTAGAATATCTCGAGCCGTTTACATACTCGGGTGATCTTGATCTTGAATATCTAGCTCGAGTTCTGTCCATACGGTCAACACCGGTTCCTTCAAACTGAGGCAGTGGAGTTGCCTTCGAGTCTCCAACTCCGTTCTCCACAATCTCCCCCTCGTCAGAACTGGCAGCAGGAGTAGCCATTTTGCTCACTATATTCAGGAATAAAAAACCTCGGAAGTACGGATGGCTTCCGGGATCTTTAGATTAGGGGAATGCGTGTCAGCCACAACTACGTCAACTGCAAGAGGTACAAGAATTGAGCCGAACCGTCAAAGCGTCTTTTCAATTCCGTCGCATCGCAAGATTAGAGCACCGAAGATGCGAATGTGACTGGATAGGTAGATAGATATATGGGAATTTTATTCGCGCGAGGTATTGTGTGATGTGTCGAGTTGTGAATAACTTCTGATTACGAGTCAGGAGTTGGCGTAAGGGAGATGGAAGTTGTTGATCCGTGGGATTTGAATCGACGCAAGTGTGAAGTTTGTAGGTGATGACGAAGTGATAAAACGACTCACGTTAGAAGGCTACTTACAGTCAGCGCCCTGTACCTTACCTAGCCCGTGCCACCAACAAACCTTGGAACCTTACAAGAAAAAATAGGAAGGAATTATGTATCGCCGAGTCCGAGCCAGCACAGAACAGGCACGACCTACTTCTAAATCATTAGATAAGGTTATCTGTAAACTTTTTATGCCCGTGCGTTTAGTGTTACCAGCGTATTGGGCTTAGCGTGATTTAGTCGGTTCTAGCGTTGGACCCCTTCTAATTGGTCTTATTCTTCTGCCCCGCGACCAAGTACCTAGCCGATTGTTCCAGACTCAAAGGTGTTTCTATTTCTTCTTGCGACAGCCTTTTCTTCCGCCAACCACCTCCAACGGATAAATCAAACCGCCTGCTACTTCGTGCAAATATACCAACATCAGATACACTAGCGCAAAAGCAACTCTCTCCAAAATGGGTGGCCAGAACAGAGAAGGTATTCTTCCGACTCCGTCCCGCGATTCTCTGCGATATTTGCTAACACCGATATTTTCATTAGGCGGCAAGGTCAAGCCCTTGAAGGCTGCCAAGAAGCAACAGAAGGACCTCGACGAAGATGACAAGGCCTTCCTCGAGAAGAAGAGAGCCGGTATGATTGTCCACTATCGGGTAGTACACGGTCAATTACTAACTTGGATTGAACAGACGAGAAGGCACGCGCAGAAATGGCTAAGAAGGCTGGCGGCAAGGGACCGATGAACAGCGGTAGCCAGGGCATCAAGAAGAGCGGCAAGAAATAAGATATTCGCCTTACGATTCGACCGAATCCACGAAGCCATGACGCTCGAGAAGATAAATGCATAAAGCGTGGGCGCTTGAGGATGGATAATGACTTTTCATACTGCTACTGGGTTTCATGGGAATAGTTTTACGCAATGACTATCAATAGAGTCTTCTTTTTTACCTGATATGTCGTGGAACCTATGATTCGCAGAGAATCGTATGTTTTACCTCGGTGAAAACTTCACATCCCGTCCCTATTAGTATTAGCACTAGGCAGGGACCATGACCAACCAAGTGAAAGCAGCTGTCAACCTCGGAAGCTTGGTCTGACTATCCCGGCGCCACAATTCAATCTCTCAACAAAACGTATCCGACTTACTCAACCCAACAATTATTTCAAGAAAACAAATATCAATCAAAATTCGAAAAAATTACCTATCGCAATTGTTACCTACACATCTAATAATAGCCCTAGATCTTCAATCGGACCAAACCTACGGTTGAATCCGGAACCCTTCCTTACTACACCATGGCCGACACCGAGCCATCCCACCCTAGCTCCGGGCTCCGGAAACGGCGTTCGTCCTCAACGTCCTCAGCCTCGGCACTTACACACACAGCAAAAGAAGTAGAACGCAAAATTGCCTCGACCCTACTCATTCTCTGGGACGACCTAAGCCCATGGCGGCGCGATAACCATTTCATCCTTTCGGGATATCGACCGGACAGCAATAGCTACTACCGGTCCTTCACCTCGCTCTTTTATGTGCACAATGAATCCGTCAATATATGGACGCATCTTCTTGGCGCATTGTTCTTCCCTTCCATCGGAGCTTGGTTATATCACGTCATTGCGCTTCGGTATGCTTCAGCGAATAGCTCGGATGTCCTTGTGTTCTCGTGTTTCTTCGCCGGCGCTGTGTTGTGTCTTGGTATGAGCGCTACATTCCGGTATGTATGAAAAATACTATAAGCACTCTATCTAGATTATTCGTAAAATATTCGTTGCGTTTTCGTAGTTTACTAATTAGTGAATAGTAAGTGTCCCATTACATGAAGTGACAATTGTCAAAATATCTTAAGCCTACATGAACAAGATACCGTACTCGTAAGAGATCCCCGTAAGAATCTAACATGTAACAGACGCCATATCAAACCATTCCGAGGAGGTCGCGAAGTGGGGAAACAAGCTCGACTACTCCGGCATTGTATTCCTCATCGTAGGGAGTTACGTCCCAGCTCTTTATTATGCCCTATTCTGCCAACCTAAGTTGATGACATTCTACCTATACGGGGTACGTATATCTCGATTCTGGCTGTTCCCAAAACAATTCTAAGATGTATCTCCTTACAGATATTCACCCTAGGGCTTGGCTGTGGCCTAGTATCCTGGGTCGAACGTTTCCGTACACCACGCTGGAGACCCTACCGAGCAGCTATGTTCGTCGGTTTGGGTGTTTCTGGTGTTGTACCAGTTTGTCACGGACTAAGTATCTACGGCTACCAAGCCTTAGAAGAACGTATGGGTCTCAATTGGGTCTTATTCCAAGGGTTCTTATACATCTTCGGAGCTTTTCTTGTAAGTACAACTACGAAAACTTTGGTGCTAGGGAATTATTTCCTGAATGACGAATGCTGATCTTCGGCAATTTAGTACGCAGTAAGTTACTTGGACAATGATTTTACACTATCACTAGGTACTAACGCCCACAGATTCGATGGCCCGAGCGAAGCTTCCCGGGGACTTTTGATATTTGGGGCAGTTCCCACCAATTGTTCCATATCCTCATTTTGTTTGCGGCTGCGTCGCACTTGACTGGTATGGCTAAAGCGTTCGACTATCATCATAGTGTCATGGGCGGGCAATGCTAGAAGACGATTCTCCTGCTGCCACATACCTAGGTACGATGCATTAATGAGCAGTAGTCACATAGATGGAGGTGTCATCGGGAGCATAGACTCGTAAACTGACTAGAAGTCGTTATACTTAGACCATAGGGTTAGACAGACCAGGCTATCATTTGATGTATCTGCTAATTTTTTTTTTTTTTTTCGGGAAAGATAAATTTTATCATGCACTTGAAAAGTTGGAAATATTGAATATCTCGTTAATTACTTTTTTTTAGGTATAGGGTATCGTGTAGGTGAGTAGGCCAAAATTAAAAGGCTTTTCTGGGTATCATTTTAATCTTCCTCCATCTCATCCTCGTAAGTAGGACCATCATAACCTTCGTCAAATTCTTCGGCCATGTCATCCCCTAATTCAGCCTGCTCCAACGACTCGTTATCTTCGTCCGAAATGTCTTCTGATCTCTCGACGCCGAGATCCATAATCCTCACTAACCCAGACCCCATTGCTACCGCGGCCCACCAGCCAAACTCCGCGTTCGGGTTCCAGGATACGGCCGTGATTCGAGTAAGAGGGTCATGGATAATGATAGGGCCCGGAGCCATCACAATATTATCTTCGTCCACCTCCCCCGGATCATCGGATACCTCAGCCTCCTGTTCTTTCTGGGCTTTCTTCTTCTTGTCTTTTCTTGCACGCTTCACCCGACTCTCTTTAGCGATTCTCGTGCCTAGTGGATGGATGTTGACCTGGGGTCGAAAGCCATGGAGAATACGGCATGCACCACGGGGCGCAGGTTGATCCTCGTCCTCATTTGCTGTATCTTCTAGCGGCGTTGGGTGGTATTCGTGTTGGAAAAGTTTCAACTTGTGTGTTGTCTGTCTGTGAGATGCGATTTTACGCATAACGTTAAGGATCCAGACCGAACCATCTGTGCCTCCTGCAAGGAGGAACGGATGACAAGTCCCGAATGTAAGGCAACTTGTCAGACCATCGACAGTACATATATGGCGAGATAATGGGAACACCCGAGAATGGACAAAGGAGATAGATGAAGTTCCTGGATACGATGAAGGCCATATGGACGCGAAACCTCCTATGTGATCGTTCCAAGAAAGTAGGTTCGGCTGGAGAGAAATCAATGGGTTTCCGTGATACGTCTTCTCTGCAGTAGGCCGATTTAGATCGGTTAGGGTGAGCACGCCACCCATTGGCACGGTTGCGACGATAAAGGGACTAGAGGGATAGCCAGATACAATATCCATAATAGGGCTCGAATGAATAGGATGGCGCTGAAGCTGTTGACGAGGTGATAATGACCATATTGTCACCGAACCGTCCGAAAGGGCAACAGCAATGCGGTTCATATTCAACCAAGCAAAGCAGTTGATTTCCAACGTATATTCTTTTGGAGGTTCGATGGCAATCATTGGCTCCTGCAATTCCTCTAGTTTGATGTTAGCACAGGGGCTCCTTGAATTCGATCACGATTATTTACCAAAAACTTCCCTAACTGCGTTTCCTTGGTCACGCTTGATCTCGATTACCCTCAACTTTCCGTCTGCGCACAACACAGCTAATAGAGCCACACCATGACTAAACGTAGGTGGGACAGGACACCATTGCATTCGCAACGGCCTTCCCCAATGGAAGCATATGGTATACGCCAATTTTGGGGAGGAAAGTGCTGGCCGAAGAACACCATTCGAGTCCTTCTCCACTTCACATTTCCAAATTTGGACGGCTCCTTCTTTCAGCTCCGACGCATTTGGTACATCGTTTAGGTCTCTGTGGAATGCTTGATCTGAGTGTGGGATGACTGCCATAGCTAAAAGCTGGTCAACTTGTCCTTTTAGCGGTGCCCACGCCATAGAGAGGACAATTCCTCCCACATCAAGTAACCAGCCGCCATTCTGTGACTCTTGGTTTTCTCCATATGCAATTGGGATCCCCGAATCCGAAAAAGCTATGCTTTCCCTTTGCTTCATAATATATTCCTTTTGATCTGATATATGCCCAAGGAGTACGCTCATATTGCCGTCGGCTTGTGGAATGAACCAGCGGAAGGCCTTGGTTTTGTCAATTAATGTCGATGACTGCGAAACATCCCGTGTAGAAAGATACCTCTCATACCAACGACAAAACTTGCCGTCAAGGTCTTCGATGAAGTTATCCGGCATCCAACTATTTTGTGCCCTCTGTAGTTGACGTGAGTCCTGAGGAAGCTTCGGGGGAAGAAGCTCGAAATTCCACCACAATTTCATGAATTCGTCGAAAGTCTTCCTACAATCAAGTTTATCACCAAACCAGTAGTCTACTAAATCGGCCAGCCGTGTCCACCTCTTAACCGGGCCGACGTAAGTTCTCGTCCATTTTTGAGACGGGTCCGTTGGGTAGGGTTGTACTTCGTTGAGTGGTTTGGTCGCATCTGGCGCCCACGAACGCCTGTTTTTCTTGCGTCCTGACTCGGGCTGTTTGCCATTGAGGGATTCAAAATCCGATAAATCTTGGGGTTCAGCATCACGTTCATCTTGGTCATCTAGCTGCTGCTGAGCATCAACTATGAACTCCTCATCGGATGGGTCGGAGCCCCGACGCGGTGGAGCCGGTTGATCGTCATCGGATAGGTCGAAGGAGAGAAGAGATTTGAATTGTTTGTTTTGATTGGATTTTCTGAGTCGCATTCTGAATGCAACTTGACTTAAACGGCATCCAACGCCGCGATCTTATGGAGGTTAGTACCATGTGAATTCAGAAAAGCTTATATTTCGTTCCAGAGCAATTCAGGATAGCGATCACTGTAAACTGTCGGCTGAACCCGAGATATTACCCAATCCGCATGAAAACTAGCATATCTGTCTTGGGGCGCAAGGTTGAGTATTCTATGGTGATGGGATTAATTAAGTTGAGGGTGAGAAATCGCAATGGGGCAGGGGTACAAGAAAAGTTCCAGATATGGTGGTCGCAATGAATTCTATTCGCCCAAGGGAAGGATCAAAACCCAATATGATTGGGCAATTGCAGGTTGATACCCCATATGTACTTCGGTACCTTTAGTTTTAATGATACTCTGTACCTTACAAATGAACGCTTCTTGTTTATATATGGGAGCATTTCCGGATGTGATCGATCTGGAATTTTCAATATGCATGTTCATCAAGTGTTTATTTTATCGAAGATTTTATTTGGTTTAATATATTAAGATTTCGAGCTCAAAGTCCTAAGGACTCGATAAGATTCTTATCTGTGCGTAACATTGCAATTAGTTACCGAAATGCATGAACATGTACCTGAGTACCACCCACCATAATCTCATTTGACATATGAACTTTTATTCTTAAAATGCTTCTTTTAATTGGTCAAGTTGAAGGTTTGCTTTTTCTTTGTTTTACTTTCCACTTGCGTGGATGTTTATTTCCACAAAGATCGGGGCGTTGCCACACCTCCTTCGATACTAAATAAGCCACCGAGCTCACGATGCAATGACTCGGTCAGGGAAAAACTAATGACATATTTTAAGGGTTTCAACACTGAGGTTTTAGCACCTAAGGAAGAGAATATGAGGCCTTGGACATGGCCGAGGCAAAGTCAAGTTCGCTATGATATTATACCCGGGTACGTGGCTAGTTTTAGTGTTGTACTTCTCAATAAATGCAAGTAGCCCGTTCCAGACCGCTAGAAAGGAAGTCTCGAATTGGGGTGTGGGGACCAATCAAGAATCAAAGAAATTTTCGGGAAAATGCCGATATCGCCAATCGCCACTGAAGTATCGGTTACTGAGAGGTAGTAGCTACAGAACGCCGTTAGTAGGTACCTAACTGACCCCCCCTTGAAGCACCCCACAAACTTTGTCTTTTTTTTGTGTTCCGTTGTCGGGTTAATCTACTTTTTATCAAGTGTGACTCTAAAGACAAAAAATCTAATCTTGAACAAATCGTGACTGATTCATTTTTTTTTCTTGCCATTGAACATTCGACGTCTCCCAGCGAAGGTGCTGGTGACTTGAGTTTGGAGGATATCCTGCGATAGACTGTTTTTGGTTGTTTAATACCCCCGAAAAGTCATCCTTCATTCCATTTTCTTTCTTTAATCCTTTCGTCGTTGACCCATCTCCCCTCTTTCCGGCATGCTTCGCACTCGTCAGGCCAGCCGGGCCGTCAAGGCTCTGGCTCAGGTTTCGCGACAACATCAACGCTCCCTCACTACTTCACCCGCAGTTTCGGCGATTCAAACTAGAAAGAATGTACCTACTGGAGTTAGAAGTCAGGCCACTTCCGCTCAGTCAACTGCGTATGTCTCAAACGTGCTTTTTGACTATCACCAACCACCCCTTCGCCCTGCAGGACAGTAACGCCGCAAAGGCGTAACAATTGGGCCTTGCATGGGTGCTCCTGCTTATATCTGCCTAAGTCAACCAATTAACCACGGGGAGATTGACATTGAAGCTTCACCGCACTCATTATAAACTCCGCAAGATAGCCGCTAATACGATGAACTACATAGACAAGTTAGAGATGCACCAGCTCCAGCATTTAACGTTGCCGCTACGAAAGACCAGAGCCATGTTCAACCCTTAGTAAATCCAAGAGCTCCAGAAATGGACGAATCGTATGTGTCATTCCCTAAATTCGTCGAAGCGCATAGTATTGACCGATAATCTCAGATTTATTGGGAAGACGGGAGGAGAGATATTCCACGAAATGATGCTACGGAGAGGTGTCAAACACGTTTGTATGTTCTAATCCCAATTGACACCAAATTGGTGAGTTCTAAGCTATTCTAATATGAGTCATAGTCGGGTATCCGGGTGGTGCTATCTTACCCGTGTTCGATGCTATTTACAACTCGAAACATTTCGAATTCATTCTACCAAAGCATGAGCAGGGAGCAGGGCACATGGCTGAGGGCTATGCACGCGCCTCTGGACTGCCCGGCGTCGTCCTTGTTACATCCGGACCAGGCGCCACAAACGTCATCACTCCAATGCAAGACGCCCTATCCGACGGTACGCCTATGGTTGTTTTCTGCGGCCAAGTCCCTACTAGCGCGATCGGCAGCGATTCCTTCCAAGAGGCAGATGTTATCGGAATATCGAGAGCCTGTACGAAGTGGAATGTTATGGTCAAAAACACCGCCGAATTACCCCGCAGGATTAATGAGGCGTTCGATATTGCAACTAGTGGACGACCGGGCCCTGTGCTTGTCGATCTTCCCAAGGACGTAACTGCGAGCGTTCTACGAAAAGCTATTCCCACTGAATCAGCAATTCCGGGCTTACCTAGTGCGGCGTCGCGTGCAGCCATGGAGGCCACTCAAAAGCAACTACAGGCTTCTCTTAGCCGAGTGGCCAATCTAGTGAATAAAGCTAAGAAGCCCATCATTTACGCTGGCCAAGGTGTTGTATCGTCGGTTGGTGGCCCGGAGGTCCTCAAGGAACTTGCCGACAAGGCTTCGATACCCGTCACTACTACCCTCCTCGGTCTTGGCGCTTTTGATGAGCTAAATGAGAAGTCGCTCTATATGCTTGGCATGCACGGTTCTGCATTTGCTAACATGGCCATCCAAGAGGCTGACCTCATCATTGCCCTCGGTGCTCGTTTTGATGATCGCGTTACACTTAGCATTCCTAAGTTTGCGCCCGCCGCTAAGGCTGCTGCTGCTGAAGGTCGAGGTGGCATTGTACATTTCGAGATTATGCCCAAAAACATCAACAAGGTTGTACAAGCAACCGAGGCTATTGAGGGCGACGTAGCCCAAAACCTCCGACAGCTTCTTCCCCGCGTCAACTTAACCACGATGAACGACCGAAAAGAATGGTTTGACAAGATTAACTCCTGGAAGGCGAAGTGGCCAATGAACGACTTTGAGCGCACCGAACGAGCGGGGATGATCAAGCCACAGATTCTTATCGAGGAACTTAGTAAGCTGACAGCCGATCGAAAGGAGCACACTATCATTGCGACGGGCGTTGGTCAGCACCAAATGTGGACAGCACAACATTTCAGGTGGCGACACCCGCGAACTTTGATCTCGTCTGGAGGTCTTGGCACTATGGGCTTTGGTCTTCCCGCCGCTATTGGTGCCAAGGTTGCTCGACCTGATTCCCTGGTTATCGACATTGATGGTGATGCTTCGTTCAACATGACCCTAACAGAATTGTCAACTGCCGCTCAATTCAACATTGGTGTCAAGGTTATCGTTCTGAACAACGAGGAACAAGGAATGGTTACTCAATGGCAAAACCTCTTTTACGAGGACAGATATGCTCACACACACCAAAAGAACCCGGATTTCATGAAGCTAGCTGATGCTATGGGTGTACAACACCGAAGACTAATCAAGCCTGAAGAAACTGTAGAAAGCTTAGAATGGCTGATCAACTCCGATGGACCAGCTCTTTTGGAGGTTATGACAGATAAGAAGGTACCCGTTTTACCAATGGTGCCGGCAGGCTCAGGCTTACACGAGTTCCTCGTATGGGATGGAGGTATGTGGAGTTTTTCTTCTCCCATTTACAATCAATTAGCTAACTTTCAAAACAGAAAAGGATCTAAAACGCAGAGAGCTCATGCGCACCAGAACATGCGGTTTACACAGCTAATTCTGCTTTCTATATGGAGTTTTTATTGCATTCACGGGTCGATTATTAGCGAGTTTTATTTTATCTGGGAATAACACTGAGGAGACTAAGAAAACTTTGAGGCCACGATAAAAGGCCGAGTCCGGTACGGAAAAGGAACCGAGAAAATGAATTTGGCCGCGCATTGAGTACGCATATTGGAGAGGCGTTACTATGAGTATATGCTTGCCATTATTCTATGTAATTTATTCAAGAATTTAAAATTCACGTTACGAATACTTCCATCCGCGCCGTGTAAAGGAGCCAGAGGTCGGGTTAAACAATATGGCTACCCAGAGAGAACATGTTAATTATCCCTTACTTCCATCAGACCTTCGTCCCCGTCACCTTAATCGTATTATATGGATGTTAAGGGACATATGTTGTTGGACGGATTGTACACCCGCGACTATTTTCGGGCTTGGGTTAATGGATTATTCAATGAAGGGCTGAGATCACATACTTAATCATAAGTGAGTAGTCTACCTATAATCTTAGAACATCCTTAACATGGCGTAGGTTCTACGACGCGTTTGGTATTACAGTCTATGAATAGGGGTAAATAAACCTCCTAGCCCGCTCTAAGTTTATCTTGCCTTCACGATCCGTCATGATATTCTTAATGTCTGGAAGTGGTTTATCACAGGTTCTGCTGTGGGGGGAGAATAAATGTTTATCAATTGTTCGATTAAATACACCTAGGAACGAGGAATAGGCGCCTACAAAAATAGACCGGATTTCTGGTATATTCCCTAGCATATACATGTACTGTTAAGTATGTACTCTACGAGGTCTGGGGTCTGGTGGACGTCTAGATAATGAGCATCCCTCCCGGGGGATGTGTTTATTAGGTACCCAGGTAGTTAGAAGACAAGAAAATTTGGCCGGTGAGGTTATTCTTATTTACATGGCAATTGCGTGCGTACTGCAGTGATTGGGGATATTTTGACCGGTAGTCACTTGGCTGCAATGAGCACTTTTGACCTGGAAATCCATGGTAAGCAGGGAGTCCCGTGCAGAACCAGTGGTTCTACCGGGTGAAGCCTGCAACATGGTAACCCTGAGCAACTGTATCACCCAATAGGTGGTTTTAAAATGCACAAGCCAACTGAAACAAGGCAATTGCTCCTGCCACTTACCAACCACGTAAAGCAGATAAGTAATTGTAAAGGTTCCTTCTCCCAGCGGCACTACCAGTACTCGACGAGACTGCAGACCCAACTGCAAAGAAGGGTTGGCTCAACTGGTAAATGCCTCAGAAACGGCACGGATACTATAATCGCCTCACTCAGAAGCGTAAGTTTGATTCCTGAAAAAGAGCCGCAACAGAATTCTGATGATCCTATCTCACGATGCACCATGTTCGAGTCTTAGAAAGAGCAACTTTTTTTTTTCTTTCTCATTTTAAATTTCTAATTTATTTATTTTACTTCTTGCTTCGACCTTCCTTTCTTTTCTTTTCTTATATTTTCTTTCTACTCTGTGTTTTCCACCTTTCATTTCTCTCCAACTTTTACACGTCTAGTCGACCTAATGGAACTCGCCCCCTACCATCACAACAAAATGCACAATAGCATACGCGTGAAGAATATTCCATGTATTATTTACACATCCACGATTCCTTCGCAATTTGCCATCATTGGATTTAAATAATAATTTCTTCAAATTTTTATTCATTTATGAAAGTATTATGCACTGGTCTACTTGTACAACAACCCATATAATTTACAACCATCAGCCATCTTCCCATCCAAACCATCCCGCATATTTAAATTTCCCACCTCTACAGGACGAAGGAAGCTCGAGGAGTTTCCGGACATGCCAATTTCTTGTAAACTTCCAGCGATACATACTTCTGTCTCTTGCCGGATGTCTTCTTTTGTCGACTAGTATCATATACACCTCCTTAAAAAGCCCATCAAAAGCACGAACGATAAAACTTCAACGATAAAAGCAATTAGGCACTTTACTAAGCATTAAACCCCCAAATCTGGCTAAGGCCATGCACGTATTCTATTCTAGCTACAAGCTACTCTCAAGGTCCGGCATACGGAGTATGACGTCGGAAGTGCGTTACATCCCGCCTCCGGGTATCCAAGTCCAGATCCCTACGGCTCCACGTCCGGAAACACTAAGCCAAGCCGCTTTATACCCGTGAACGGAGAACCCAACACAGCAAGCCGGAGACCGCGATAGGCAGACGGCGGGCAGCGAAGAATAATATCCGTCCCGTACCAACCTTGATGTACATAACATGCAGGCGAACAATCATAACTCGATCGGAGCCCCTCCCTACCGTGCATAAGAGGGTCACATCCAAGCCCCAATTGCCGTGTCCGGCGTAACCCCAGCACAAATTTTCAGTGGCCGGACATTATCATATTCTCCAGTTCCCATCACGACGCTGCATGAAACAGGCAGGTAAAACAGGCACGGGGCAGATGATTCTGCGGCCTACGGTCTATGATGCATATGTATCTTCACGCACAAATAAAAATGAGTCATTTAGCATGCATGTCGTTGTCACCGCTACCTCGCCCGGGGGTAGAGAGAGCGGGTATAGACCCAAGATTTACTATTTACTATTACCCATCTACGAACTTCGGTCCTCGGACTAGCAAAAACGAGGAAATTAGTCCTAGTCCGAACCGTTTCCGTGTTGTAATTCGTCAGTGAATTCCCTCTTCTAGTATCCACAAAGCCGTTTCGGCTCCGGTAATGTGTAATTTCAAGACTATATCGCAAATACTAACCCTTTATGGAATTGCCGCCAAGCGAAATCGGCTAACGACACCATCGTATAACCCGGCAGCGACCCAATATCGAACCAACAAATTTATTTAATAAGTAGACCGACCCAATCGAGAATAGACAAATGCGACTGTGAATCTCTAAAGCTTCAACGTCTGTGGGTCTGTTAAAACATCTCAGATCGGTATCTATCTAAATAGAGATGCCGGAACCCTCCCTCAACAACGATGACGACAGGAACAACGGCATCCTCTCCCTAGCCGCGGAGGAAAAAAGCATAGAAAATGGGTCCGGCACGCTCTCCCCCGAAAATGAAAAGGATGTAGAAAATGGCACTCTCCCAGCCGAACCACCAAGCGAAAAGCCCGTCGTCGAGGCGCGCCCCAACTACTCCGTCTTCACGGAGTGGGAGAAGAGAGGCATCGTGATCGGTGCCGCCATCGGGGCTTTCTTTTCGCCTCTGACGGCGCAGATCTATCTACCGGCGCTTACCACCATAGCGACGGATTTCCACGTCACGGTCAGTCAGATCAATTTGACTGTTACTACGTATATGGTAAGTTAATTGGACTCGAGGTTGATGTTATGATTCGCTGGACTGGACCGGACTGAAATCGCTAATGTCCACCTATAGATTTTCCAGGGGCTGACGCCGATGTTCGTCGGTTCCTTGGCTGATACAGCGGGTCGTCGTCCGGCCTATTTTATCTGCTTTATCATATACATCTGCGCCAACATCGGATGTGCCTTGGCGCCTTCTTATCCGGCCTTATTAGTATTGCGCATGCTGCAATCCGCGGGCTCGAGTACGACTGTAGCGCTCTGTCAAGCAGTTGTAGCAGATTGTATCACCTCAGCGGAGAGAGGTCACTATGTTGGTTACACTTCGCTCCCGATTCTGCTAGCACCAGCTGTTGGTCCTATCATAGGAGGTGTTCTGTCGCAGTATGCGGGGTGGAGATGGATCTTCTGGCTTTTGTCGATTCTAGCGGGGATCGTTCTCACTATTCATGCTTTCTTCTTGCCAGAGACGTGTCGGGAAATCGTGGGTGATGGTTCGATCCGACCGCATCCAGCTTATCGTACGTTGTGGCAATTATCCAAAGACGCCCTACGACGGCGTCGCGAACGGCGCAACCAACAATTAAACGGCGATCCCTTAGCCCACACGACTTCGCACGCCTCGACGAAACGCAGCCTCCGCATCAAGAAGGTCAATATCCTTCAATCCATTATCATCCTTTGCGAGAAGGAGATGTTTGTCCTGCTCTCCTACGGAAGCATTGCATTCACGGGCTTCTACTGCGTCGCCACCGCCATGCCCACGCAATTATCAGAGAAATACGGCTTTGATCAGGTCAAAGTCGGACTCATGTACCTTCCCATGGTTGGTGGTAGCATAATTGCTGCCTTCATCAACGGGAAATTGATGAATTGGAACTACCGACGGCATTGTAAGTTATTGGGTGTTCCCTATGAGCGCAGCAAGCAGCAAGATTTGTCCGATTTCCCGATTGAACGTGCGCGACTCGAAATCGGTGTCCCGATGTTGTGCTTGACGATTGCATGCATCCTCGGTTGGGGCTGGGTGTTTCAATACCGCGCCCATATAGCCGTACTGTGTGTACTGCTGTTCTTACTGGGCTGGGCGGTAGTCGGCTTCAGTAATTCGATCAATGTCCTCCTCGTCGACGTAAACCCCGGCAGTGCAGGTGCTGCTACTGCGAGTAATAATCTGACCAGATGTTTAGTCGGGGCTGCGGCGACCGCGGTGATTGGACCTATGATAAATGGTGTTGGTACTGGTTGGTCATTTACAATTCTTGGTCTCATATACATAGCGTTCTCGCCGATGATATTCATGGTTATGAAGTATGGAGTCAAATGGCGGAAAGAGAAACAGGATCGTAAATTGGCGAAGGAACAGAAGAAAGGCGCTGCCACCGGAAAATGAGATACATCATTTTAGAATAAATTATTCCAATAAGATTAATATTGATAAATGCGTTCTCGTTGATTAATTCTGCGACGTAATCCGTATTAGTTAGAACATTACAATAACATGCTAGAATATCTGTTTGAGTAGACAGAATGTGGTATTTCTTACATTATATGCGTTTGCTTTCTTTCTTAAATATTGCTTCCGCTCGGGCTCCGAGTAATTAAATTAGGGTCTCGTCTGCTTGGGGAACTCAAGAAACTCGCTGCATTAAATGAGTAGAAGGCCTTCGCCGTGTTCCCAAATCTCATGTATCCAAGAACTTCCTGGTGGGTATGGCGTTGAATGAGACCAAGCCCTCTTCAATTGGCCAAGCGCCAAGTAAAACATCGATAGATGCGAGAATTCGAGCAAATGCCCAAAAGCAGTTAAAATAGCCTGGCGTTGTTCGTCTGTCCGAGCTTCGCCCCCTACGACGAACATTGGCCAGACTGTTCCCTTGAAATGGGTATCGTTAGGATCGATCTGACTAAGATGAGATAGTGTGCTCTGAACCAATTGATCAGATACTTCCTGGAAGTCTGCGCATCGTCCGCTTAAGGCTCGTCGACCGTAGATTTCAATGGCGCCTTTCCAGGCTTCGCCAAGCGAACGCCGAGATTGTGCTGATTCTGGTAGTGGACATTCTGCAGCCCACTTCTCAGTATCGAAATCCTGTATTCGAGTAAACCACCTAGTAACATCTTGCGATGACGGAGGTTCGCTGGTAATTGCGGTGGCGTTGAAAGTATGCAAAGTACTGAGAAGGTCGGCCGGACAGCCAATCCAGCTGTGTAACTCTGTACCTCCCAGAATTTGGTCCAATTCGGATTGTGAGAAAATATTAAGAAGTGGTAACAGCCTGGGATCGAATGTAGAACCAATGGTTGATAAACTATTTCCCTGTTAATAAATACCTAGGTAGTAATCTTGTACCTCAACTCATTTACAACTCACATCGAAAAAGTCTCCTCGAACCAGGTTTGGAGTGTCGAAGTAGCATTCGGTCGCGATTCCGCTCGTTGCGACGAAAGTAACACCTTGAGTCCCTCTAGATGATGTTTCCAGGCCGACTTTCCCGAATCCACTACGTCTACCCAGATTAACAAGATCACCGCAGCGATCAGCGCATCCAAAGTTTCGGCAGTCTTTGCCAGGGCTTCTCTCAGAGCGCCAAGACTTATAGATGAATGGGTCAAAGCGTCTGAGTAATGAGCGGAAGACGCATCATTGGGAGGCTTGAATCTGGTCACTTCCGTGCAATTGAGAGCTAATTGTCTGGAAATTCCATTTTCAGATGGTGAAGCGGCTGATTGAGCCACTGCTCGCGCTTGATGGGAGGCAGCGACAGCTAAAATGCTATGGATTAGTACCGGATTACCAGGCATCAAAGTGAGGAACTGTTTGAACGCATTTGGCGCCTCCGGCTCGTATAAAGTGCATTCAAGGCAACACCGGTCAATATCTGGAATAAATATTAGCAATTAGGATCTGTAAAGACAGCTATCACATACAATAAGAAATATGATGCCTCGCCCGAGGACTTAGGTCCTGAAAAGCCGGGTCTGTTAATGTCTTGTTTAACAGCAAATTCAGGGATGCAAGTCGCTGTTTTCTAGCCAATGACTCTATCGTCTGCTCCCCAAAGCACTGGCGCACCATCTTTCCCCTACTTTCTAGGCCGGCCCAAACTAATGGCTTGTTGGTGCCGTATCCGAGACATTCTCGGCCCTTTGTCTTGCATTTAAAGCAAGTCGGAAGACAGCCGTCACATTTTAGACGCCTCCTTCGGCAAGTCCAACAGGGATTCGGTGAGAATTCCAGCTGATCGTCCATGCGGACACAAGAAAATCCCAAAGGAAGCATCGGCGGTCCCATCGTCAAAGAATAATGACTATAAAATTCGGAGTATACAAAAACATTGAATCGTAAGTAGAAATTAAATGTTAGCGAAAGGTACGAAACGACATTGAAACGCACGGACAGGGGACGCCCCCAATATTGCAACTACCAGGAATATTATACTACCTATTATTTACATATCTGTTCTAGAAGCTTATTAATTTTATATCCAATTCTATTAATTGAGGCCTATCATTTTTCCCTTGTCTCTTTTCCTTCTAATATTGCCGGGATTGTAATTATACGGTGCGAAGCGAGATACCTAGGTATCTAAGCACAATTCCCTCATGCGGGATTGGCCGCTTCTTGTCTCGCTTGCTCGCTGTCACCATATGCAGGCTCCCGTTGCTGGGCTTTCTCGTCTACTGTCAGATCACTCTTCGCCCTGCCGATTCGGATAAAGCCCAGGACTAGAATAATGACCATGGCCCCGCATCCGACGGCAAACCAAAATGCCACTTTGTAACTTTGCCCCAGCCCGTCACTCGAGTTGCTTGCGACCGCAAAATCGGCCCAGCCGAGGAAAAAGCTGATTCCCAAAAACACTAGCCCATTAATACACGCTCCTGCCAGGCCTTGTTGATCTTTTGGAACACTCGTAGTGATGAAAATACTACCAACATTGAAACTGATATCGATGCCTATAGTGGTGCATACCATTGCCGGGAAGACCCACGCCCAATAATTGGGGTTCTCAGGCATCAAAGCGAACAGAAGGGCGCACAGCACATAACCCACCCCAGATACAAGGAATAGTATAGTGCCGGGGAGGCGGTGGAGTGTAAGTCCACCTAGTAGGGCGATGATAATTCCACCTGCGGCCATCGGAGCAAACCACACCGCAGCGATTAGGGGCGGGATCTCAAGAACCGTTTGAATACTGACAAGGGTTAATCGCTCAGTTCCAATGCTATCGAGTCGCAACCAGAATATGACTTACTAAAAGCTTGCATAAAAGAGGTATATCCCGAAAGTTCCGCATGCGAAGAAAAGGGCGAGGAAGAGTGGACCGATATACTTGATCGCGAACAAGCTTGGGGGCAGTAAAGGTCGTTCCGCAACCCATCCCTCCACATAGATGAATGCTACAAGAGCAATGATTCCAAGTATGAACGTGACGATAATTTGGGGCGATGCCCAATGGCCTTCGACATGAGAAGCATCGGTGATGGCATATGTGAGTAGACTCAAGCTCGACACGCTGGTAAGACATCCCCACCAATCCATTGAAGACCAATCACCTCGCTTCAACTCGCGGGGAACGCAGAAGTACGTGATAGTGCACAAAGCGGCTAACAGTATAGAGGCAATCCAAAAGAACCAACCCCAATACAGAAACTCGCCAGCGACACCAGCAATAATAATGCCGGAGAAGAACCCAAGCGGTGCGCAACCTCCATATAAGCTGAAGACAGTATTCTTCCGCGGGCCGGGACGATAGGTCGTTCCTAGTAAGGTGGTGCCAGCAGGTAAGAAAGCAGCTGCTCCTACTCCCTGTAGAGCTCGAGTCGCTAGGACCATTGGTAAAGTACGGCTGAAGCCACCAATCAGTGCCCATACCATTAGCCACGCTATCCCGCCGAAGTAAATTGAAAAGCCGCCAAACATATCGGTAAGGCGACCGAAAGGTAATAGCAATGAGCCGGTGACGAGGGAGAAGACAGTGACAGGCCAAGTTCTCTGGTTTGGGTCGATACCAGTATCCTCGATAAGTACTGGCAGTAGCACACTAAAACCACTAATAAGGAACTCCGCCATCATCATCGAACCGAGGACGGAGACACAGAAGCCTATCTCCATCCATCCATTGGCAAAGACATCAGGCCTGCTCCTCCCAAGTTTCTCAGTGTCGATAGAGCTGTCAAGGGGGCTCCCGTAAGAATGGGGTGGGTTATCGGTGCTTGGGCGATTCGCTGAGGCTATGCCAGCCCGAGATTCTATATCAGCAACCATCGTGATGTCTCAGTTGCACTTCAACAAGGAGCTACAGGACAAAAAGACGATCTTGTACAGGGTGTCGAACGATCTCTGACACGGAATGGTTTATTCGCGACACCTCCATAACGCTTATGATGGAATATCATATTTAAGTAGAATTTTCAAAGCACGTAATTTGCGAAATTTGCGCTGAGGTTGACACCTCGCTAGCCATTGACTCATGAACAAGTCGTGGACAAAGCGGCGTATTTGGACTGAATTGGAAGCCAAGACTCAACCCGTGCATTCGGGTTTCCCACTAAATATTTTCTCCATACGGAGAACCGTCTGCCGGTGTACGTAAGCTTCGCCGAGTTTTCCGTATAGAGGACCTGGTTCTATGATAGGGCGCAAGTATTAGCGGATTGAAAATCTAGATCGATCTCCCCAGGGTTCTCTTTGACGTATGTAGGTATTTCGATATACCATGTGGTTGACATTAGTTAACCAAGCTCGATCAGGCAGCCAAGCAACATATCTAAAACAGAACAGCGAAGATCCTGTTTAACCGCTCGATCCACTATATCGAAGTTCCAGGGTTAGTTCTATGGTTCTCACCCCCGCACTTGGCTCTTATAGGAAGCCAAGCTGCAATTCTGAAGCCGACCCTAGGCGTGTAGTGTTAGCCTATGTGACTAACGCCTACTACTCTTATTTCGCCCACATATGAATATTTCAAGATGACGATATTATTGCAATGCCATCTAGAATATGTTGTTAAGATCCAGGATAAATGGAATCCTAGTGAGCCGTCCGACGATCAAGCTGATCTCGTCTTATAGTTTCGTTTTGCCTTTCAAAGATGTTTGCGACATTCCCCTCAAATGCCATGATAGTCGGGACAAAGTGTTTTCAAAGGGGTCGAACCGATATCTCACTACCGTGACAGGATCGCCAACTAGGTATCCAAACCAATGGGCGATCTCATAGCCACGATGCACAGACTCCGTTTTCAGCTAGATATCGTTATTATATAGACGGACCTTCGTGTAAATAGATCATGGCATAAAATAAACCATCAAGTACTGCGGTTTTCTGCTTCACTTCTTGTCTCTCGCGCAGGCCGTCTTTTTCATTTTTTAGTTGTTTTCTTGAGTTGCCTCATTTGAGCTCGCTTCTTTTAATTTCGGTGGCCCGTATTCGATCGCGAGACAGGTTCATTTACGAGCCTACGGACCAGGAGTTCGGACGGCTCTTTTTTTTCTTTCGATTCTTTGACGATTTAATCAATTCACAATGAACGCATCAGCATCACTTCGGGCTTCTTTCTACGGGCCAGATGGGCCGCTCGGTCTACCTCCTCAGAATGCCCGGGACCCGAGACGACATACAATGGCGGGCGATGTCGAAGCTCTCCGATGGCGCAAAACTCTAGTTCCGGTTGACTACGCGGATTACAGCTCATACTGTCGAGAAATGAAGGAAACAGCTAGCCAAGAGTCCGTATTCGATGTTGAACAAGCCCCCGAGCCACCCTCGATAATGGATCAAATTGGTCGGATGTTCACGATCTGGCCGTATCGGGATGCGAATTGGGTCATTGCTATGTTATTTGTGGTCGGATCGATATCGTTTACGATCAACGCCTTCTTCGCCTTGCTCTCCGCTTTTATTCCGGAGACCTTGTTCGACAACGAAATCGAGTTAGCAATACCTCTAACAACTCTCTTCGGTGCACTCATGTTCGTATCTGGTGGCAATCTGGCATTAGTCGCAGGATGGAACGCCGACAAGGGCACGTTCGAGCCCGTTGAATACAAGACGGAAGATGGCAGCACGAAAATGTATAAACCAGCATTGCTTGGCAGCAGCGCCTGGTCTTGGATACCTACGATGACCGATTTTAAAACCGCGATGCGAACGGTCCCCTTCCAGTCAAGTTTGGTGCAATTCTTCGGAGGTATGATTCTTTCAATTACCGTCGTGGGTGGTTGGCCAGGTGTCTTATCGCCCGACGATATAATGGGATCTCAGCTCTTTCTATTCGGACCACTGTCAATTGGAGGAACTATGTTCTTTCTTGCAAATCTGAGCCTTCTTATCTGGCTGCAAGATCGTTGGTATAAGCCCAAGCCAGGGTCGGCCGCTTGGCAGGCTACATTCTGGAGTTCCGTTGGTTCGGCCAATTTCGCGATTGCTGGATTCTCCCTTTTCCTTGAGGATATGGGTACTTCGACTATCGCGTCCTTCATCGGATCCTGGACATTCTTTATCGGCGCCGTGTTTCAATGGTATGATCTCATGGCATTCCATCCCGATGGGTGGGCCGCATGATGTGGTTGTTAGAGGAGGGCTGAGACGACATTTCGTTAGGCAATTCAGAGAATTGGCGAGATGGGTTTGGTTAATTCAGTCAAATAGCCTTAGAATTCGTTCTAGTGAATTGATTGAGGGAATTTTAGAATTTCCAGCCACTGTCGTCATAGTATCTGCATAAGTGAAGGTTACCGCTAATGTATGTGATGCATAATAATTCCGTCCGCTGTTAATAAAAACCGAAGGCATGGGGAGCTGCGAAGGTGCGGGGGACTCATTCGGGTTAGCTAGTATCGCACAATGACGGTTTCCGGCCAATTCCTCGGCGCGGCTGGTCGCGGGGTATTTCTAGTCCTAGCTAAGGTGGGCAGGTACCTGATGACGATCATGGAAAAATGAACGTGTTTTGCGATCTTGTGATTTCTTTTGATTCTAATTGTAAAACCTAGTATAATTCCCTCAAATAAATTTTTTATTCTCTAGAATATTATTTACCATTTTGTATTTTCTACTCAATTTTGTTTTGGCGATATATACCAAAAAAGCCGATCGCTGCTGTTAAGAAACTCTATCTCGATTAGACAGGGGGGGCAAAAAGGTACATCCCATCTAGCTCTCTCAGCTCGAAGCGGGGCGGTTACACTTAGACGGAAGTAGACAACACCACCTTCATATTTTTGCCTTTTCTCTTTTTCCTTCTTTTCCCGGGACGTGTCGTTTCTCTGAAGCTTCATCCCCAAACCGAGCAATATGTCGGGACCCGTACCTACGGTCACTGCGCTGCAGGACATATACACTCAACAGGCTTTGGCCGACCAGACTGTGAGGTGGAACAATCTACTCGACAAGTTCCACGCCCTCTATGGAAGCCCCGCCCAATTTGTGTCACGATCGCCAGGTCGCGTGAATATCATCGGCGAGCATATCGACTACTCGCTTTACTCCGTCCTACCTATGGGAATGACCCCCGATGTCATTCTCGCCGTCTCTACCGATCTCGAACCCTCTCAAGACGGCACTTACAAGATTAAGCTAGCGAACGTCGACAATGAGCGATTCCCCACCCGCGAATTCAGCGTCTCCTACTCCGAGGTCGAAATCGACGCCACTGTGCACGAATGGACTAATTACTTCAAGTCCGGATTAAGAGGAGCTTTACAATTGCTGAGGAAGAAATATGGTGCTGATTTCAAACCAAAGAGTATGGAGGTGTTGATGGATGGAACGGTGCCCGCTGGTGGTGGTCTCAGCTCTAGCGCTGCCTTTGTGAGCGCCAGCGCATTAGCTGTCATGATCGCCAACGGCGAGCGTGATGTCGACAAGAAGGCACTTACTGAGGTCGCGATCGTAAGTGAACGAGCTGTCGGCGTTAACTCTGGAGGGTAAGTCTACTTTTTTCCCCCGATTGCAGGAAATTTTATTAATTATTTGTAGAATGGACCAATCTGCTTCAGTGTTCTCCGAACGAGGGTCGGCTCTACTAGTTTCCTTCACTCCATCCCTCTCAGCGCGGCCGGTGTATTTCCCTAAAACAAATCCCGAACTTTGCTTCATGGTCGCACAATCATTCGTCACATCAAACAAGCAAGAAACTGGGCCAATTCATTACAATCTCAGAGTCGTCGAATGCAGTATGGCAGCGGCGTATCTGAATGCCAAGCTATCTCCCAAGGGAACTGAACTCCCCAAAGATGCGGGCCCATTAGGTGTATCCATTCGCGGATTCCACCAAAACTACTTCAAAGACACACAAAAGTCAATGCCCGAACAATTGACCGAATTAATTGAGCTGACTAAGACCACGCTCACCCAAGAAGAAGGATACACCGTAGAAGAAATTGCCTCGGGTATCGGTATATCGGTTGAAGACGTGAGGGCTCGCTTCATGTCCAGCTTCCCGGTGCGGGGCGAACGCTTCAAGATTCGCCAACGGGCGCTGCACGTATTTACCGAGGCCCTGCGCGTCCTCCAATTCTTATCTCTTCTCGAAGATCCGGCGCAAGCTCCCGATTCCGAGCACACGATTGAATACAACGGAAGACTTGGAAAATTGATGAATGAAACTCAAGACTCATGCCGAGACCTATATGAATGCAGTTGCCCCGAGATTGACGAGCTGTGCACAATTGCTCGTGAGGCCGGGAGTTACGGTAGCCGGCTAACGGGTGCTGGCTGGGGTGGATGCAGCGTCCATTTGGTACCTGCTAATAAAATCGAGGATATCAAGAAAGCGTTGCTCGAGAAGTACTATTCTAAGCGACAACTGAGCGAAAAAGATTTAGAGGGAGCTATTGTTGTTAGTCGACCGATGAACGGTAGTGCAGTTTACAAGCTCAAGGACGGAAAGATTTAAGGGAACTAAATATATACCTAGCATTGTTATTTATCGCATGCTACAAGCCATTTAACCTTCAGCCTTTTGACTCGTCTTTTTGGAGTAGGGATCTAAGCATTTTGCGCATAAATTGGGAGATAGAAAAAATGGCTATCCATCGACCGTCAGTTCCCGGTATTGCTAACGCTTTCTCGAAGCTTCCATTTCTTTGATTTCGATCACGATAGTGCGCCAATTCGGATTTATGAGCTTCATCATACCTAGGTACCCTCATCCTTAAGAAAGCTCCGAAGCTTCATTGGTCCCGGTTCAAACCGTATTGCCTGTTTAGGAAATGGCTTATGACCGACGGATGCGAACGATAAAGTAGGTTAAAATATTTTAAAACTTCTGCTATTTACATGGTAAATCCACTCTACATTAAGATAACAATTCTTTGAGTGACAGCTTCATTGCTGCGTTTGACATCTTCCCAACCCTATATGTAGTGTCAAGTCCACGCGTTCCAGCGCTTGGGGCGCGTGAATTCCTTCCTATACTCCTTTCCGTTCCCTATATCCAGCCGGTTTCCAAACATTACATTATTCCTCGTATTTCATTTCCTCATCTGGTCTCTCCTTACACATTCTGTATATATACCGCATATAATTCATACAATTCAAAACTCCAATGCAACAGCTGTACGGTTGGTGCAAGTGTAAGTCATCTCAATTTTGGCGCGCAACACGGTGGCTCATGGTACCGTTCCAGGCGGGGTAGGTTGTGTGCCATGCGCCGTTATCGTAGGATGTGGTGGAACTCCAGCTCCAGCTTGACGTAGGTACATATGTAGTCCAAGCACTAGAGGAAGCGATAGTGGATGTCGTTGGTTGTGGCAAAGTTTCCGTTGGTAGCTGAGTAGATGTAGCTACCGTACTTGACGACGTAGTTGATGTGGTTGATGAAATCGTGGTTGTGGTGGATGATGTTGGTGTTATGCTTGGCTTTGAAGTTGGGTAAGCTAATGTTGAAGTCGAAGTGTTATTATCTTCAGTGACAGTAGTCGTCACAACGTCAGTTGTAGGTTGTATGTTAATGACAGAAACCGTAGTAGAGACCGTTTGTGTTGCGGGATCAGCAGTAACTATTATTGTATCCGTGACTGGTGGAGAGGTCTCGATAACAGTGTCTGTTGAACCTGAACCTCCATCAATCGGTACGATAGAATATGTAGCACGAGCGACCAATGATTCCGTTGGTTGTCTTTTTGTGAAAAATGGCAACGCGGATGAGGGATCAAATGCAGACAGTAAGAAAAGAAAAGAGATCGGCAGATTTTGATGCATATTGATCAACACCTCAAGATAACTTGCTTGAGACGGCTGAGGGCTGCGAGATTTTGCACCTTACACTTCGAAGGAGAAAAAAGATCTACAAGACAAAGAAGATGTTTTAGTCCTACCAATGCACTTTGCGCTTTTATTATAGGCGACACAACAATTGATGATATTGAGATGGTTGGGAATTTGTTTGCGCGTCTAGGGTTATGAGGGGTACAATTCGGGGGCTGGTAGAGTGGGTCAATATTAGATCGGAGATGAATTGATTGGTCGATGCATGCTACAGCCACATTGTACCTTCCGTTTTAGGGAGTGGGCCCGCGCCACAATTAGTACCCGTTCCTGCATTAGGTCAATCGGGAAAATAAAATGCACTGACCCTGCACCCTGACCCATGTAAATGCTAGGTCCTAATATCTAGAGCTTCATTGACGTACTCATGGAGAAAGGCAACTTCATGATATAAATGAGGATTTTTTCGGGCTTATCTCATCCCAAAACGCCCCCCAGACGTAATGAATTTATAACTACATATGTACACAGGTATTGAAGTACTTCCAATGCGTACGTGTGTTTCTGGTGTGGGGCCTTCAATAAACGTTGAACGGTCGACCTACATACGCGCATGAAGCTTCATCTCTAGTTTACGCGTTTAGTCACGAGCTATTCGTTTGGGAGATGGAAATTGCAAGTTTGCTCATAAACATGGTGGGTCCTTCTGCTTGTTGCTGTACGCGACATGAATGAGAAGGGGCCACCATCATTCGTTGATTATTGAAAGGTTCTGTTAAAAGAAAGCGCGAATACATGAACTATAACCATGGATTCCTACATTCTCACATTATTAAACCTATACCATTCCACCCATAACATCATAACATTTCTAGATGTTGGTGTCGACAACTTTTAGAGATAATTTATAAATATAGGCTCCATCTAACCAGTTAGAGAGTTTCGTCTAAATAAACGACGGCAACTCTCAAGGCTATTCCAATACGTCTCAAAGTCATCCCGAGACCGACAGTAATCCCTCTTCAATTCAAACTATCGAAATGGCAGCGGAATCCCATCACTCTCAGAATCCTGTCCCAAGTGATAGCTCGAAAACTTTAAGCCTTCAGGGGTCGCCACGATCAAATGATGGCGATCCAGAGCTTGATCAGGGTGAAAAATCTTCACAACAAGAATACAATCCCCCTCAGGGTGACGCGAGTGCGAGCACGGGAAACACGGGAGACACTGAAGTCCCACCTAACGTACTCCCGCGGTCACCAGAAGAGATTCGAAATTTGGCTCAACCGAGAGTGACGAGGATCCTCAAAAACCAACGGGTCTTGAACATGATTATAGGCCAGCACGAAGAAATAATCCAAAAGCGTTGGAAGAACAAGTCAAAGTCCAAACGCAAGGCGCTATTACTCGAAGCTTGGCCCAACATGCCACCAATGCACCGCCCCGAAGTTGCACTCTGGAGACGCTTGCATAACGAGTACTCACCCCATACTCAAGCCGACGCCGAAGATCTCACCCCATTCTGGTGGCCACATATCAACCTTGAAGACTTGTGCAAGACAGAGCCACTCCTTCTAATGCTAAATGGCCGCGGGACGAATCCGCCCGACACCTTTGTCTACGCCGATTACGGGTCCTCAAGTTTCGCGGTGAGGACTAATCTGATCAAAGCAGTGTATCTTCCTCGCCACTCCATGTTATTTAGAGGGCGCATCACTGAAGAGACATATGGTCAGCTCTACTACTGGGATGACGATGACGAGGCAATGAAAACGGATCCTACTCGTGCGATGATTAATCCCAGTATCGGCCTCTGGATTTTGGAGATCCAAGATCGCCTATACGATTTCCTCGTCAAATGCTGCACTCTGATACTTCACGATATGCCAAACGACGTATTGGTGCCAGTGACGGGGGTAATGCGAATAAGACCCGAACTTCCAATACTCTCGGCTAAAATCAGCTCCGAAAGCGTCGAGTCCCTAGCTATCTCAGCATTCGAGGATCTATTCAAGGCGCCAAGAGATACCGACTTCGATCGTATCGAAGCTCTTCTTAGAGCTCAGAAAGCTAGTGCTGAGGATCACCTTTTCGCCCTAAAGGAGGATCCTGGTTACTTGTCAATGGTTTTGAAGACCATGTCAGAGCACATATTGGAATGTATACCTGATGCCGAGGGAAAAACGCACCCGGTATTTGACGAGTCCGAGCTTGATTTTCTTTGGGCGCGAATATGGCGTTTGGTTATGATAGAGGCATTTTCAGCCATAGACATCCCGACCGTCCTACTCGACAAGCTTCTTCATTTGATTCACCTTCTCGATGAACATGAAGTTGACATGTCCCCGGAGAAGGAACTGCCGCTAGGGTTGGGTGCAGCGGTCTACGACTTCATGCATACGTTACTGCGTTCTGCGTGGACATTCAGTGATATGGGTACCTTCCACAAGTTTTCTAGCTCGCCTCCAATGCGACAGTATTACTGCCGTGACCAACAAGGTAAAATCACGAGCCGACTTGATTCATGCCCTATCGACAAGGCCCGAGACGATTTAATAAATATCGTGGAGAATCTTGGATCTAAGCAACAGCTGTTCGTCTTAGGCGCCAGGGGGCTCGTCACCGAGCTAGATTTCCTCGTTCGACGCGAGCCTGCGACGAGAAGCCTCTTGACCGATTTAGTGGCGGATCGTGTTTCGACCATCGGTGTCCTCTGCGAGTGTATCCATCAACTGGACCTTTTCCAACCTTGGATGTCCGCCTATTCGAAGTACTATGATCAACACACAGCTGATTTAACAACAGGCGTCACCAACTCACTTAAATACATGTACAATTTCCATAAATTGGATGACAGGAGTTGGAAAGAAATGGCTGCATTCATTGGAGTTGCCTCGTCAGGAACACTTCCCTGGTACCCATCAAAAGCGCGCCCGATTCAAGAGGTTATTGAGACAAGAAAAGTCATTGAACATCTAACCGACAAGTTTTGGGAAGGGATACTCCCGGAACTGAAAAAGGTAGATGGAATATCACCAGCAGTACTCCACGCCTTCAACCGCAATGTGAACAGGACTAAGTTATGGGTTGCACCATCCGAAACGCCCAAAAAGGGAAAGAAGGGGGAGAGTGTGTTGGATGAGTTCGACAAACTCATGCTGGAAGTACGAGAAGAAAACGAGAAAGTCAAGCGAAGAATTAAGAGTAAAGCAAAGGGGAAGTCAACTAAAAAGGCCACTGAAGAAACCGAAGCCGAAGCTGAAGGAGAAGCCACTTTAGCTCCGCCTCCGCCACCCCCGACTCCTTTGTTTAAGGTCGACAAACGGGCGATGAAGGTGTTCAACGCCATTCTATACGACCAACCTGACACTTCTCAGCTAGGAGACGTTACGTGGAATGACTTCGTCTACGCAATGATAGCGGTAGGATTTAAGGCCGAAAAGATGTTCGGATCGGGGTGGCACTTCGAACCACCTTTGGACTGGGACATAAAGGAAACTATCCTGTTGAATGAACCACAAAGTGGCAAGTTGGGATTCGTAGTAATGAGATTATATGGCAGGCGTCTCGCGAGAACGTACGGTTGGGAACGCCACACGTTTGCCTTGGCTACATAATTTAGGAGAAGGTCCTCTTTAGGGTATGGGTATGAGCAAGGGAAAGAAGTTTCAGGCATACTTACAAGGGCAGTAAGGGTTGGTGTGTGCCCCTGAACACTATCAATGGCTATCGTCCACTTATTGGTATATATAGGTACGTCGAGAAACACGAAATTTGTGTTTCTGGAAGGCTTCTACCCTTATAGGCCGTGTATATTATCAACGGGCCGGGGCTAGTTTGCTATTGAGTATATACCGAGATTGCATCACAAATTCATTATAAACAGACATAACATCAGCAACAATGCAGTTTGCTCGTGTGACTTAATCACTCACTCGTGTATTCATTCATTGTCCATACAGGAATCATCCATACTCATATAACACCTAACCAAGTACATTTTGTGAGATCCCTAAACCATATCCCATACTAATTGAACATCAAATAGACCATATAAACGAGCCATATATGAACCAATTGGCTATATTTACGCATGCTTGGCAGTCACGGGGCAGACACCTGAGGCCCCTTCGACGGCGGGGTGGACGACGACCTTGTCCTTGTGGTGTCCTACCTTGGCCTTTGTGATGGGGCAGACATCGCCGTCGGCACAGTTAGCTGTGCTGGGGTGGTGTGGTGGGAGGACGGTGGTGACGGGTCCGACTACAGGACACACGCGGTCGTCTGTGACATATATCGGGTCAGCAACAGGAAAGGAAGGGAGAGTGGACTATTTAAGGGATATATAGGTACTCACCCATCTCCTGGCTCTTAGCCTCATTGACGACGTTCCTCAACACAGGGCAGGCCTGGGCGTCAGGCGAATTAACGGACTTGGTGACAGGGGAAGTAGCCTCGGACTCGGGCACCGGGGGATGCTGGTGGAGCTTGGTGTGGTGCTCTGATTTGGCACCGACGACTGGACATGTCTGGCCAGGAAGCGAGAGGTCGATCTTAGGGTGGGATGGAGGGAGAGTGTGGTTTGTTGTTCCGACGATGGGGCATACTTCTGCGGAGGCCATGATTGCGTATGAAGATGTTGATATCTGTATTCACTGTAAAACTGATTCGATAGATTCGTCCTAGACTGATTTGAGCGAAGAGGAGAAAGCTTCAAAAGAGGGGAGAAGGCTTTATTTAAGGTTGCGGGTCAGAAAGGAAAGGGAGGCTGACTTAGGGAAGTCACCGAGCCTACAAGCCCTACGAGCCTTTCGTTTTCGGTCCCTCGAGCCTGCCCTATGGCTCTATTACCTCTTGTTACCTACGTCATTCTAGTCTGCTTTAGGAAATGAGATGGAAGTTTGATGATCATGATTGGAATTAGATGAACTCTGATTGGTTAGTAGACACGGGAACGGACCCAACAAGGTTCTAGAACTTGCAGTAGTAGAAAGAATTAACGTTTACCGGGATTGTCTTGTCTTATACGAATATCGCTTCGCAACGGCTTTTTTACACCGCTACGATAAGATCATCAGGTTGAATTTTGGATTGTGTATACCTGCCTAGATGAAAATAATTGCTGGGCAAACGCTCTTTATATATTTCAAGTTACAATTGGGATACATGCGGAAGTATGCATCCTTCAACAAAATCCAAAAAAAAGTTGGGTGGGACAAAAAGTAAAACCTGTAGATCTCATGCAACGGTAATGGGAAGATGCATCATCTAAAATTACTCGTATCTGATTGGCCAGAAATGTAGCTGGTACTAGCATTTTCCCGCTGAACGTTCAGCTTCCCGGTTAGGTACCTAATTCAGTAGATCACCGCCAGGCAGCTACCTATATAGGGGATATTCATTTCACAACAAAATCCATCGCTGATTTCTTTCGCATTAACTCACCATTTTACACCTCACAATGGCACCTAAATTAATATCAACCTTCGTCACGTTGGCGTTATTTGCATCTGTTTCGCAATCTATCAGATACAAGTACTCAGGCTGCTTCGATTCCCCAGGAGATCTCACATTCGAGCTACGACACGTATTTCAATCACCCGGGTTATGTGGGCGGAGATGTGAGACATCTCACTTTTCCGCGTTTGGTCTCACAAACAGCTCCGATTGCTTATGCGGCTACACGCCCCCCACTCCCGACAACGCAGCGGATGAGGAATGGTGCAATCAGCGTTGTCCGGGATATGCGATGGAATATTGTATGAATCTTTCGATATCTTCCCGTGTTTGAGCATGCCTAATAGAGCGAGTAGGCGGCGGTGAAGGATTTTACACGATTTACTTGATACCAGAACCTGATAACCACGATCCGCCTAACGGGACCTTAACGCAGGGCTCTTACGCACCGACGAAGGCGCCAGAGCTCGGATCGCAAGTACCACTCCAACATGCAAGTTAGATAGGTGGCGGTCAGGATCTTTTCCGAAGCCACCAAGAGGAGAATCAAGTATATACCCAAGACGCAAGCCGCCACATAGGGAATGATTTAGTTCGGACTTTATTTACTATATACCATGCAACCTATGAATTCCTGACGACCCAGATGACCCCCACACAAGCCACTCGAAAGCCTCATCTAAGATGTCCCAGAGCAACCGACGAAATTGTTACCGCTAGCTCCGGTATGGGTGATCTCACCCGCAAGTTTGCAGGATGTGTTAATAACGACACGATCGGCACCCGGCGAGCCTTATTCATACATTAGCCCATCCAATTTCCACAAAAAAACGTCCCGCGAATAGAACCTACCGCCAGTGTATACGCTGCCACTAGATAATAGCGGGAATTCGAGATAAGGCCCAGACACGGAAAACGAGAAACCCTCGTAGTTGTTGTACGTGTGCGGGTAACCACCCGGAGCACTGCCGGCTTGAGAGTCGCTGCATGCCTTTTGCGCGGCTGAGTTCACGGCGTTGGCGCTGTAATAGGTCGACCCGCATGTCGTAGCGGCTTGCGCGGCGCGCTCCTCGACTACGGGGAGGACGGCCGCGGATGCGAGAGCAGCCACGAGGGGTAGGAGTGTGAGGAACTTCATAGTTTTGGCTGGGTATGAGGCACGATTTGAATGGTGTCTAGAGGATTGTGATCTACTGCTAGATAACAGAGGGAATGATCGTCGTTCGACCAGTATATATACTCCTTCACATTCCCGTACCTGACGATCCTCCTTCCTCGCCGGGCATAAAGCACCGTAGAGTCGTATTCCGTTCCTATCCCCAATTCAGCATGGCGTCTGTCTAGATATTATTCCATTGGCCGTCTTCCTGCGGTGTCGTTACATGAGGCTGCGCGTAGCTTTTTAGCCTCTTGGTAGCTAGACAGCTTACGCCCAATTGAACCGGTAGTTGCTTCTTCTGGAACGACAGCCGAGCTTCTGTGCAGTGATAGATGGGTGGCTTAAAAGGGAAGGTCGTTAGATATTTAGGTATGGCGATAGAACGTGCCGATAAGGTTGGCGGAGATTGTGCGATGTGGTGAATGCGGGGATTCCATGATTCCCGGATTGATCGGGTTCTAGACTCTGGAATCCCGGCGTGTTTGGTATCTTGTGTGTTATTGGTGGTCGACCCTGGATTGAGAAGCAGGTTTTCACGTCGGAAGCGGTTCGGGTTCGTCCGTAGGATTGTAGGATGAATAGCTTCTTGTGAGTTGGTATTGTTATTTTGGATTTGGCCGAAGTCTTAATAAACGTTCGAAAAGGAGAGCTGAGGTCATACAGTTGCATAGTCGTTTGCTCGTCTGATTTCTTTATGACTTCCAACCTTTTAAACCCTGGCGCTATGAGCTTGGCGCTGGACCATTCGGAGTTGAGGGTCTCACGGACGACTACTCAACTCTCTCTAACCCTCCAGAGATAACTACAACTTCAATCAAGGCAAGAGATAACCGGATAACTTAGACGATTCGATTATTGCTATTAAGGGTTCCCCGGAAATTTATAACAATACAACATGGCAATTAGACCATGAATCTACAACAAAAGGATCTCACGGCTCAAGTCCAATGTCAAACTCATTCAATTATATTAATCCGACTCTTACGATATTAATTTATGTCGTTATACGCTAGGTAGTTGCCACATGAGAATGTCTACGACTGAAGCGTTACACCAAGTTGGCATAGGAGATCGGCTAGGAGTGTGCGACTTGTATTATTCTCATTGGGACTCTAAAGCATCTAACAATCTAAAAGAGCCCAATTAAGTAACTATCTTGGTACCTAGGTAATTAACCAAAGATCTTCATTGTCATTCTACGGTTAGTCAATATTAACAGATATAGGAAGCAAAATATGACCATATCACATAGGCCATAAACTTGATAGGGGCCCCCTTTTCGACTTCGAAAGATGGTGGCTAATACGATCTAAAGGATATTTGCTAGCGGCCCCATTCGTCCTTCACATATCACAAGATGATGCACATTATAGTCGCGAAACCGAGGAAGCATGTGTTCTGTGCCTTGGTTCTACTATGTGGACGGCGGGTTTCACCGCCATGCTGTCCACGACGGAGGTAACTCCGTCTATCACACAATATCATCATACTGGCATAATAGTAACCCCATGCAGTATAGATGCTAACTTAGACGTGAGAGGCAAAACCCATTATGCGAGAAACAATCATGTGACGAGAGAAGGATAGACTTTATTGACGAGATGTTCTCGAGGTATCAATTGAGGCTAGGCAGGTAGAACCGAGGATTTTCAATGGTAACTGAATACCGTGTTAAGGTCCCTATGTAGATAACACACGGTATACTCGTAGAGTTAGGTATTCGTATTCAGCATCGCTATCTAGCAAGCAAGCATAAGGCGCATATTCTCATATCCATTTCAATCCATACCACTCATACATATACCATCTCACATCCAATTGTCCAACTATTCAACTACCATCAAGGTATCCAAAACTAAAACTTCCCGAGCTTAGTTACGGTGGCTGTTGACAGAAGCCACCTCAGGCTGGCCCTTAGCGGGAGCAGACGCCTCACGGTCGAGCGGCTGCGACTTGCGTCTGCGGAGGACCACGAACGCGATGACACCCACGATAGCAAGGGACGCAACGATAACACCGACGGCGATACCAGCTTTGGCTCCTCCGGATAGACCGTCGCCGGGTGAGCTCGATGCCTGGTCGTTAGTAACTGCCGTAGAGGAGGGAGAAGCACCCGTAGCACTCGGAGTTGAGGGAGCCGACGATGATGAGCTGCCAGAGTCGAAGTCCGATGCCGTTACGTTGAAGCATGGTGGTTGGGCGGTTAGGTCCTCCTGTTTGACGAAGGTCTATAGATGAAGATGTCAGTGAAAATTTACCCAAGTATATAGGAGGCAAAGCCCCCGTGATGACTTACGATGTCAGCGCATGAGTAGAAAGTCTCATTGTTGCCGTTGTTCTCGTTCTCGTAATGCGACCAGTACGTTAGCTGAATGGTGGCGTTGGTTCCCGCAACTACATTGTCGGGGATGCTGGCGATCTTATAGCACTGGTGACCAGGCTCAATCTCTGCGACGTCTTTGACGACTTGCTGGCTGAACTGGCTCTGAATACTAGGTGCTGGATGTCTTTTAGTATGAGGGCTTATGACCTAAGTGAGGCTACTAACTGTTGTCGTATGCGATAGAGAAGTTGACGTGCCAGGCGTCGTCCGCAATGGATAGTTCAACGGTTCCCTGGGCTAAAAAGAGATGAGGTTAGTTGGTCAAAGTACAGATTCACAAGTGGGAGTACTTACTCAGGGGGAACTGTGTTCGGTTGACCACGCCGCTGGGACTTCCGCAAGGCCCAGAGTTGTCGGTCGAGGCGCTCCAAGTTCTGCCCTCAGGCCATAGAAAAGCCGCAGGGCCCATGATAGTTCCCTCATAGCCGTCACCATCTTCAGAAACAGTAGTCAGTTATTGCTTCTTTAAGTCAAAAAATCTTAGTGTATTGGGTACGCCAAAGGAGCCGTGACTCCATAATCAGCCTGATTAAGAACTACAGCGATAACAACACCAGCAAAAGGAAAAACAAATATTATATATTACTTACGAGCCCTTTTATTGTTGTCGGCGGCGACGTGGCTCCCAGCCAGTGCAGCAAAGTAAGATAGCTGAGTCAACTTCATATTGAATGGACAGGATAATGAATAGTATCACTCAAGACTATAGCGATGCAGTGCAGAGTTGTCGGTACGGCTGCGCGGGTGGGCGTGGCTGAATAGAGCCTTTTTGAAGGATAAGGTCAGGTGTAGTAGAGGGCGATCTTATAAGTATCAGTTGTGCAACGGCCGCAATCCATTGCATTTCATGGGGAGTTCATTTACATACATATAGCCGGCCCCTTGTCACGAGCCAATCACCTTTCTGCCAAGCTCAGATTCCCGCTGTATAGGTGTGAAATGGTGCGCTCAAGTCATTCGCCCGAGATAAGCCGGCCCAAGACAGTGTAGAAGAGTTCTGCACCTCGCTTCTAAACGGCAATGCCGTAATAGATTCCTCCCACCTAAACAGATAGCAGCTAACTAATGGGTATTAGTTTCCTCGGATATACTCCTGTGTATTCTGACAACATCGGTAATTAGAGTATCTCGTAATAATACCGCGGTATGAGTCCTGTTGGCGCTAGAATCGAGGATGTTGAACCTAACTATCTCGAGATTTGCTTTGCTATATGCTAGCGTCCTGGGTCCATTGAGCCCTGGTCTTGGCCACAATAGAGCTATTTCTCGATCCTTTAGTGCCCCAAAGCGTTGAACGTGTCGGTCTCCGAAGCCAATTGGCCGAACAACCCCCGTCGATGGTTAGCCAGACCTACATGGCCCCCCATGGGATATAAGAAGGGTGGCCATCCGATGACGGCAGGCTAACTGGTAACAAAGGGGAACTTATCTGCGTTAGGCAGGTCTCACGAAGGATCCTCTGATTTGTTTGTTTTTCAAGCGAAATTTTCAGGTGAATAGAATCACGGCCTATTTCTACGCCACTTCGCAGTAGTATCAACTAGGTCGTGTCTAGCATAAGGTACATGGGCCTCGGATTCCTTCCGAGTAAGTGAGCTACCTATTAGGCTCTGACTAAATTCTTCCTAGTTTTGTGTCGCTTTCATGCTGCAAACGGTAAATAGATTATCACTGCTGAAAAGCTCAAGAGACAGTTGAAGCAACGGTATGAAAAGGCATCGGGGGTAGTCGAACTATAAGTAGTGAACATGAAAAGGATAACAGGACAAACATCCCGCAGGCCGAAAGACGGTAGGAGTAATATCAACCCTAGGATCATGGTGCGTAGGAATATCATAGATGTGCGTGGGAGGTTGGCAAGTAACGGGTGACAGATATCCCGCTGCTGGTAACGTAGTGACTCAATCCATTCTCATCATGATATGGCGGTCTCATCGACGGTGTGGGGTTTGATCGCTAGACCTAGTTAGAACTGGTAGAATCGCATGAGACTAGGAGAAATTAAGCGAATCGGTTTGCGGGTTGACACTTGACGAGTGGATTTAAGTGGCCAGATTCGATGGGTGGTATGATTCCTAACCAACACTCAGATCGTAAGGCCCCTGGTCCTATGTAGCCGAGCTTTTCAGGTCACGGGCGTAACCAGGAGTTGAAGCGGAGCACACGAGGGTGGCACCGCAGCTCCAAGCTTCCATGCCTACCAAGGTACATATCTTGTAGGGCCCGGAAGCCGATTTTAAACGCCAAAAAATATGTTTGGACTAACACGGAGCTTGCGGAATTTAAATCCATGTAGGTGGCATAAAGCGTTCCATACTGATGGATCTATGTATCCATAGATCCAAGAACTCCGTCGAGGTTATTCAGCTTGGTAACTTTCTCGACCCATTTTGTGTCCCGAATGTTGGGTAGTTTATCTGATGGCGCTAAGTGAGCATCCCTTGCTTGTGATCCTTGTTAGTTTGTTGTTGAGTTGCATTAGATCCTACCTCAAGGCGGAGACGACCAACGAGGTGTGGTAGCCCATCTAATCTTATCAATCTAATCAGATCAAACGGCCAATACGGGTCCAGATTCTCAATATTCTCGTAATATTTTGCAAGGAGGTTGGAGAAAAAAGGAAGCCAAAAAGGTGATATTCGCGCTACCGGAAATTCCGGGATACGAAGAAATTTCGGGCGAGAAAGGAAAAGAAGAGGAAAATTAGGCGAGCGTTTTGTTTGAAGTGATGACATTCTTCATAGGACTTGGCCGAAAATCGAATTTTTAGACCGCTTTGTATACATGCCTTAATGAGCTACAACTTGATGGGATGTAACGTAGGTAAAAGCTATTACCGACCGATTCGACCGCTGTGTCGCGTTTCTTGACGTGGGCGAGTAGATCATGACACATGTGATACTACAATACTGATGCCTCGGATACTTTTCTAAGCATGGCGATTCGGTCTAGGCTATAACCGGAGCATGGGTTCCTTACCAAGAAAAATATCTCCCCAAAACAGGCCGAGCTACCCAATGTAGCTGTAAAGTCCTGCTCCTAGGGCCAACAGGCTAATCTCCGAACACCGCTAGCCTTACATCATTCGTTCGAAAAACCTAGTCGGCGTAGGTGTAAACCCCTTGCCCTGGCGTTAGCTGAAGGGTTGCATATACTCTCCCCGGGTACTTACGTTAGTTGCTGCATACTGACGTGCATACAAGCTGGGAGGCTATAAGACAGTGGTCGCCGTTGTCGTGATTCAAATCCTTTTCCTCGCTATCACATCGACCTCCTCGCACAACGGCTACTATTGGACAGCCATTCGTTTTAATACAACCGCACATTCGTTTCTAGAAAACAGTCGCCAAGATGGTTGCTATTCGTTGGACTCTGGGCGCAATTGTTGCTGCCACTGCTGTCTCGGCCTCTACGGACGAACTTCAGTTCATTTCCCGTCTTCTCAAGCGTCAGGAGCCCGGCTCACCTGCCTACAATTGCCACGACAACTGCGGTTAGTGCGATAGTCACGAAACTTCTAATGTTTGGAAGAAACGAACGAATATATACTAACACTACTTCCTATCTCCAGGCCAGGCTATCATCGAGGGTCGGAACAGCGCCGACGCGTGCCATGACGACATCTTCTTGACAGACTACAAGGTGTGCCTGCAATGTGCTGGACCCGACAACCAGGACATCTGGCAGTACTATGGCACCACTTTGACTAAGGATGCCAGTCCTTGCGGTCTTTCTACCACGCCTCTCTCTGGAAGTATGCATTTTGCATCTTTTTTCGTGTATTTTTGGATTCGTTTGGGGTTTTGTTTCCTTGTTTGAGGCGGTTCAGAGTTCCTCTATAGGCATAACAATACGCCTCTAAAGTGCTTTTAAATGGCAATCACTAATTTGATATTGTGTAGAGCAACCGGATGCTGGCGCTGCGATTCCGGCTAAGACGTCGTCGGGTTCATCGAGCTCGTCGCAGGCAACTCCTACTGCCAGTTCGTCCAAGACTGAAGCATCCCCGACTGAGACTGCCCCAACTGAGTCTGTAACCAGTACCGAAGCCCCGGGGGCTACCGAGTCGCAGTCAGGAGGAGCAGGTGGCGCCTCTACCACAGCGGAAGTAACCTCGTCTGCTAGTGGTGAGACATCTGCACCAGGCGCCACCGAGTCTCACACCGGTTACGGTAGCGCGCCAGCCACTGAGTCCACTTCGGCTACGGGCGCTTCAAAGACAATTTCTACCCACGCTCCCCAAGGAACTGGCAATGGGAGCGGAAGCGGGAATGGAACAGCTACTACTGTTAGTACTTCTTTTTTTTTCTTTTTTTCTCACCTCATCTTAGGGAAGAATTCTTTGCTAATCAATCATCAGTCTTCTGGATACGTGGTGGTTACTAATGCAGCTAATGCCGTCCCTGGCAGCCACGTGGGATTTTACGGTGCTCTCGCACTTGGCGCCCTCTACGCCGCGGCGCAGTAGACGTGGATCCTAACTTAATTCAGATATACCAACAGGATAGGTTGCTGTGCCTTACGTATTGTATTGATATAAGATATAATTAGATAATCATGAAAACCAATAAAGTCGACGCGTTTCTGTTATACGATCGTATGTCCGTTCTGTTTAGCATTTGATGCAAGTGAAAGGGATGGAGACTGGAAACTTATGCCAACGGGAAGTGCTGACTGGCCCTAAAATCCGGCTCTTCTCATCACTTACTAGGGTTTGGGGTGGTTAGTCTTATGCACGTTACTTTCCCCCCCAGCGACTTCTCAGAACCTAATCGTAAGCCTATCCAATAGATTATCACGCCCAATATGCTTTGCTTTTTAACTTTCAGGGACTCCCCGGGTAACATTGTGCGCGAATTGAATGCCTTATACTGTACCTAGGTATGTACACCGTGGGTCATAGCGGATGTGCCTTAGGTTTTCCTATTGACAAGCTGCCCGTATCGGCGCTTCGGACACGGGAGCGGCCCGAACTTGACATTTGCATTCACTCTTAATCCCAACATCAATTATGAGGAGATTGCGTGGCGTTCGAGATGCATAAACGATGAAGTCATGCAACTACTAATGGAAATCGACCGAATACCACCAACACAGCTCCCTTGAACTCGTTTACTGAGAGCCTGATGAACTCGAAAGAAGTCCGAATAAATTCATCAACTCGTCACCAACATACTATCGTATGATGCATGCTCTGAGTCGCCAGAGACCTACCTAGGCGGTGTAGTTTTGAAATTTCGAACAAAGTGTTATAGGGTACCGGAACAGGCCTCATCAGGAGTAAAACACGGTATCGCCTTGAACCTGGAGTCTGAGTGAGCTCGTTCTACCTCCAGTATATCGGGCACTCCACTCTAGGTAGTCATGTCACGGAGTCCTTCGATGTTGGCCCCGGATCGACAGTAGCATTATTGATACTAGGAAGAGTTCCCAGCCCCCATCGCGTCTCGAGACATGGCATCTGGTTGTGGCTATGACTGAACCCTGAGGTGAGCCATGCGATATTTTGGTTTTATTGTTGTCTTGATTCTTCTATCTCCAATTTGCCCCTTTTCTTTCGCGGTTCCAGCATTGGCCATATTATCACCTCTCGAACATTGAAACTAGGCAACAGTGTAAGCCAAACCAATACTACTGAAGGATAGAAGGAATGTCGATCAATATGGTGCAAATTAACCAGACAGACGTCGCAAAGCGAAAGATATGGCGTGAATATCATCCTATTGAGTAATATTTTTCTTGTCTTGCCTCCATCTTTATGGGTTTGATGTCGCATCTTGGAGATCTTGGACATGCTATGCCACGTTAGGTCGCCGAAAGCAACCAGCCTCCCCGATGACAAGACGGTGAGAGACGTGAGTTGTCAAATCTTGGAGTTTATTTGAGTCTAACCAACATCCGGATGCTCCGACGGATATGGAAACATTCCGCACGTGGTTGCTCCGACTGGAGTTTTGTGGGCGACTACGGTCCCGACTCTCAAAATACGGTTGCCTAGCTTTTTTTATTAGATATGATATGATTGATCTGCATTCACCAGGGGAAAGAAAACGTACGGGGATCGAATTATGCACTGCCGAGCAAACCGTTACGTAGAAACGATGAAGTTGAAGCATTGCTATTAGATCTAAGTACGACATGAAAAACATATTGCTGTTGCTATAGCCTATGTCCCGACGGGGCGTAAAGAGATGCTTAGGTAGTTATTCAGTGCTGCTAATGTTATAGGGTCCCTAGTACTAGAGCGGTAATCTTCTAGACGCCACATTAGGGCTAAGCTTCGTGTTTTGCACCCACTGGACCCCCTGGATCTGCTGAGGGTATATGCCGATCCGAATAAGAATTATGGTCGCTTCAAAAAAATGTTCTATTGTTAACTTCAGACGGTACGGACCGCAGTATGAGTATTGGCGGTCAAGTCGTAACGACATCGTACTCACCGCCAACGAGATTCGACGACCTTACGCAATTGTATTACTCTGCCACCAGATTGGATAGCAAACTGCCATGGATCAAGCATTCGCTGCAATCTCGTGTTTGAATACCTGGGTACGGATCTACCCCGCCTAGAGCGAACAGCGCGCTGAGCTCAGATCTACCTGCGCCTCGTTCTAGTAAGTTCAGCCTCAGAAACGTTCAGCGACTGGTTCCTACGAAGCAACGTTCCACAACTTATGACATGGAGCTTACGATATGGAGACGATGCGAAAGGAGTTGAGGATGTTGAAGAGAACTTACTATAAAGATCAGTTGTGTCCTCCATTGTTGTCGAGTCTTATTCCTCATCACATCAACCAAACTCTCAAGACAACAACATCTACTCACCAATCTCACTCTCACTCTTAATCTTCACCAACCGATATCAATATATCAACCCCCAAACCTTTCAAAATGCAGACCGTCGCTTTCATCACCTCCGCCCTCGCTCTCGCCAGCTCGGCCATGGCTCAATCGCCTGCCAGCGCTCTCATTGCCGTCGAGGTCCGCTCCGGCGGTACTCCCCAGAAGAACACCACCGTTGACGTTCCTCTCGGAACTATCTACAACAACCCTACCGTCTTAGACGCGGTCTCTTACCTTTACCTTACCGGAACCACCGACAGCGCCAAATTCCCTCTTGACTCTATTACCTGCACTCCCTTCAAGAACCAAGTTGGGTAAGTCTTATATCTCATTATCTTCAATAATGATCGGTGCGACGGTTAACTAATACAACTACAGTGACGGCGAGCACGGCCTTGCTTTTAACAGCACCAGCCCGTCCCCTCTTTCCACCAACACTGTCCAGGTTGGCAGCATCGTTTGCAAGTCCTCCGCCGCTTAAGCGGATTAACAAAAAGCTACATCGACACCGATGGGCTTTCGCTTATGGTATCGCGTGAGGTGGAATGTATAGAAGTGGATGAAGGGCGCACGCCTAGGGGAGGATGATCTTGGTGCATGAAAGAGATGGGAGCATTGGGAGAGTATAGATAGAGTTGGTTATGTGCATTGTTCTATTCGCTCCCCCTCATTTTTCAATATATACGCATTTTTATCCATAACCATAAAATGGTCTCAAAGTTGTGCCGATGTGAATTGCTACTTGGCTGAGTAATTGTTAGAAGTGTAAATGTTGATGCCTATCTCGGTTCCTTGTGGCGGGAAGCTTCGCGTTGTTGGCTTGGCAATACTTGGGAATCTTTACACTAATTAGTATTCCTAAGGTATAGGCAGCACATTTCGGAGCTTGTTAAGCTATAAATGTTCGAGTTAATAAATGTCTTGGCTGTAAATCAATACTTAAAAGTTACTTCAGGGCTGTGTACCTTGGAACTACGCCTCCGCCACAGTGCTAATGAGGTGACGTAGTTACCTATTTCCATATGTCATCTGGAATGGTTTTCTTGTTAACAAATAATAGTCACAGCCTCAATAACATTCCTAGGTAACAATAGTGTATGAGGCGCAAGCTCCAACAAATTTGAATAAATATTTTGATCAAGAAGCCTCTCATTCCTTACTATTCTTTCCCTCAAGGTTAATGTTTTTATACCTAGTATTCATTGAATAAATCTATCGACGATCCACTACTATCTATCGCGCTAATCTCTTCATCATCTTACGTTCACTCAATTTCTATTCCGACCCCGCGCCGACTCACAACATCAACTCTTCACGAACCTACCAAAATATAATTACTAGATACTTTCACAAGGAATATCTTAGCAAACGTTAAATAGAAATAGAGAATTCGAAGCACATGTCCTACTACGGTCAGCCGGGCTATCCCGGTCAACAAGGCCAATACGGCCAACCACCACCGCAACAATATCCTCCACCTCAACAATGGTCTTCACCACCTCCTCCTCAAGGCTACGGACAGCCTCCCCCGCCACAGGGATATAACCAATACGGCGCTCCTCCTCCGGGCCAATACCCACCTCCAGGTCAATACCCTCCACAAACGAGCCCATACCCCGCTCAAGGCGGTTACCCACCACCCCAGCCCTACGGAGCGCCGCCGAACCAACCATACGGCGCACCCCCGAATCAAGGTTATGGACCTCCTCAGGGTCCGCCTCAGGGCCAATACGGTGCACCACCGCCCCCACCTCAACAGGGATACCAATACCCTCCTGCCGCGTCTGGGCCTCCTACCCCGGCTAGTCTAGGCTACGGTCCCCCGCAGATCATTCAATGGGATGCAACTCCCGACGCTAGGATGCTTCGGAGTGCGATGAAAGGTTTCGGTACGAATGAGAAGGAATTGATTCGGGCTCTATGCAATAAAGACCCTCTCCAGATCGAGGCTATCAAATCGACTTATTTCCGCCAATTTAGCCGCACGCTTGAGAAGGACATTCTATCGGAGACGAGAGGATGGTTTGAGACCGGTCTTGTGGCGCTCGTTAGAGGACCTTTACTTCATGATGTTCACCTTCTCAATTCTGCGATGGATGGTCCCGGGACAAAAGAGAAGGTGCTCAATGATGTCTTGTTGGGCCGAAGCAACGCGGATATCAATGCTATCAAGGGCATGTACCAGCACACTTTCCGCAAGTCGCTAGAGAGCGCAGTGAGGGGAGATCTTAGCATGAAGACCGAAAGGCACTTCATGATCGTGCTAGGAGCTAACAGAGCCGAGGACAGCGCTCCCGTCATTCCTCAATCTATTGACCAGGATGTTATGGAGTTGTATCGCGCTACAGAGGGTAAAGTAGGCACAGACGAAATGATGGTATGCTCAATACTATCTACGCGAAACGATAACCAAATCCGGGCTATCAATCACGCCTATGAACAGAAGTTTAGGAGACGATTAGAAGATGTTATCAGAAAGGTAAGTTTGATTATATCCATCTACCACTTATAAATGCTAACTTTGTTACAGGAATTCAGTGGACACATGGAAGATGCTCTATTATACCAACTGCGAAATGCGGTTGATAAATATATGCACGCGGCTTCCCTACTCGAAGATGCTATGGCCGGCCTAGGGACAAAAGATCATCTCCTCGTTTCACGAGTCGTCCGATACCATTGGGACAAGCAGACTATGGCCAACGTCAAAGCGGCATACCAACAGCGTTACAGACGAAGTCTTGCTAGTCGCATCAAAGGCGAAACAAGCGGAGACTATGAGAGGCTCATGCTTGGCTGCATTGGTGAGCCTGTTTAAATATGCATTGGAGAATCCAGTCATACATTATCATGGCCATTCGGTGTTGTTTGGTATCCCGTTGGCATCCCATCGGTATCGTCCAGTATCACCCCAATGACGTTTGGCAGATGATTACGTTCGCGTAGTTCAAGCAAGGGCTGTGGTTTAAGCGTGAAGGATCGGGAGGGGGAACTGTTTTGATATCCCTATGTTGCTTAAAGCACTGTGATCGATTAAAACTACATAAAAGTTATACTTTACTCGTCTTGACTTGTTCATACTTCCGAGCTTCATTCTGAGTGACCAATGATGCTGTATAAATAATGCGGGGCGTACGTTTGGGTAACCATGAAAGACACAATATACTTAAAGAATGGTGCAATCGCGGAATTACCAACCCCCAAAACCGTAAGACGATAGTTGCCGAAACCCGAAAAAGTACTTGGGTACGCAGCTGGCTTCAGCTGGCGATCAATTACCATACCTTATCATCGTTCTTGCTACGCCGCCCATTGAACTTTATTGAAGCTTATCCCCCACAAAGTTTTGAATTGCACACAAGTGCAAGCTTAGGTACTTAAGCTTACCCGCCTAAGCTTAGGAACAATAAGCTTCGATTGCCGTGTCACAGCTTAAGCCTTTTCTCTACTTAATTCTTAGTTCATTGTATGCCTAGGTATACTTGAGTTCAATTTTTGTGTTACTTACAGTTAATTATTGAGTAAGTTGTCCCCCAACACATGCATGAAGAGGCGGTGCGAGGGCAGTAGGGTCGAGATCACAATACCATTCACTCCGAATCACAAAGGGAGCCAACTTTTCTTAGCTTATTAATGAGATGGAATGATCCCCCCCCCCTCTCCGGCTACCCTAGTACTTTACCTAGCTGACGATCTCCCTTCTTTAGAGTCGAGTCGTGGGGCAAGCCGCCTCAAACTATGGACACAACTCAGGAATCATCCATCTGTTAACACGCAATGAGTATATATCACAACGGTCAATATGAGTTATTTGTGTCTTTACCACCAGAGACCAATGCTTCTTCCCTTTCTTCCTTCTTTCTCGCTTCCCCGCTGCAACCCGGCCTGCGCCAAAACGTAACCTCCATGGATGTCGTGTCTCGGAGCTCGATCGCACAGGCGGCAATTGCCGGTGGCTGTTTTTTGATATATATCGCCCAACGCCTCTTCCCCAAAGGTCCGCAATGGGTTCGCCCGTTCGCCAAGGAAGAGGCGCATTTGCCTCGATTTCGCACCAATCCGTTGAATTTTTGGACATTTTGCTTATTGATCTCGTCGACCGCCGGGTTTGTTCTGGCGTTTCTTACTGTCATATCACCGCCTTTTAATGTCCTCAGGATTTTAGAGTTGTCACCATGGTTTGTGATACTCTTCATCACGACCGTCGGTTTACCGAAGAAGACACCGAAGATCTTATTGGTCTTGTATATCACTATCGTCGTCTGCGGTTTGGTGTCGCTTGTGGGGTGGTACGGCGAGACGGAACGTGTCAATATAGTACACGTTGCTGCAGTATGTGTGGCGTTAGCCGGCATAATCGTCATCCTTGCGATGCCCTTGCGAGACCCGGACCTTAATGCAACAGGTATCGCGGGGTCTCATTTCCCACCAACTTCCCAACTCCGCAGCCCTGAGGATAATTTGAGCTTATGGCAATTTATGACTGTTTCTTGGATGAGTCCCTTGATTACTCGGGGTTATAGAAACAAATTGGATGACGAGGATGTTTGGTTACTACCTTATGATTTTCAGCATGAGAGGTTGCATCTATTGTTTCGAGATCTAAAGGGTTCCATAATAAGGCGTTTGGTTGCAGCAAATGGCTTGGACTTATTTATCATCACATTTTTAGGACTTATAGAGACGGCTGCGAACCTTTCGAACCCTGCTCTCTTGCAGCGCTTGCTACAATCTATCGAGAAGGGTCTTGGCCACAGGGACGAATCTTTTTTCTATGCTTTGATTATCTTATTGGTGCGTCTTGTGGCGTGCCAATCGGGTGTCTTTTTGCTATGGTATAGTCGTCGCGCGTATGAGAGATCGCGTGGAGAATTGCTTACGGTGATATATGCGAAAACGTTATCACGAAAATCATTTGGGCTTCGAACAGATTTGGGAGATCCTGCTCAAGAGAATGGCCAAGAGAATGGTGTCGAGCCCGATGAAGAAACGCCACTCCTTGGTGGGAAGCAACCTGAGAAAACCCGATATGCCCGTGTGCTCGAGTTCTTCGGGCTTGGAAAAATCAAAGAGACGGAGAAAGCCAAGAGCGCACAGGAGCAACCAGCTTCTATGGGAAAAATCCTGAACTTGATGAGAAATGATGTTTATGAGGTAGCACAGCGGTTTTGGGAGTTTCCAAACCTCGTCACGAAGCCTTTGCAATTAATACTCTCGCTGGTTCTTATTTGGCAATTACTGGGCTGGCCTTGTCTTTTGGGTGTTGCTTGGGCGGTGGTCCTTCAATTATTGAGCGCGGCTTTCGTTCGCCATCTCGTTAGTGTCGAGCGCCGCCGAAGAGCCGCCTCGGATGTCAGGCTTCAAGCAACCACCCAGTTCGTCGAGGCCATTCGACCTCTTCGATGGTATGATTGGCAGTCTAAATGGCTAGGCAACATTATGCATGCACGGGCGAACGAGTTGAATTTAAGGATCATTACCAGCTTGTGGACTATCGGGATTGGTGGTTCTAACCTCGCTGCCAGTGCTCTTTTTCCGGTGTTCACTTTCTTTGCGGTAACCTATATCGCAGGTCGACCACTACCAGTCGATGTGGCGTTCCCTGCGCTCCAATTATTTACGATGTTGGAATCGAGTTTGAAGGAGCTTCCTAACTTAATTACGGTGCTCTTGAACGCTACTATTGCAATTGGACGTCTCGAAACATTCATGAACGAACCGGATAAGGAAGAAGGTGCCTATAGCGACACCACATCCGACGTCGAGTTTGGAGGCGCATCCTTTGCGTGGCCGACTAACGGAAAAATCGTCCTCGAAAACTTGAACTTGCGTTTTCAACCCGGTCTTACGATCATTCATGGAAAAGTTGGTTCAGGAAAGACGGCATTGCTGGAAGCTATTCTCGGCGAGCTTAACCAAGTCAAGGGCGAATGCACTCTACCAAATGAAATGGTAGGATATTGCGCACAATCTCCATGGCTCCAAAATATGAGTATTCAAGACAACATCCTTTTTAACTTCCCTATGGACAGGGCTAGGTATAATGAGATTTTAGATGCATGCGAGTTAATGCCCGACTTAGCCAACTTCGCGCACGGAGACAAATCTCATATCGGAGAGAATGGAATTGGCCTTTCCGGGGGTCAAAAGGCACGAGTAGCCCTAGCCAGGGCTGTATACTGCCAATCACACATCTTGCTCCTCGATGATCCTCTCGCAGCCCTTGACCATCCGACAGCTCAATCGATTGTCCGCAAATTATTCCGTGGATCTCTCTTGAAAGACCGTACCGTTATTTTAGTCACGCATCGGATTGACCTATGTTTGTCACTAGCGGACCAGGTGGTTGAGATCGCAGATGGGAGGGCGCGTGTTATCAACCCCAAAGATTACACTCGAGAAATTGGCTTGCATACACCAACGCAAGATGCTACTAGTGAAGATGAAGTTCAGGTAGTCACCGAAGAAGTCGCAAATGCTGCGATACCGGACAAATTCATCGAGGATGAGAACCGGGCCTCGGGTAGTGTCGTCGCTAGAGTTTATTGGACATATATAAAGGCAGGAAAACTATCATATTGGGTAGCAGTCATCGGGATATTCGCTCTTTTCCGATTTGCTCGAATATTCAATTTTTGGTTCCTAAAAGCGTGGGGCGAGGCCTACGAAAGGGTCAAAGTTCAACCCACTTCGAGTCCATCGGATTTCGCGGAGGGTATTTTTGACGGGTTACCGAACCCGGATGACGATGTGACGCCTTGGTTGATGTGGTACGCCATACTTGGGTTGGCTATGACTATACTATACGTCCTCACTCAATGCGGTCTTATGGTTATTCTATATCGAGCGGCCAAGGACTTGTTTGCTAAGGTTATTAATCGAGTGAGCAACGCGACGTTCCGTTTTTACGATGTTACACCAGTCGGACGCTTGATGAATCGCCTAACTTCCGACATTGGAATGCTGGATGGTGGTGTCATTCAACCACTCCAAAATTTTGCATTCTGGTCCTTGACATGGGGGAGCTCCATGATTGTTATCGCATTAACAACACCAGTATTTTTCTTATTTGCGCTTGGGATGACGATATGGTTTATTGTCCTGTTTATGCGATTTTTGCCGACCTCGCAAAGCCTTCGTCGGCTAGAAATGGTTACACTCAGCCCGCTAATGTCGAATTTCGGCATTCTCGTCGACGGGTTAGCCACCATTCGGGCTTTCAAAGCGCAGTCTGACTTCCAGAATCGGAATATTATAGCAACAGATACTTTCCAGAAAATGGACCATTTCTACTGGAGTTTACAGGCGTGGCTTCAATACCGATATGATCTACTGTCCGGATTCTCAATATTCTTTTTAACCATCTTGGCATTATACCAAGGGCTGTCGCCGGGTCTAACCGCCTTCGTACTTACAAGCGCTTCCCAACTAGTCGAAGCCACGCACGTTTTGTGCAAAACATATGGCCAACTTCAGATGGACTTCGTGTCCGTCGAGAGGGTTGTCGAATTACTGGACCTCGAACAAGAACCGAACGGGGACATAGAGCCTTCTAAGGACTGGCCATCATACCAAGATAGCATCACATTCAACGATGTGACGATTAAGTATGCGCCACATCTTGACCCTTCATTAGTCGGTGTCTCTTTCACGATCCCTAGCGGGGCGACCTGCGCTGTTCTCGGCCGAACAGGATCGGGCAAATCCACATTGGCTCTTGCTCTATTAGCGACGATGCACCCGGAGAAAGGACAAATTCGCGTCGGCGACGAGGATATATCTAAGGTTGATGTTCACACATGGCGCCAACGCATCAGCTTCGTAGCGCAAGACCCTGTCTTATTTCCAGGCACGATTCGGGAGAACCTAGATCCCCTAGAACAACATACAGACGAAGAATGCAAGGAAGCACTACTTCGTGTATTGGGGCCAAAATGGTCTCTTAATTCGATGATTGATATCGGCGGCAAGAATTTAAGTCAAGGCCAGCGCCAACTTATTGGCATTGGTCGAGCGATTCTTCGGAAGAGCCCTATTATCATATTAGACGAGGCGACGGCGTCAATTGATAGGAAGACAGCGCTGGCGATACAAGATGTGCTGCTAGCGGAGTTGCGGGATAGCACGGTGATTACGATTGCGCATCGCCTGGAGGCCGTTAAAGATGCAGATTACTTTATTAGATTGGATGCCGGACGCGTTGTGGAAGCGGGACCGGCTGGGAAGAATAAATAGATAGGGCATGGAGGTTGGGATGATGTCTATATCAATGGTGTTTATTAGGGGGCGTAAAGGACGGACTATATAGTAGATTGCATGTGTGGTAGATATGCATGGCGAAGAACGCCGGAAGATTGAATGGTGAGGCATGCATGATGAATTTGAATCCCTTCACTCTATTGAAGATGATGCCTAGTATTATATAATCTGCATATTTATAGGAGTTATCGAAATGTTTGGATTATTTCAATATATTGAATCAAGTCACAATCTGATATTTCTGGTGAGTCTTCAGCCCGCAGTGGCCTTTTAATATGAGTCTAGCAAAGAGTATAGGCGGCTTAGTAATTAATTCCCTAAGAACTAACAAAGATTGGTTTCATAGAAGACAGCAGATCCTTGTTCGCCGTAGGATACCATATCCAAAGTTCGATGTGTCAATTAACACTACATAGGACTCTATTACCGGTCGTGTACATTACATCATCTACTGCAGACACCACGTCATGATACTTGAACATGTCTCCTTATCATCCGATGGTCGCAACGATAGATGTGATGCCTCCCAAAATCAACGAGTAAAATCAAGGAATTATCCAACATGACACCAACAAGACATCTTCATCTCGATGCGTCAAAGAGACAGCCCCTGCTTAAGGACCAGGAAAGCCCCAACGAGGATACAATGTCACTACCGGTGAAGAGTGTACTCACCGACCCCAAAGGATCTAAGAATAACGAAGATGCGAGTATCTACTTCATCGGCACAGCGACTACGGTGATCGAGTGGCAAGGAATTCGGATTCTAACCGACCCTAATTTCTTGCATACGGGCGACCACGTACATCTAGGACCAGGTATGACAGCGCAGCGGAAGACGAATCCGGCGGTTGACTTACATGAGTTGCCGGCCATCGACTGCGTTTTACTTTCCCATTACCATGAAGATCATTTTGATCAATTGGTTGAGAAGTCATTGAACAGGACGTTCGATATTATCACCACGCCACATGCTAAGGAATGTCTCGCGGGTGAAGCTAAGGAAGACCCGTTCCAAGCCGTTCATGACCTGGATTTCTTCGAGAGCTTGATGTTGCATATCGATCGCAAGGAACCATCGCATGCCGGTGGGTACGGCAAAGTACCCGCGATCAAAGTCACGGGTATGCCAGGGAAACACGTGCCTCCAGGTCCGCTCGCCAAAGCAAATGACCTTTTGAAAGCGGTGCCGCCGACGAATGGGTGGTTACTGGAGCTAGGGCATAGCTTTAAGGCACCGACGGGAGGCGATTCGGAGGATATTGATACCGGGTATCGGATCTACATCTCGGGGGACACGCTGTTCGTCGACGAGCTCAAGGAAATCCCGTCGCGGCTCCGGGGCGAAAAGGTGGATCTTATGCTTGTGCATTTAGGAGGCACGACGATTCCTGGGCCGTCGATGCCGCTTGTTATGGTTACTATGGATGCGGAGCAGGGGGTTAAGTTGATGAAGCTTGTCAATCCTGAAGTTACTGTCCCGATTCATTATGATGATTATAGTGTCTTCTTGTCGCCGCTGTCGGACTTTAAGGAGAAGGTTGAGGAGGAGGGTTGGGGTGAACGGGTGGTGTATCTTGAGAGGGGGGATCAGTATCAATTCAAAGTTGGCGGGGGTTAAACGGAAGTACCTAGGAGGTATTGAATAAAATTAGGAATTGGGTTAGGGAATAGCACTAATAGCACTAGGATTAGGTACTTGGGTAGGGATAGGGGAAGACGGAAAGGGAAAGATGTGTGCCGGATGCCGTGAGAAAAGGGCCCGATAGAATCTGCATAGGTTAAAATATTTTAGTTTATTAGTGAACATATTTAATCTGCAATCGGTATTTTAATTTCCTATTCATAGTACTATAGTACCAACCTCGTACCATTTTCTTGTTATTAGTAGCTCCGACATGTATATAGTCATTTTTAATAAATGATAGATGAAATAGCCTAAACTGACCAACTGAGATACACAAGGGACACTTGTACTCTCTTCTCTTTCATTGATCTGAAAACCAATCGCGGGACTGTACGACGATGCAATTTCTTTGAACAAGATATTCGGGATGGGAGTACCTTAAAGTATTTCAGCCCCCCTAGTTCCAGTTCTCTCTGCTGTCTTACACTACTTTCCCGAGACTGATGCAAGATCGGCTAAGGAAGTACATAGACGAGCCTGTAATAGGTGCATGCAATTCTTTTCTGTTGCAGCAGGACATGGATTTAGTGAGACAATTATAAATCGCCGAGTCAGCTCAAGCGTAATGCTTCAGAGTAAAATACAAAGGTACGTACGTAAGTAGGCTAGGAGCATGCCTATATTAAGATAATCCATACACAATGATAGGTCAATTAATAAATGAGTAAATTAAATTAGGTATGTTGCTCGCATAAGGCACAAAGAATTGAAATCAATTGAGGAGCATCATCGAATGAATACTTGTGTACATGGAAATACGTACTTGACGTGTCTAAATGAGGTACATTATAGCAATTAAGCTTTTAGGTTGCAGGGGATGGGGAAAATGGAAAAAGGACAAGTATAAATGTAAGTACCTTATGAAATACTTAAGCAGGTTAGTACATTTAATACATATGTATAAACTTAGCCTACTCCGAGTGAGGAAGAAATAACCAATTCATAATAATAAGAGCACGGATCATACCTCCCTATTGGCACCTTAGTACAAATTATGGATTATGTATTGCCTTAATAATAATTACCCGGATCAAATATACTTTTACCTTCCATGATAGAAAAAAAAAAAAAAACCTAATGTCACACCTTTCGCGTAGCAGGGAAGAAAATCAACCAATCATTAACCGATTCACTTATAAGTGTGGATCAATTTATAAGTTGCTGAAATATTAAGTGTGGTTTCCTTATTTAATTGACGTTAATCGGAGGTAAAATCAGCTACTAATAGATTATGTGGCCCCACCCGTTTTAAAAAGGAAAAAAAGACATAATAGCTCCGGATGTTCCTCTTTACACGATCCGTTTGCTGTCTGTTTCATTAAATTTGAAATCTCCCTTCTGGATTGTTATGTGCATTGTATGTTATAGGAGATCCTGTTCCTATAGTACCTGGGGTTGAGTAAGTTCGTGCTCATATAATCGTTTATATTAGTGCACATGTGCTAATCAATTCGATTGTCAGGCTTTAGCATGCACTGAGTTCAGTGGTGGAAGGAAGGAGATACAGAAGTATTTAGCTACCTAGCTGCCAATTTCTAACAAAAACTTGAAATTTGGCAGGTAGCTAGACAACTGGTAGTTGCAACAGAGCGCTGTAAAAACGCGCCCCCACAACCAGGAAAAATCCCCTAAATACGCTTTGTATTTAGCGATCCATTATACCTTAACATCCACCCATCCACCTACAAAATCCGCGTGGATCCCTTAAACGCCGCAATCACATCCATGCTAACAACCAAGCTGCGCCGCTATTATGGAAGCACAACCGCAATCTGTTGCTGCACCGGCGCCATCTGCTCATAGTCCTGCAACAGATCCTGCACGGATTATTTCGCCTGTTCACCCTACGCCGAATCCTGTGACGCATTATCCGAATGGCCTACCTAGGAGTATAAATGGCCTTAAGAGCAATGCGACCAACGGATCCGGTTCGGCTTCCCCAGTAACGGGGACCGGGACGGGAACGCCAGGTGCTACAACGCCCGCTCATGTAACGGCGCGCTCTCCAACAGGAATTGCTAGGACAATATCTCCAGCAACCACCACTTCGACATCAACGTCGGTGCCAGCATCAGCACCGGCACCTATACTGCCGTCACTTCCACCTATTGCAGCAGCTCCGTTAAAACCAATGGTCATATATACACCTTCAATGTCGCAATCACCTCAAACGGCAACTCAGCCGCGTCAACCTTTACAACGCCAATCGTCCTCAGGCTCATCTCATAAGATCTCTATTGTGGATCCTCCTGGTTCATATTCGCGATCGAAGAGCAGTTCTCATCCTTCCTCACAAGGATTTCCTTCTCCTAGAAGAGAACACCATCTCGAAAATCCAAAGTTTCTTGACGACCAATCACGACTTACACATGCTATGCAACAGTCTGTTCCCGCTGCTGTAAGAAGGGTTATTCGCGACAATTGGGAAAAATGTCTACTAGGCTCGGAATTTCACCATGCATTTCTTGTAAGTGTTCGCTATCTAGGCGATCAAGTCGCTTTTTTTCTTTCTTCGATCCCCTATTTTCATCCCATCTCATCCGCGCCAACCCCCCTTGGGTAAGATATTATTAGTCATTTAAAGTACATTTCCTCCCCATTGCCATTCGTCAGTCACTATACCCTTTCTAGGCTACACTTGAATGCAATAGGAGTATACAAAACATTTCATCTAAACCTTCGCCATTTCCCAATTGTTTCTTGTTCATCCCAATGACCTTGAATTCTTACCGAGAGGCGGCGTCAACCTCGACTATACTCTTACATAGTCTAATGGCATCTGGTTTGCTAATAACTACTAGTTAAATGCTGTTATACATCACTCAAACGGGGTTATCATTCGGCGATCTATTAAAGACTTCGGTGCTAAAATGGTGGCTGAATCGAAGCACGAGATAATCTCACATCTTTCAACTTCCGACTTAGATGAACTAGCTGAGGATATACTGGAAAAGTGTAGCGATTATTTCCTAGATCAGGCGGTAGAGAGAAGACTAAGGACTATTGACGCTCGTTCCCTGATCAACGCTCTCGCCAGGGCCGAGCGACTCGGTTATGAGAATAGCGATATTATTGAGGAGGACAGGAGCAAAACGTCTAAATTCAATCCAGCACCGACGTTCGACCCATCACCCAACCCGATCCAAAATGAACCATCCCAGAGGCTACAGCATAGGCCAAGCTTGCCATCCTTATCGCAGAGTCGAGGCCCTCCTACGGTCTTACAATGTCCATTATGCTGGCGTAAATTCGATAGCACGCAACCTTACGAATATGTGAGCATAAACCATAACTCTTACACAAGCCCACCGCTAATCTAGACATAGCATGTCCAAAAGCAAGTGTGTACTAAAGAGCCGCCGAATCAACAGGGATTTCCATTTTCGTGCAAGTATTGTGGCGCAGGATTCATCACTAAGGTCGGGCAACAATATGTAAGTAGTCTTAATCTTTTTCAACGGAAAGCTCTCTAACACAAAGCAAAAGCACCTTGCCAACCATGTGTGTGGAGACCATGGTACCATGCCAGCAACTCCCAGAGGCCCTGCAAATGCTGGATCGCCCATCACACTCTCCTCGGGTAACAACAGCCCCATTCAACCCTCTTCGACCCTACCCCATCCTCTAGGGACTCAGCACCAATTTGCTGCTTTAAGCCAACATGCTGCGACGCCAACTCAAGCTAGGATCGCCCCAATGGGAACTCCGAACTCCCACTCTAAGGAACAAGACCCCTATTCACATTTAAATCCGAATACGCTAGAGAGATTGAATGAAGAGCTTCGTCAGGCGGAAGCTACTTATACTGCTCGCTTCAAAGAAGCGGAGGAAATTCAGGACCCAGCCCAACGACAACTCAAACTTGATGGTCTTCAAAACAGCTTCAGTACAAAACAAAGTATTATCCGGAAGAAATATGGCGTTCGTCTTCGGAATCGACGTACCAGGGCCGAGATCGATAATGAACGCCAGCGTATGGGTTGGAAGCATAACAGCCCAGGTCAACCAGAAGGTACCCCAAGCGCCAAACGTCAACGAACAGATGATGGTCCTCCCCAAATAAAAACGGAAGTTCCCAGTAATGTTATCCCTAATACTGTTCCTAGTGCTGCTTCTCTGCCTTCCCGGCCTCAGAGCAATCATCTAGCTGTATCGGACATGAACGCGGGCTTAGGTGGATCGAGTGCAACGGCAGCTACTGCTGATCCTACCCATAATCCTCTTATTAGTACCTCCCCTCGGCAAATTTCGCAACAGCAGAATCCAAAGCAAGCTTCCCCACAACCACAAGAGCCAACTCAAAACAGTATTTCAACCCTTCAAAAGAAAGGTTACCGCGTCTCCTCCCACCATCCAGCATCGAGTCGAGTCTCACCGGTAGACACTACGATGGTGGATTCTCCTCATGTGAACAACTCGGCTTCGGCGCCCATCGTAGTGAACGATGAGGAAGACTCGACGGATACTGACTCGGATGAGGAGGGTATTCCCGCGAGCTTGCCCCTTCCAGGCGTCAGTAATACGCCATCTAGGGGTATGGCAGGATAGCAACCTAGCCAACCAGCTCGCTAGGTTTTCGGATCCGATTGGATGGATTGCGGAATGAAACGAGTTTAGATGTCGACCCTGGCTAATGGATTGGGCATGAGGATATCGATATTGAGACATCGATTTACATCAGGAAAGATTCCTCCGAGATAATGGAGAACTAAATGTGTTTTTAGTATGTGTATGAGTGAGACGTTCTGCATCTGTGTTGCATGGCATTTCTTTTTGGCGAGCTAGCCTTTTTTTTCCGGGTTAGATTGTTGAGATACCTCTTACGTGATGCTTGTAAGGCAGGTAGTGTTGGAAGAAGGCCATGGGTGTCTAAAACAGCATGTATTCTGGCGCATACGTTTGCTTGTAGGAAAATACCTAGGCTAGGTGTTATGGTCTAAAAAAAGGATATGTTGTTTATGATAGCAATTACAACTAAACTGAATTCATAATTACGTGAAGTACAAAGTATATTTCCGTATAGGAATGGTTGTGAAAGTCTAAAGCAATGAGCCGTCGTGCTCTATACCTCACCATCTTTCTTATCAGAACTACCATAGTAGCGAAATTGCAGTAAGAAAGTCAATTGGGTATAAATCTCGCCGTCAATATAACATCTTCACGTTCATATATCCCTATTCATAGAACAACATTCTATTATTTACCTCTTTTTTCTTTATTTTATCCTACACCTATCGAACCCAACCCGTCCGAGGCACTTGAAAATAGGTAGCGTCAAAGAACCAAATACGTATCTCGCAAAACTCCATGCTCTGCCTCCTTCCTGCTCGCGTGCTACATAGGTACATAGGTATCTCGATGGCGGGTACTTAATCTCGGCTACTTCTCGAGAAACATAGAAGAAAAAAAAAGGGAGCAAAACAAAATAAAGTAGAGGAATCCATAACGTAGTCGTAGTCATAGCGTAACTTTGCGGACCGCCCCTTATCGGAAAACGCAAACGCAAATGAACAATAAGTAAGACGTAAGTAGTAAGGCCCATTTCCCTCTCAGAAATAGAACATCGCATTTCATCTCGGCCTTGCATCCTCAAAGACGACCCTACGCCCCCGTAACCCGGCGAACCCACAGCGTAGTGGGTTCATACTCAGCATCACGATCCATCCTCTTATATGCGCGGTGCAGCTTGAGTCCCAACTCATAGCTCTCCCTCTCAACCTCCGCAAGCTCCAATCTCAATGTTTCAACCTTACGCTTCTCTTCCTCGCGACGTCGCGCTACGGCTTCGGAGGCTAGGATGTGGTCCGTCGGCATCAGCTCCGTCATCTGCTTGATGGCGGTGTTGAGATTGATCCTTCGATTACCTAACGCGCGAAGTCTGGCATCAAGTTGCGCGACGCGGTCTTGGGCATTGAGAGACTGCGTCTCGGGTGGTGCGGGAGGTAGTGATTTGTCCTTGTCCGGCAGTGAGGCGAGGGAGAGACGCGAACTGTTGTCATGTTTGGGGACGGCAGATTTGCCGTTGTGATTAGAAGGCACCGCGGACGTCATGTAATACGGTGAGTCGAGTGTTATGCGCACAGGCTCGGCGGCGGGGCTGTTCTTGCGTGATATACTAGCCCCCGCATCTTCGAAGCCAGAGACGATGGGCCTCTTGCGGTCGAGGATCGAGCTCATGGGTGGCGCTGTGGGGACGGGAGGAGCGTCTTCATCGACTTCAACGCTATCGCGCGGGTTAGAGGATTGGTGCGAGGATGTGGCGTATGTAGTTACACTGAAGCGTGAGGGTGGTTGTGTCCAGCCGTCGGGAGATGTATCGGGGACGGGTTGGATCGATGCGCGGGGATCTTGTTGAGAGTATACCGACGACGAGGTTGACAATTGAGGGTTATGCCCAGGCGCTCCGGCTGGTTTCCTGCGAATAGCTTTATCGTTCGCGGGGATTTGTAGAGACTGCTGTCGTGGTGCAGTCGTGTTGTCGTCAGATAGAGGGGGGCTCGGATAGGTGCTGGGGTTGTTACTCGGATTTGTGACTGCAATACTAGGGGAGACTGGCGATTGCGGTAAGGGAGCGGGATGGGGGTCGACGGGATTCATGGGTGATTGGTTGTTGGATTCGCGGCCACCTCGCTTGCTACTCTTGCGAGGAACTTGTAAAGGGGCTACTTTCTTGTTGTCGTTTACAGGTGCGACGAGTGTCGTTCGACCACTAGCTCCCCGCCATTCGGGTCGCGGGGCTGATTCGGGTTGAGGGCTTCCGCTGGGCTGTCGTATTCGACGTAGCCGATCGCCGAACGAAATCTGACCTTGCGGGGCTTGTTTGACCTGCGGGGGCGACACTGAACCTGGTTGTTGGATTCCAAGGCCGTGGGCGTACTCTTGCGGGTTCACCTGAGATGGTCTACCCCTCCTCGAATCTGTGGTAGGTTCACCCGTATTAGGGTCCCAGCGCACATCATGGCCATACGGTCTTTGTTGCTTTAGTTTCTCGCGAGACTTGGATTCGCGAAGAGCATTTTGGGCAGCATCCGAGTTCTTTCGGCGTTCGCGGCGCATCGTTGGAATATTGCTGCGGACATTGTTTTTGGATTGACCGTGGGGGTCTACGGAAAGTTGAGACATGTCTGGGATTTCGTCGATAGGAGAGACGTCACCTGGATTCGGCCTGAGACAGAAGAGGAACGTTAGCTTTGGCTTCGACTTCAACTTCAACTCGATAGCTCTTCTGATTCGGCTCAGAAAACTACCATCCTCCATGTTGTATCCAAAGGTGCAATAATCATTCGGAAATATTGTGCCAATTATAATGTTTTCCCAAGAAAACCAGCTTCCAAGAGGAAAAGAATGACAAGGGAGTGGTGCTTCTGTAGTCAACCAGACAATGGAAAACAACATAATCATTTCTTTCCATGTCACCACCTTTTCTCAAGTCACTAGCCACTCTTTTCTTTCCCCCATTTTACCGCTCATGAATAGCTATTTCCCATTCCTTCCACCAAATGACGCACATATAGGAAAATGGTCGCACTTACCCGTCTCTTGGGGAGAATGCGTCAGGGGAACTTGGCGGGGAAATCTCGTTCGGATCGCTATATGGGACATCCAGTCTTAACTGCTGCGCAGCAAATGTCGCGGCATCCGGCGAAGGCTGCGAGTAGACGGAAGATACAGGACGGCCGTAGCCAGAACTGCGATATTGGTTCGGCGGCGCGCGAGTGGCAGAGGGGGGAGGTTGTAAATTCTGACGGTTTGGGTGACTGCGATAATTCGGTGTCAGCATTTTGTTTGGGGTGAAAAGGACTTGCGATGTAGAAGAGTTACGACGAGATTGCGACTGGAACAAATGACAACGGGGTGTGTGACGAATGCGGTACGTGGATGACGATCCTCTTGAAAGCTCCTTGCGCCCTGAGTGACCCCCGGAACTACTTATTCAAACCTCCAATTCGTTGGTGTTGGGGGCCTGTAAAATGCATGTGATTACTATAATCTGCAGGAGGCCGTCGGAATTCATCTCGTCGCATGTCCATTTCCAGTCGCAATTGTTCCTTTCCCCCAAATTAACGAACAAATAAAACATATAATTACTTACCGTTCGGGTGGTGGGTTGGGGTCTCTTGATGGTCTTGGGGGCGGAGGGCCTCCTCGGATAGAATATTGATATTGGTGGTCTCCTCCTTTTACACCATGCTCTGTTGACGACAACTGTTGTTGTTGTTGTTGTTGTTGTCGTGAATTCTGCCAGGCTTCCAACTTCTTCCTATTCATCGGTCCACTCCGATCCTTTGGGGCATTTCGGAGACGGTCGAACATGGTGACCCAGCTGCTACCGTATTGTTGGTATAATGCGACACGGGTATGGAACTGGGGTTTTTTTATTTTCCCTCTCTTTCGGGTGTTGATTCTCCCTCTTCGTTGTTCTCTTCCCTACTAGCGGACACTCGGAATGTGTTAGATCGCCAGTCAGGGGTGAGATGCTTCACACTAATCGACCTTGGCTAGTTAGAGGATAGAACAACTAGAAACGGCGCATGTGTATCGAAATGGTCGCGAGTCGCAACTGGAAGAGGAATCGCCTGTTTTTCTTCTTTTTCTTTTTTATTATTCCTTCCCACTCAGAAGGATCAGGAAATATTATTAGACGGTAATTTGGATGGGTTGGTGTGGCTTTTTTTGGCTGGGAGTTACCGTCTAATATGTAGGTTGTAGCTTGTTGTAAGTGGCCCCCCTTGTGCCCTCCAGTGACGTTGCTTTATGTATTTTGTTTGTTTGTTTGCCTGTCTGCCTGCCAACTACTTTGTATTTTTTTATTGACTTGGCAGAAGGCGTAGTTGAAGATCACACCTTATTGACCGTTCAATGTCTAGCTGAAACTCGAATTATTCGTATTCAGTTCGTTCCGATTATATTTCCTATTGCTCTCGAGTATGTTCGAGGGTAAGTTCCTTTTTATGGGACTCGGGGCTAAAACGGTCGCATGTCAGCCCGTTCTCCGCCTATTAAGTGCTATTAACTGGGTTGTAGCTGCGTAAAATCTCAATGGATGCGCGCCTCGGTCGTCGCGCTAGGAATTGGTTCCTGAAAATCGGTAACCTAATATCGTTCGTTTAAAGAGATTAAGTTTAGAAGTACATATGTATTAACGTCATCCCAAAAACTTGTTTGCCGAAGCAAAGTCAAATAAAATAAAATAATTAAAAAAAAAAGGAGAGGACGTGGAGGGGCTGAGTGCCTTCAATATAACAATTGTATGAATGCCATGATTACCTAGGTATGTATGTTGGCACTTAAAAGGCTACATACCTACATATAGGTATGTACGCAGATATTACTGTACTGTACTTGGTCCTTTAATATTACATCTCGTCATCTCCATGGAGTGCCACCTTTCCGCCAGCCTAATAAAAAAAATATTAATCCTTCCAATTTTCCCATCATGTTATGAGTATGCACCTCAATCTTGTTAAGTATCTACATGCATTTTAACCTTATTATACCTTGACTCTTCTTTTTTATATTCCGTAATGGGTAACATCTGCTATGTACGATGGATACGTACATGGTATCTAGCCTTGAAGATCCGGCTCGTGATCGTCCCTTAGTGTCAAATGTTGGCCATTGCTATCGGCATACGGTACCGATGTTCTTAGCGTATCCGGCTTTAAAGATGTATCTATTCCGCAATTGCTACGTCTTGTATTCATCATCTGTTAAGCAGGTAAGACGTGAAGCTGACAACAATGTATTCAACGACCAAACCTCTCCTCGTCAATACTTCTGAAAACACCTAAGGAATCACAAGTCGCAACTAATTCCTGTTCAATAGCTATTTGTAAAGAGCTGAATAAGTGATTCCGGGGAGAGAGCCTAGACCCTCTAAAATCCCTGTAGGGACTTAGAGCAGTGTTTCACCTTGAACTAGATATCGTTCAGGGGTTCGTGAAGAAGAATAGCATACAAATGACCTAATTAGGAAAGTGGGTTGTTGATATTCTTCCCCTGACCAATCATTTAACCTCAGTCAATTTCGTTCGAAATCTCCGGCTGCTGCAGATAACGGCACGTCACGGCGCATTTATGTTATGCTTTTTCCTTCTACTAATGTACCTATACTGAACCGTCCATGGCACACACACAAACCAATTCCGTGCGTATCGCGCGCAAAGACCTTCCAACTTGCAACAAATCGACGTCCGTGAGCTATATCCGAATGACAGACAAATACGTTATAGATATCCCTATTTTAAGGGATCTATCTTCAAGGAACTAGACGAATTATAGCTAGTGTCAATACATTCTTATTTGTTTTTGACACTAGAAGCCGACGCTATCATGTAATATCCTTGTAAGTATTGTGGCTTTACTGTATCATATAGATGAACGTTGAAGATCAAAGTGTATAATTGTATGAGTAAGATAAGAACTAAGTCCTAGCTTCATATCATACGTTTAAGTTATTGATTCTGTATGTATGTTAGTAACGTCAGCAACTAGTTACATTGATATAGCTTCGGTTATAATCACGATGGTTAGGTTAGAGATACAGCCACTAATCGAATAGGTCAACTTCGCAGAGGGAACTCACCACTCAAGGCCATCTTCCAGAAGGGTTCCAATTAACATTAGCTGGATAAGGGAGGGGAAGTTACGTATTGAGCATAGATTGTAGTTTGACATCCCTCTTATTCGTAAGTCTATTTAAACAGCAGTTGCGATAGCTTCGTAATCGGATTCAACCCGATTCTATACTAGGTTATCTCACCTAAGCCCTCTAAGAGGCTTTAAAAATTGCTCATAGCATTCATGATAGAGTACCGGATTTAGCCACCCCTAGGACCTTTGATACGTGGTTTCCCATGCTTCCATAGTCTCGCCTGTTTTGGTTGTGGTTGGGGTTAAGGGCCGTGCGTGACTGCCTAGCAGTCAAATAAAAATACGCAAAATGCGCAGATAATCTTCTCCGTCCCCCACAGACGGCCTGAAAGACCCTTAACCACACAGCCATCCCAATCATGTGAAGTGGAGCTGAGTGTGAATTTTGAAGCATGGGACACTTGGTACGCGAGCCCAAATTAGGACCTTTCAAAGCCCTCGAAGATTGCGCCGTAAGCCTATTGCATTGTTAGATAAGTAACTATCACTTCCTAAGGTCCATAATGGCCAATGACTATCGTCGCACACCAAGGAATGTAACAAGACGGATAGCTATCTAATGTAGAGGTTATATAAAGATAGAGGCTCTTGCATGTGATACGTAAGTAGACTAAGAGACTTGGTTGCTTCACGTAATGCGAATCTCATCGAGATATGCTAGTGGAAGGCTCTCACATATCTTAAGTCTATAGAGCCATTCCATTAGTTGATGTGAAAGTAGACCGTGAAAGTAATAACGCATGCTCTCAAAAGCTTGGGTTGGACGAAAACTTCAATCACATGGGTGGATAATTGATATGCTAGCCTTGGTGCTGCTTGTCCATGTAGAAGGTGCGGAAGTTGCACTAGATAGTAGTGGCCATGATGACACCGATTGATCCCGGGAGCTTCGGGGTAGGTGGCCGGCCTTGAAACAACAGAGTTGGGGTAGGTACCGTTGGCGGGTCACATCCTCGGGCGAGCACCCGCTGAAAGTTCGCAGAATGGCTCCGTAGTGTGCCTGCCAGCAGACGCGATATTGGCCAAAGTGGAGTAGGGGCAGGTGGAGAAACTTAAACTCCTGGTCCCCACAAATTCCCGAAAATCATTTAAAACAGCACCAACATTATTGACCCGATGTTAACCCGAGATTTATCCGAAACAAACACACGTTTCGGGCCGGAAAAACTCACTACCCAAGATCGGATAATCTTCGGGTAAACCAGCCACAATATGGCGAAGCGAAGGGGAAAAAGGGCCCGCCAAGCCCCGCAGCGCAACCCCTCCAGAACATTTTTTTCACCACTGGGCAATTTGCAATTCCAGCAATCGCAACAATTTGAGGGTGAGCCTACAAGTGGAGCTGCACGATCCGGTCGATATCGCAAGCCTTCCCAGAAGCACAAGAATAAGGATCCCACTCCTCCTAAGCATAAGAATCCAGCTGGTCGTCTTTCTCACTGGGATTACACTCACAGCGCAGAGTACGATAACACCCACAACTCGGACGACTCTAACACCAACTCGAACGATCACTCGAACAACAACTCAGACGATAACTCCGCTAACGTGAACGCAACCACCAGCACAACTGATACCACCAATACCAACACTGGCGGTAGCACAGCTCAGACTGCTGACGGTGACGAAGACGAAGACGACGAAGCTGCTAAAGGCGGCAACGGCGACAACTACTTTAACCATCTAGCATTCTCTAAGTCCGCCGTCGATTGTCCTAAACACCTAATTGTCTTTCACGCACAAAATTTCAAGATGGCCGCACAAGAAGAAGAGCAGCCGCAACAGCGAGTCTTTGTTGACGGTTCATTCGCTGAGCTCGCCCAAGAGATGGCTGATCACCTACACATCGGAGATGATGTGAAGCCGCTTCTAGAGAAAGACCAGAAGGATGAGGCTCTTAAGAAGATCGTCCTTGCATCACCGGCACTCAACTCAGCACCTGAGAAAGAGTTCGGTCCTAGCTACAACCTACTTATCTATTTGGTCCTACAGTCCGACAACGCTGGCATGTTTCTCCCTCGAGTTTGCGAAAATCTCATGAAGCCTATCACTTCTTCTCCTGTCCACGGCTCCGGCTTAGCCCTCACTGCTCTTACCACCATCTTCAACCTATTAAACAAGGACACCGAACGAGACAACGAGTTGCGATTCAACGTTCTCATGGCTATTCTGCGATTCGTCAAGCTGAACAGCACCTACAACAGCCTTAAGGACACTCTACCTCATATCAAGGATTGGCTTAACAAGTGGGAGACGGATGAGGAAGACCAGCGAAAGCTCTTCCTAGAAATTGCTGAAGTAGCCCACGATGCAGGTGATGATGAGTGAGTGGCAGTTGCCTTGATAGCATCATGTCGCGAATTACCTTGCTAACAAAATGGTGATACAGGGTTTCATACCAACACGTAATCAGTGCTCTACGTACTTTTGATGAGGATGAAGTCAAGTCACAGGAAGCTCAGCAACTTGCACTCCGCGCCCTGAAGACTTCGATTCTGTCACCTACCCACTTCGACTTCCAAGATCTTCTTGCCATACCTGCCATCCAAGCTCTTAACGACTCAAACCCTGTTTACTTCGAACTCCTTACTATCTTTGCCGAGAAAGACCTTGAAGACTACAACGACTTCAACGAAGAGCACCCCGGTTTCATCGAGAAGGAACACCTGGATAGCAAGACTCTCCACCGTAAGATTCAGCTACTTACCTTCGCGAGCTTAGCAGCTAGCACCCCAAGCCGCGAAATTCCTTATGATAGCATTGCCAAGGCACTCCAAGTCTCCCCCGAAGAAGTGGAGATGTGGGCGATCGACGTAATCCGCGCTGGCTTAGTTGAGGGCAAGCTATCGCAACTTAAGAAGGTATTCCTTGTTCACCAGACAGTCTACCGCGTTTTTGGCGAAAAGCAGTGGCGCGAAGTAGGCGACCGTCTTGACAGCTGGAGAACGTTGCTTACCAACGTGATCGCAAACCTACGTCGAGAACAAGCATCCGCCGAATCGAATAAGAAGCGTGAGGTGGAGGAGCTTGAACGACGTCTTGCAAATGCGGGTGTTGGCGGCAGTTCCTCAAACACAGACCGACGTAGAGGCGGGGGTGGTGATCGCGGTGGTGACCGAGGCGACCGTAATGAACGTGCGCCCCGACGAGAACGAACGGATGACGATGATTAGATGATTTCCTTTACTGTTATCCCTGAAGTTTTCCGTCTTTCGATCGGTTGCATCGGGGAAAAGGTTTACGGCGTAATGTGGCATTTAGGGGCGAGTTCTGATTGCGCATGGTTCGCAGGCTTCGTTTGCGATGGCTGGCGAAACAATTTTGTTGCGCTGCCTTCTTCGCTTGACGAGATACGCTGCGATGCATTGCGATTGAACTCGTATGGCCGAGCTCACGGCCAGGAAACGTTGTAATTGCCCCTCCATTGGTGGTGGCCGGTGATTTATCAGGAGTTGGCTCCCGCATACTCTGAAGGCTTGTATTTAGAGGATACAGAAAAGTTCTCTAGGCAGATCATTACGCGCAGATTTCCTCACGATTAAAAAAGAGGTATTACCATCAGTTGTCTTGTCTTTTTCGTGATTATATGCTACTTGTGTCTGATCTCATAAAAATAAAGTACCACCCTCCCCTTTATCAATACGTCAACAAGGTACTGAGATCATCTTAAGATTCTTCCAAATTACTTGGTATATACTTTTCTATTCATGGTTCCCTCTTCATTCGTAATCATCTCTTCTCTCACACTCTGTTCTCTATAGTATAACTAAAAAGACGAAAAGCCGAAATCTAGGTAACTTCGCAATGCCCCCCCTTACTTCGTCGCTGCCCCTATGCCATCTCCTAAATATCTATGAACTATATACGTCCCATCTACCTCACCCCCTCTACTCGATTTCCTCACACAACCTCAAATCCCCAATCACGCCAACTTCCCCCCACCAAGTCTCTTCTCAAGCTCCTTCTCAGTAGCCTCAAAGACCTGGTCCGGCGCAGGCGTAGCATCGATCTTGACAACGCGGTCTTGCTTCTCGAAGTAATCAACCACGGGCATGCTTGTTTCGATAAAAGTACGGAAGCGTTTACGGATGGACTCCGCGTTATCATCTTCGCGACCGGAAGTCTTGCCGCGCTCGAGCAAGCGGCGTTCCATTTCGGCTTCGGGACAATCGTAGAAGAGGACGAATTGCGCGGGGACGACTGCTTCTTCGAATTTTATGGCTTGGTCGAGTTTTCTAGGAAAGCCGTCGATGAGGAATTTGCCTTTCTTTTTCTTGTCGCCGGTTTGGGTGGATGTGGATGTGGATGTGACGGCGGTCGGTTCGTCGAGGATTTGACGCATGGATGCTTCGAGGAGCGCGATGGTTACTTCCATTGGCACGATCAAGCCGTTGCGGATGTGGTCGCGGATTAAGTCGCCGAATTGGCTGTTGGGACGTGATTGTTCGGCTCGTAGGAGATCACCTGCGGAGAGGTGGGCGAAGCCGTGGCGTGCTACTAGACGCTCGCATTGTGTGCCTTTGCCTGCTCCCGGGCCGCCGAGGACGAAAACTACGGTTACGTCTTCGGGGGAGAAGACGGGGGTTTTGCGGTCTTTGAGGTTGTCAATTGTAGACATTTTGGGAGTTTCGGTCTAGTCTTTGTCGAGGAGATTAGATGAATCGAGGGGTTAATTTCGAGTATTGGTTCTGCTTCTTAAACAAAGTTGGTAGTTGCACCAATAGTCTAGATTTCCCTGTAGTAGTGAAGGTATCTACCACGAATAGAGGCAGAAACGGAAAAGGGGGAAAGCTTGAATTTGTTTACAGTGATGCAACGGCTTAATTTCTTGTAATGTCCCGCATTTTAGTTGGTCAACTTGGTTAGGACCAGGGTATGATTCAATGCAAGCCCCTCCTGATTGCTACCTGTTATCGATTACGGACTCGCTATACCTGTATTGTCTGTTACAAAGGTACCTTTTAGTCACATGCTGAACCCTGTGATGCCTTCACGTTTTATTAATAAAAGACATTATGTGTAATGGCTTATTCACATGTCAAGACGGATTACATGAGTTGGTTGTACAAGAGCGTATGGTGGTGAATAAATCAATTGGTGAAACATCGAAGAGTGCTGCCGTGATATTTGAAGAACTACTATATCATTATGTACAATCGTGAGTCGACTTATAAACAGTGACAGCAAACGCTCATTGTAATCTTCTAACTGGCGCATGCCTATAATCAATCATTAGTACCTTCCATGTATATAGTAGAGCATCTTATTCAAGTCGAGAGAACGAGCATATCATATAGAAGTACTATAAAATGTAAGCTCAACTCACCTACTGTCTGCCCTCGACTTAATCATAAACACATAACCCGCAGTGCCGATACCGATGATAGCCAAGAAGGGCCAGAACTTGACAGAATTGTTGGAGCCTCTTGGAGGTTGCGCACTGTATGCTCGAAATGTTGTTGGTAACGACCTTGGTGGTGATGTAAAGGATGTATAAGCCGGCGCTGTTCGAAACCGGAAGGGCGACATAGGCCGCTTGAGTAGCCGCTGCGTGTTAGCTGCATTGGTCGCCATTTTGGGGGCCGTCTCTCCTCTGTTGAAGATTTTTTCAGTTCGATCGCAACCCCTTTACTGTTTTGCTTTTGGTCCTTCTATTCTCCCTGATACTGCTGTGTTTGAATATGCGCCTCGACAATGTGTAATAAAGTTGTAACTTTTTTTTCTTCAGGTGAGCAAGCTCGGGGAAAGCTTGGGATCGGGGGAACGGCCCACCATCAGCCGATGCTACACCATAACTTTTCCGACCGGCTACCAACTGCCCGCCACCTGAAAATAATCAGGTACCTTAGGTAGGTACGTATCTTTACTCACAGCTCACACAATACAATGGTGACAGCTTCACTCCTTCACATAAACACTGCCACCATCGTAGCCTCGTATCGTCTCTTACACGTGGGAAACAAAAATAACTAGAAGTTTGTATAACCCAGCAAAACCAATCAACATTCCCTCTCCCTCATTCAACAAATTACAATTCCTCACATCCTTCAAGGATCAAGGTACCAGTCGAAGGACCCAGGCCGGCCGATAAGCGAAAGGCTGTGAGTGTCGCAAAGTCATTCATTCCCGTGTAACCCACGATTCATCAACACCGCCTAGTTTGTGCGACGTCATCGTCAATCAATATGAATATCACAACAAGTAGGCTGGGGAGAACCGAGCGGCCATATCCCTACACACATATACCCTCCTGTCGATTCAGCCTTACTCTCGTATCAAACGAACCGTGCTTTGGGTAATGATCACGTCCGTGTTATGAGCCTCAACATACCATTCCTCTCAACCGGCAAGTGAGACCATCCAACTATGATAAAACAATCCCTGTCTGTGCCAGCCATGCCACAGACGTGCCGTTCCGAAAGGATGCCGCTATTAGCGTATCAATAGATCCTGTAGGTGTAAGCAAGGCTCTCTTATCATATGTACCTATTCGTGTGTCAAGTATGCCAATAGCGTGGATGAACACATCACCAGGCTAGAAAGTAATGGAGGATTGATGTGATATGTTTTCATTGTAGAAAAATGCTATACAGACGTAGCGGTAGGTAAACTACCCAAGGTAAAATAGGTAGATATGATAATTATAAGTAATATAAGTGTTCCGTTCCATCCCCGAGGTATATCCTGAGTTCGCCGGTATTCCCAAAATTCACTTTCTCCCACACTCGCGCAACGTACATACACAAACCCAATCATATAACCTCGAGAACGCCGCGTAAGTTGTTGGTATTGGTATTGATGATAATGATATTGGGGTCAGTTGATTCGTCGGTTCCTTAAAATCTTTCCATGCATGTCGTAAATAGACAGAACAGATATCATAGAGGTATAATTGATGGTAATAAATGGTACCACGTGATTGGAGGGAAATTTCCAAACTTCGAATCGACTTAATCCCCCTTTTTTCCAGCTCAGCTGAACAAATGAAATTAGGCTATATTCAGATAAATAATGTTGTTTATTTTTATTGTTTTTTTAGGCTACGCCTGTTCATCGTGCGTGACCGAAAGTCGTCTGAGCTGGGGGCGGGCTCCTGAGGGCGTCGTTGTAAGCCCCCGGAATGGGAACGGCGTCGTACTGAACCTCGCCAGGTGCGACAGGACCGTGCTCGTTGATAGAACTAGGACCCGGGGCGTCAGGGGTCGTGGGTGATCGGAAGGCACCCTGACCTAGCTTGGGGGTGGCTGAGGGAGCCTTAGTTGGAGGAGCCTGCAGCTTGAATGGCTTCTCAGCGGGCTTGCTCGGGGCCGCGAAGGATGATTGCGGCTCAGCGACTTGTGGTCCCGGTGTGAATGAAGGACCCTCCTCAATATCTGATAGCGACTTGTAGACCGAGGGCGGGAAGCGCGGCGACATGGCGTACTGGGAGTAGGATGGAGACTTGGGGCCGAAGCCTGGTGTGTTAGGCGCTGATTGCGAGCGCAATTGGGCGAGGTATAGATCGGATCTAGCGCGATCTCGTAGGTCCATCGACTTGGCTAGGCGACGCTTGGTGTAGTATCGGTAGAAGACGACGCTGTATAGGACGATCGTGATAACATCGATTATGATCTCGATAATAATACAGATCAGAGACCAGTTCTAAAGGGATCATTAGATATATAGTCCAACTCATGAATATCCTCGCAATTACGTACCTGAAGTCTGCAAACGAGTTCGTAATCGACTTTCTGCGAGAACAGGTCGGCACGGTGGTTTTGAACACAAGCCCATCCCCACATGTCTTGGTTACCACTGTTGTTCCTCGTGAATTGCAAGACACCGGCAGCGGCAGCCCATAGGATCACAGATACGATAAACCACCCAACTGCGAATAGCGTGTAGTACACACCAACTTTCTCGGCGCGATGGTGGCCGCCACGGCAGTAACCGATGAAGATGAGAATGCAGATGAGGAGGTTGGTGCAGGAAACGCACAAGACGAGGATTTGCGGCCATGTTTGTGTGCCTGATGCCCATGGTGGTAGGCCGTTTTGTGCTGGTAGTGACTTGGTCGCGTGGAAGATGGAGAACGAAGAGGCGAGCATGGCTAGGATAATGGTACTGCAGCTAAAGCTAACACCTCGAAGAGCGAACTTGGCCATTCGTACTTTCGTCTTGATGCCCTACATTATGTGTTAGTCTAGATGTATGCTTGCTTGGTCATAGCACAACCTACCAAGTCCTTCTTTTGTTCCTTATCCGTGGCCTTTTCGCGCTTCTCTAATATTTCCTCTTCCCTAAACGTCGGGCTTAATGGGTTGTCGAATTTCCTTCCTGGTGTACCTGGAACCTTCATTGCGCTCTTAAGAGGCGACTTCGGTGTCATTGGCACGTTTACTGGTGCACTACTTGAGTCGTCGTTGATATATCCAAACCCTACGTCCGCCGGTTGGGGCTGCGCGGTATGTGATCTGTCATCTCTTCCAAACGGCATGCTTCTTTGCTCTACCGGTGAATAAACTGTGGTGGCTTCTGCGAATCTGGGTGTCCTTGGCGGCTTAAGCGACGAGGTAGAAGAGGATCCAGTAGAAGAGGATCGCGATGGTCCTAGTTTGAGGGCGGTAGGCCGCCTTTTGTCGTCTTGCGGCGCCATTCTGTTGGGGTATAATGTATGAAAAGGAAGAGAAAAGAGAAGAACGAAATAAGACTCTGTCTATGGGTATATGATACTATGCTATGAGAGCTTCAGGAATAGAGCCGATAATGTATATAGCCCAAAGATAGAAATGAAGCAAAATATGGGAAGAAATTTGGAGAGACCAGCTATCGAAGAAGAAAGTATCTCGAAGCTGGATAGCTGGGGGAGGTGGAGGTTTTGAGTAGGCGCCGGTACAGGATTCTACCACCTCATTCGACCCTCTATGTGAATGTTCTGCATGGGATGGGTTAGTCAATGGGGCTACATGAGCTGCAATGAGATCGCTCACGGTGGGCCGGGGGTAGGAAATCCCCCGGATGCGAGCTTGTGATAGGGCAAGCTAGGGAAACCCCAATATCCAAGTTGTACGATTATGAAAATAGACGCCCGGAGAGAGTAGTCTGGCGCCAGGCACTTGGCTGGGTGGTATTGGATTCCCAGATCAACCTGCCGCTGTTAATTGCGATGCCAGACGGCGCAAGTCACAGATTCCTGATACTAAGTCTCCCTCGCGTTACTGGAAACGCGAAAGCAAGAGAAATGTCCTTGAAAAATGAAGTAGGCAAGAAGGCATCCCGCTGGGGAAAGAAAAAGAGAGAGGCTCAGTATATGGAAAACAGGAAGAGGGGACATGGCCCCCAATTGAGAAACAATATCCAGAAACAGCGATACTTCCATTACGGCGGGAATATAGGTATAGAGAAAATCGTAAGATAGATTTCCTATAGGGAACACCACCCACACCTATCAGCGAGTATGTACTTCGGCACATAATTGCTAGTAGGGCCATGTAGCCCATGTACTTTGGCAAACGTACTCTAGAATCGAGAGTCCGTTGTCACAACCAACTACCTCTTGGGTGCAGGGCTGGGCGACAATTGGGTGCATTCGCCATACCAAATTTACGAATGAGGTTAAAGAGAGACTTGGTAAACTTGCGAGCAACCAGGGGGGCCACCCCAGCCGAGCGCAAAGACAGGGAGAATTGAATATGGTTGGTCGCCGGGGCGGTTCTCCCTAGCATTTCTTTTGACCCCTGTTGGCGATCTACCGACGTGATAGGCAGATAATACCCCATGTAGGACCCGTGCCAGATGCAAGGTGGAAAACACAGCCAATCAGAAGCTGTATAGACGTGATGCCGCTCGACACCATGCATGAGATCAGGTTGTGCCTGGGCGGTAAGCTTTCCCACATTCAATAGAACGGCCTTGTTCGGAGTTCGAGTCCCGGCTATCCCCCATGTTCCAAGCCATGGCTGTTAGGTCATCGTGTCTTTTTTTTCGCGCTCACTTTTTTGGCCGTCGAGGGACCCTCTCTTAGCGGAATTTGAGGCAATATTCTCTCCCTCAACCGATAGAGCACATATACTTGCCAAGCATGAAAAAATTTATCAGAGCAGGGAAACTTAACAGTTCTTCCTGGTCGTTATTCGGATGGCATGGTAAGCTGATTGTAGGTAAAATAGTTCCTATTTTAGCAGAGAAATTAATCATTCGATTTTGCGCACTCGGCCAATTTCGAGGAAAATAATCGGAAGGGTGGTTGTCGTGATGAATGTAACCTTAGTCACAAAAATGCCTGAACCCCCGTCTCCGAACCCCTTCCCTCCCACATTAATCGGTTGCACGGACGGCGGGAAGGGAGGTCAGTTTCTGATGAAATCTGCATGCCATTATGCTACCAACCCCAAAAGTAGCGTCACTCAACTCTTGACAATCAAGGCTGTAGTGTGCTGCCAAGGTTTGCGAGGGCTATTTTTAGGCCTCTTGGGTTCACAGCCAATGAGGTGTTGTCCAAACCAGCGGGATAGATTGCAACAAAAGTAGAGATTATACTAGAAGTATGTTGTTAAACCACACCTAGACGGTCCAGATGTCATATTAGTATACGCACGCATACGATGATGCTATCACCAGTACACCCAGTATACCCTTAGCGTCGTTCTGAATACTAGAATAGAACTCGAAGGTGCCATGTAACCTACATCGGATGAAGAATCATGGTAGGGCTGCATATCAATATCTTCGTGCAGACAAGCGGTAGTCTTGGTCATGAGTTACCATTATGTTGATGTGATAACCTCTTGTAAGCTCTATAATCAGCTCTCTAGAGGCGAAAGTGTCAGGTTGCTAGAACGAATATTCAAGAATAGTCCTGTCTTAGCGGTGATGAAAATAGTTGTCATAGAAGAAGAGGTTTCTGTGGTCTGGACTGGTCTCGATACTTTGATGGTTCCGCCTCGATGGCATTTTAAAACCGCTAGATAGGCCATCGATGAAATCCATTGACAGTCGTGTTGAGACTTATGTAATAGCAATGGTCGCTTGTCTGCTCTCACTCTCTTCGTGTAAGAAATAAAGAATCGATCGATGAAGAGACGGATGCGTATTCAGAGTCTGAGTATCATCATGTATGAATAGTATGAGTGAGTATTAAGGCTAATACAAAGCCAAATTGTTAGCCTTTAGTTTTAAGGGAAAGGGACGAGCATGTATTTGTCTTAATATGGCAACGACGTGATGTGTGACTATCCTTTGGATTGAAATTATATAGAAGCGACGAGCTTCACACAATCATGTTCACTAAGAAGGTACGATTTAGATGTACCCTTTCTGCCTTGTTTGACCGCTTTACCATTTGCTGGGTACCTAGGTACTTCCTACCTTACCTAAGTGAACTTGCCCCTCATTCGTTATCTTATCGAACAGTCAACCTCTTGGCAGGCAAGAGAAAGACTCATACACAACTTTCAAAAAATCCCAAACTCGACACCTAAACGTCATTTTCTATAAACTTTTAGGTGCCGATTCCAACCCATCCGGCGATTAAATATTACCATTCTACACCCACAGAAGATATTACAAATCGATAAATCAAGGAATTCTTCTACATTTATCTCCAAATCTCGACATCATGTCTGCGCCCGACAAGTTCGGCAATGATATCGAATCCGAATCGGATTCTGGTAACGAATCCCAGAACGAGGGTCTTGACGATGGCGTTGAGGAATTAGACCAAAAGCCTCTCAAGTCGGCATTGAAAAAGACACCTTTAGCCCCCCCGGTTCCCGTCCAACGACCTACTCTTCCTCCTCAGACCGATGCGAAAGACCTCGATCTCAACTCGCTGACCCCGCTCACTCCCGAGATCATCGCGCGGCAGGCCACCATCAACATTGGTACCATCGGACACGTCGCTCACGGAAAATCGACCGTTGTGAAGGCCATATCTGGTGTCCAGACTGTTCGTTTCAAGAACGAGCTTATCCGGAACATTACCATCAAGTTGGGATACGCAAATGCCAAAATATATAAATGCGACAACCCTGAATGCCCACGACCTGGATGCTACCGGAGTTACAAGAGCGAGAAGGAGGTTGACCCTCCTTGCGAACGTGATGGTTGCAGCGGCACCTACAGATTACTGCGCCACGTTTCGTAAGTTTACTCTATTATTTACTGGCTGGTTCGTGCTAACAATCTCTAGTTTCGTGGACTGCCCTGGTCACGATATTCTCATGAGTACCATGTTGTCAGGAGCCGCAGTCATGGACGCTGCCCTCCTACTTATTGCTGGCAACGAATCTGTCCCCCAGCCGCAAACATCAGAGCATTTGGCAGCTATTGAAATTATGAAGCTAGACAAGATCATCATTCTACAGAACAAGGTCGATCTTATGCGGGAAGAAGCTGCCCAACAACATTACCAGTCTATCCTGAAGTTCGTCCGTGGAACACCTGCTGCCAAGTCACCAATCATTCCTATCTCCGCCCAGCTTAAGTTCAACATTGACGCTATCAACGAAGCCATCGTAAATACCATTCCCGTGCCAATCAGAGACTTCACTCAGGAGCCTCACATGATGGTCATCCGATCCTTCGATGTCAACAAGCCAGGTGCTGAAATCGAAGAATTGAAGGGTGGTGTAGCAGGTGGCAGTATCCTTCACGGAGTGTTGAAGCTGGGAGATGAGATTGAGATCAGACCAGGTATTGTGACTCGAGACGACAAGGGTGCCCTGCAATGCAAGCCCATCTGCAGCCGCATCGTTTCCCTAAACTCTGAGTTTAACGATCTTAAGTATGCTGTACCCGGTGGTCTGATCGGTGTTGGTACGCGTATTGATCCTACTCTCTGCCGAGCCGACCGTCTAGTCGGTTTCGTTCTTGGTCTCAAGGGTCGTCTACCTGCTATCTATAGTGAGATTGAGGTCAACTTCTACCTCCTGAAGAGACTGCTTGGTGTCCGTACTGCCGATGGCAAGCAAGCCAAGGTAGCCAAGTTAACCAAGAATGAAGTTCTGATGGTGAACATTGGTTCTACTTCTACTGGTGCCAAGGTCGCCGCCATCAAGCAGGATGCTGCCAAGCTGTCGCTTACTAGTCCTGCTTGCACAAACTTGGGAGAGAAGATCGCCCTTAGCCGAAGAATCGAAAAGCATTGGCGTCTTATCGGCTGGGCCACCATCACAGCGTAGGTCCCTTCTCCATTAAATCCGGAATGATTATCCCGTTAGCTAACGATTTATACAGCGGTGTTACTGTGGAGCCAATCGAGTCGTGAAGTCTATCTACCTGAGGTCGAATCCAACTTTTGAGTAGTCAGAGTTTGACGAGCTGCATTTTTTAAGGCGTAGACAAGATACACTAAAGAACCGAGTATCCCCTAAGCATGGGGGACGGGCGTCGGGAGAAAGAGCGACCCTCGAGCGCTTCATAGAGACATGAATAATCTCTGCTTAAAGTCCGTAGAGTGGAAAGGGGAGTATCTGGAAAGATCCGGTGTGGCGGGCTACATAGGGAGAGATGGAATAGCGGGCGAGCTCACATTGCTCTTTAATTTTGCCATCTTTCCACCCTTGAGAAGCATGAAATTCTTGTAGCACTCGTCTAGGTAGTAAAAAGGAAAGAGAAAAAAATCCGAATATTCTTATGACCAAACTCTTACAATTCTTGTAACATGACATAACATGTATATGACCCTTGGCATTTTGTGCTTGAATCACGTACATCACGATATTATCATAGACGCCGGATAATCGTAACATTAAGCTCGTTAGGAGCAATTAGATTATTTCGTATCTGACCTTTTTGACCTTTTTACTTCCTAGTTTTCCTTGCGTGCTTTACCAGATTTTCTATAACACCTTCAAATGCCTCCCTATCACCAATCTTCTCATCTGTGCGTTTCTTCCAGTATTCCAGTACATCTTTTGCTAGTACTTCCATATCTCGCAACTTCTTCACATGTTGTTGAAGCTCCTTATCGGTCATACCGCTTAATGCCTCATCCGTCGTCGTGCATAGCTGCTTAGCTGACACTAAATCTAGATCGGGTGCTTCAGGCTGTCCTTTCCTTCGCTTCGATGCTGACCTCGGCTTCTCCTTTCCTTGAGAATCTACTGATACTGAGGAGTTATTATCGGTATCTGGTTTCCTGAGTCGGGAGACGGAGCGAGAGTCGCTTGACGTGCGTAGGGAGCCATTGGAAGTGACACGGTGGATGGATGGGAGCACGAGCTTTTTCTGTTTGGAGGCTGGTAATATTTCGTCTAGATCCACTGGTACACCAAGCGAGACAAGAAATAGGCGTCGTATGCGGGACCTGATCCAATCAGGAGGCTGGAGGGGCGGTGGGGCGGCGAGCTGGGACCATAGAGAGGCACTTCGTGGATTGAAGAATATGGGATTATCTTTTGGCGGTGATGGCAGGGCGGGGAGTTCTTGTATGTCAGGAGAGAATAGGGCATCCAGGTATGGTTCCGTTGCTGCTATTATATCCTCCGAATCAAGACCATCGAGATCTAATATTGGCTGATGGGAAAACAAGTTAGCATATTTTATGAGGCTACCTAGCGAGGGTCCTAAACATACAAAGGAGGGTATTGAGACCTGAGGTTGAGAAGCTGGCATGGGAGCCTCTGCCTCCGCCTCGGTTGTCTGAAAGCCATCGTCAAAGTCGCCAAAATCCGCATCTTCATCACCCTCTTCAAAATCGTCAAAGTCGTCGCCAAAATCATCCTCGTCCTTGTCATCAACATTTCCTTGCCCAAAACTTCCTGTTGATTTGGCCGCCGATGATTTTCTCCGCCGGTGGCGTGTGGGTGACTTGAGTGAAGGGGCTACATTCGCGTTATCTACGAGGGCAGGGTCAATCGCAATGGGTAGCTTCAGGAGGACTTGGCTGCCGTACCAGTTGCATCCTTGCTGGTGTCAAGCGAGGAGGGTGTTGGGTTTGCCTCGCCAGTACCGTCGGGTTTACGAACGAAGTCTGGGGAGGCGTCTGCTTGATGAAGAGATTCATGATAGCGGTGGGTGGAAGACCCAGGTACGTCTGCTGATTCATCGACCACAGTCTTAGGGATTGGATGACCTCCAGGAGTTACAGGCCTGTCTGGCGAGACAGACTCTGACTTCTTGTCGTGGATAATAGCAATCTCATCTGGTTCAGCATCTTCCGTTCGCTTCTTATAAGCTTCTGTACCCGGGACTTCACCGTAAGATGGCTCATCATCGACTTTCTCGACTCGCGTTCGTGGTACTGGAGAGGCAGACCCTGGACTATTTCCAGGAGAGGATTGAGCGTCGGAGAAGTGCTCGTCGGAATCGGAGGATGCTGAACGATTGTTAACAAAAAAGGAAGGTGAGATTTATGAGAAGTATCAAAGCATACCGAGCTCATGAGCACCTGGGTCCTCCGTTCCCTTTCTCTCTGGAGCTTCGAGGCTAATTGACCTCCGTTCTCTGGACATAATGACAGAAGTTCTAAGGTAGTAATATGAGGGAGCAGTTCTTGAATCGGAGCGTTCAAAAATTTGGAGATATAGATAACAAATTATTATTAAGAGTTGCGGTCTCCCTTGTCGACAGCTGTTAAGCGGCTGGGAGGGGTATAGTAAGACCAAATTGCAAATTGATGAATATAGGGGTAGGATAAGCTATTGGCTTGTAGGTAGCGTGGGAGCGTTGTAGCGATCTCGGAATCAGCTGTAGGATCTATAGAATATGTGCGAGGTTGTAAATCATTTCTCCCTGTTGCCGTACCTTCAATGGTGAGGTAATGAATAGAGATCGAGACTTTAGTTCGGCGATCGGAGACATATGTCCCTGTATTGAGTTGGGTACTAATAGAGTGGGCAGGTAGGACTTGGAGAAAGTGAAAGCGCACATTCGGTGTGTGACGAGCTGATTAGATAAGAAAATCCTCTAGTTGGAACTATAAATTCCCTAGCCCTTTTGTGGCTGGAGTAGAGAGCTCCAGGGCTCTGACACCTGGCAACTTTTACTGGACAGCTCCATTGAAGCTGGAGGGTGTTCAGGTGCTGCCGTTATTCGTTGAAGTAGGTACGTACCGACGGTAAAAGCCCAATTGTGGTCAATGCGTAATATGCTAGTCGCGTCCTACCTCACCTTGCTCAGAAGCTTGTCGCGCAAAAAAAAAAGTGGTCGGTCTGTGATGCATGAATACATAAAAAATATTAATAACAGCTGTAGGAAAACCATTCACGTTTTCTACAACTCGGCGACCTGCACGCATTGGGGGTTAATCTTACATGCGAATTCCTTTATAGCGGATTACAAACGACCTTTATTCCCTAATAACATCGTCATCTACGTCGGGTTTGTGCATATAACCGACACCCAAGCCTTTTCTTCCCTCGTGGGTTGGAGGATGAGTGCAGGTCTATAAGCGCAACTGTCCACATTCCACCTCGCAAACACACAACTGCCATCATATTACATCCAAAACATCGCATTTTTCCCATTCTCATCAAACGAATTTACACCATGTCGTTGTTTGGCGCTTCAAGCTCGGCAGGCCAATCCAACAATGCCACCACATCCAGTGCGCCCTCTTCCGGTGGCTTGTTTGGCTCTACGACTACGACTACGACTACCCCAGGCGGCCTTTTTGGTAACAACTCTGGCGGTGGTTCATCAACCGGTGCACCTAGCTTCTCCTTCGGCGGTATGGGGAATAATAACACGACCGCTTCGGCTGCTTCGACTGCTTCGACCGCAGCTCCAGGCAATCTGTTTGGAAACGTATCCAAACCGGCGGAGCAGAAGCCTTTGTTTGGAGCAGCGGCGACAAGCAACCCGCCTGGTTCATTGTTTGGTGCGGGTTCTCAAACTTCTACTTCTAACATCTTTGGCAACAAACCAGCTCAGTCTAAAATATTCGGAGATGCTTCTACTGCGCCAACATTACCAGGTTCGACTATGAGATCCCCTCCGACCACAAGCGCTCCTCCAAGCTCAACGTTTGGGGCAAATAATAACAGTTCGACACCAGCCACCTCCGGCACCTCCACCACGACAGGATTATTTGGTAACCTCACCAGCGGAAATGGCGGTCCCGGTCTTTTTGGCGGTGCCGGCGCGGGCAGCACGCCAGCAAACAATACACCCGGTGCATCGACGCCAACAAAACCAGTGTTCGCTCTAAACTCAACCACTCCTGCGGGAGCCCCTCCGGCAAAGCCTGCTGAGAGCCTTTTCTCGAAACCGCAGGGCCTCGCACCCGCCCAACAAGGAGAGCAAACGGGGATCCCATCATTCTCGTATTTGGCCAATGCAACGGCGGCCCAGCCGGCGTCCTCCGCCCCGAGCTCTAGTTCGGTCTTCGCGAATGCAGGTGCCACTCCGGCCTCTAATCAAGCCTCTAATCTCTTCGGGGGCTTGAAACCTGCTGAGAGCAACTCTGCTCCGAGTATATTTGGAGCGAAAGCCGCACCGAGTAGCGACGCGGGACTCTCAGCATCGTCACTTTTTGCACAACAAGCATCATCCAAGCCTGCCGAGACGTCGACTAAACCCGCTGGTTCTCTCTTTGCAGCAGGTGCCACGCCGACAACATCGGCCAGTACACCCTCGCTAACATTCCCTAGTTTGGGTGGTGGCACTTCGTCTACTCCTGTGAATACGGTTGCTTCTGCTGCCCCGACAACAGCCCAACCAAGCTCACTCTTTGCAAACCTTAACAAACCCGCTGCTAATGCTGCTACACCTGTACCGGCTAAGACGCAAGCACAGGCGAGTAGCATGTTTGCTAATCTAGGGAAGCCTGCCTCCAGTGCCGCAACCACTGAACCGGCTAAGCCTGCATCTAGTTTATTTGCTGGCGCTACCGCTACCTCGACAGCTGGAACTACACCTGCTGCGACTACCTCACAACCCGCCGGCGCGGCAACTTCTGCTGCTACAGGCCCTACTTTCCCGGCAACGGTAGCCCCGATCACGACTGCGCCGTTTGGGGCCGCAGCGAAGCCTGCCCTGTCAACAGATGGCGCGGCGGCGCAACCAGCTGCGGGTGCCGCCCCCAGCCTTGCTGCTTCCACTGCTGGTCCTCCTTCGTCTATGGCGCGACTGAAGAATAAGACTATGGACGAGATCATTACTCGTTGGGCTACTGACCTCTCGAAATACCAGAAAGAATTCAAGGAACAAGCATCTCAAGTCGCGCAGTGGGATCGTCTCCTTGTTGAAAATGGAGAGAGAATTCAGAAGCTTTACTTGGAGACTTTTGAAGCCGAGAAGGGTAGTCGTGAGATCGAGCGACAGATTGTTGGCATCGAGAGCCAACAGGAAGAGCTTGAGTCGTGGTTAGACAGGTACGAGGGCGAAGTGGACGCTATGTTTAACAAACAAGTCGGACACGGAGAGCAGCTAGCAGGACCTGATCAGGAGCGTGAGAAGACCTACAAGTTGGCCGAGAAGATTACTGAGAAGTTGGATGATATGGGCCGTGACCTTACTAAGATGATTAAGGAAATCAACGACATCTCCGGCACGTTGAGCAAAGGCAGCAAGCCGGATGACCCGGTAAGTTCTATACCCATAACATTCCTACTATGTCGAATTTCAGCTAACGGTCTTATAGTTGAGTCAAATCGTCCGTGTTCTTAACAGCCACCTGGCCCAACTGCAGTGGATCGATACCAACGCCGCTACATTACAGGCTCGGGTTTTAGCTGCACAGAAGGAGCGTAGCACGATTGGCAGTCATTATGGCGGCCCGGAACAGGATAATGTGGACAGCTTCTACCGATCCTACATGGGACGTAGGTAATCCCATAATATTTAGTATCCAGGCTATTCAGAGGCGGTGCTTTTTTTTCTTAGGGGAAGTTTGTCAGGAGTACAGGGCATCATGCGCAGAATTTCGATATAATTCATTGATCATGGCACGCAGTAGGACAACGAAAGATCCTTAAGAAGCATGCTATGATGAGAAACGAGGGTTTTATTCTCAAGGTAGTAAACAAGGAGTCCATTGCATGACATGTATGTTGTGCAGTGGCTGTATTTATGTACACTAGGACATGGCAAAATGCGATGGCTGAAGGACAAATCTGGTTCTTTTATGCTGATTTTCTAGTGACCTGCCGAAAACACTTCGTACTTGATTTCCAACTAAACATCTTAACGAACGGAGTGTTTAGACTGCCTTCCTTCTCTTACATGCTAGGTAGGTAAGGTGGTAGCCTTAAATTTAGTTGTGCTCGCCGCCTTGCTCCTTGGTCAACTCATCGCTGTAGTACATATTCGTTAGTATATTGTAGGATCCGGGAGCTTATGGAAAGAGGAATCGGGTATCGAAACGGCTTACATGTGGTCGGATAGCTTCTTGAGGTGCTCCTGCTGCTCGTTGAGCTTCTTGCGTAGCTCGAGAAGCTTCTCCTTCTCACGCTGACGGATGGAGTAGTCTTCGTTGGCCTTTTCGCGCTTTTGGAAGGCATCACTATTTGCCATTCTCTTATTAGTTTTATTCTCTTTCCTAGTATTATTCTGCGATTCAGGTCTTAGGGTACGCTCTTTCAATGATTCCTAGCTCTTTTTGTTGTTGATGCTCTACCGAAATAAGAGCATTCCATTCATCGGCGGGGTGATGTTGGGATGTGTGACGTACCCTTGGCCGCCTAAGCTGCCGAGTCTGTTCGGGGCACCAGTGTCTCCGGCAGACATGACACGGATAGTCGTCGTAAATGCTCGGCGGGAAGATGCGATGGCGAGGCCGCGGGAGGGGATCTTGGTGAGGGCTTGACGGTACATTGTGTAGTTGTGTTGGAGTAAAATGTCTATAGGAACAACGACAAAGGTTTAGTTAGTCTTTGGTTACCCTAGAAGTAAAGTCACGGGACGATCGAAAAGCAAGGTTAGGCTAGGTAGATAGATACCTGGTATGGTATTTAATTGGTTTGTTGCGATTGAGTGCTGTGTAGTGCGATGGACTTAAAACTGAGGCACTTACAATGTGGGTGGGTTTGTTCAATTGGAGGAAGCTACACTGCCTATGAAGTCAATGCTAAAGCTACTGAGGTACAACATAGCCGGCGGAAGGAGACGGAGCGCACGGACACAAACGGGGCGGAACTCCCCTAAGTCTTGCCTACAATAAGCTTAGTCTGTTTGGTGGGATGGAATTGCCCAGGCAGCCAGGCTGGTGGCTGTGGCTGGCTGGTCCCTCCCTCAGGCCATTTCCGCATAACATCATCAATGATCAGTGATCGCGCAAAAAATCCGGCGGGCTGGTATAGTTCGTTTCTTTCCCATTCCCATGTGGTCATATGATATAGAAAAAAAAAAGGGTTGTAGCTCATCTACCATTGGAGATTTGCCGCGTATCATTAAATAAATCTATAAGCTTGTTTCCAAGCCTATCAATTGAATACTTTGCTTAGTCTTCGCTTTGGTACACTGCGGAATTCGTCATTTCGAAATATTATAAGTCGTATACAACATTGGCTAGCATGCAACCATAATGCATGTAGATGGACGATGATATTCAGGTTTGATGTTGTGACTGATTTTCGTATGGAAATAGGACGCATTACCGGCTAGAATGGCTACATGCGATGCCATTATGCTAGATGGTTGTTAGTCATGCTAATCACGAGAAAATAATGGAACTTGGTATCGTGAGGCTCCAGATTGTCTGGTATGATGCCTAAAGCATAAAAGTTCCAACGTGGTGCGGCAGTTCCTGGCCCTGGAAGCCGGGCCAAACAAAAACCAACTTAGCAATGCGTGTGGTTTCCGACCCCTCCCTGGAAGACAGGACGACGCCGATGACGTTTTGCACATGTCGAATTTTTTCCGCCCTTACTCTTGATTTTCAGGTCGAGTTTGCCTTGACGGTACCTAGGTAGCCTAGATAAGTCGGACAAATAAGAATCCTAGGACTTGCGGGAGCCGGCACGGGAGTGGCCCCGAATAAGAAAAGCCAGGCGCACGATAGTGCATACATCTGTATGTATGAGTTATTTGGGCTGCAGATTGTTGACGTAGGCTGAAATTCTTTCCCTCTTATCGCCCAGCAGTGGCGGTGGTATTCGCAGATGGAACGCAACACTGGTTGCCTATGGAAGATTCCTGGGGGTACAAAGAATGGACTTGGCTCGTGCTTCGGTCGCCTTGAATTATCTATGATCCCAGCAGCCCAGTTAGGCGATTGGTTAGCTCGATGGTAGACCCTTTTTCTCGGTGACTCTTGAGACATTGAATGAGATTAATGGAGGGTCACTTGAATGCCCTTTCTTTAAGTATCGTTAGATCGTAAGGACTGCAACCTAAGAGAAGATAAGAGTCAGGTCACATAGTTCCAAGATTTGGTGGTCGTAGAGGAGCTTTAGGTCATCTCGAATCCTTCCTTCGAGGCTTGACATCCTGTGGTTCATCAGGTGCCCGAAATCTAGATTGCCTACCGGTGTAGGGTACTTTGAAATGTACTGGTACATATTCGCCTTTGTAGGTAGCATGAAATTGGACCTTTAAAATGCGTGGGGTACAGAACAATGCTCTCGTGCAGGTGATACAAATAGTCGATAGTATTGGAACGGGACGTAGGAAATGTGAGTAAGGAGGTGAAAAGGAATTGAGTTATTGGCTTATCTAGAAAAATCTTGCAAATATGTCAGAAGTTTGAGGTGATGGAAGTCGTTTGCAGCTTCTTCATGTACCCACTGACATAACGATTGGAACCTTGGAAGGCAAAATCATCGGGCAAGTGCAAAGTGCCTTGCCTGCCTACATGCATTGGTGTACTTGCCTAGAATTATTTTAACTGTATATACCTAGGTACTTAGGTACTTCCATACTTATAATGTTGGACCTAGCGCATCATTGGATCAAAATTGGACTGGACTCACGTTTGGATATCGGGTTTGTATGTACCTAGGAAAGTACTTGTTGTAGGTAGGCATAAGAAGTACCTAACCTTGTTGAGGAGGTGTACGCAGTATGGTGCTAATGACAGAATGATTAAGGACTAGAAGTACCAAACGTTTAGATTTGAGGATGACCCCTATCAAGCCTTGTTCCATTATGCTGTCAAATGATCCGCTATCCGCTGCCAAGTTTAGAGGGCGCGTAGCTCAGTGGTTCTTAGGGCGAGTTAGGCTCTATAATGTGGACGGAACCGGTACTGGGAAACCTGGGTGGGCGAATTCAAGGTTAGCGGAAGGTAATGTAGGTGAGGTGAGGGGAGGTACCTTACCTACGTCAATGTAGCCTAGGAGGTACTTACCTAAATTCAATAATTCAATTAGGTATGTACGTGGACAGCGAGTACAGCTTGCAGCTTGTACAGTACATGGATGACATGGGGGGCAACCTAGAAATTTACTGGGTGATCAGGGTGGCAAAGGGTGGTAAAGGGTACCTGAGTTACTTCCCACATGGATCTCGTCTCCCCCTCTCCCACGCGCGCACTGAACCCAGCAGAGCAACCCTTCTTTCTCTTACCTCCTACACCTCAGGCTCTACCTCCTACCTTCCGCCTACCGCCTACCGCTTACCACTTACCACCTACCTTACCATCCTACCAACAAAACCGAAAAATGCAGCACCACTCTTAGTCGACACAAAAACTCTCCCAAAACTTCTGCTCCCCATACATAAATCACCAAAACAACAACACCAATTTATTATTTCCCCCTTCGTCTTCGCACTTCCTTCTTGTGCATCTTTCACCATACAAGGTCTCGTTCCTTGACAACTCATCTAAGAATCCAACCCACAAAGGTACGTTATTCATCATCCCATAATAAAGCACCTCTCTCCTTAATTCCCCCCCTCCCACTCTCATTTATTTCTCTGCACCTACCGCCATGTTCCTTGGCCTACTACCCTGAGTCCCGCCTTGCACTTTCGTCATCGCCCACATCACGACTACCTCTTTCCTGTCGCCTTACACACGACAACAAACCCATCAACCACCAAATGCGATTCGTCCTCTACATCAATTGATTATTGCGACAACGTCCACGCTTATTCGCCTACCTTTTCCCATACGCGTTTTCCAACCGCATCTCCTGGCGCAAACCCCACCGACTGCGGGGAGGTTGATCTCTAGTTCACCGTCACAACTCTCGACCCTCTAGATATCTACGACAAGGTAGCGCGTTCCCCGAACTCGCTTCGTGAACACCTCTTCTTCCATCTTAATACCACTTTGCCAATCTCCCAGGTTACCAGACGACCCTTTGTTGACATGCAACATTAATCCTCCTACCACCTCAATTTCGTTCCTCTTTCACACCGCATTGACCCCCCCCCCCACTATAATTCAAAATATATTATCTGAATAATTTTGCGACTGACATAACTAATTTTTTAGTTCTGATTTGCTAGATCTTCACATCGCCAAAATGGGTCACGAAGATGCTGTGTATCTTGCCAAGCTGGCCGAGCAGGCTGAGCGCTACGAAGGTATGTGGTAACATGATTCTGATAATGGCATAGTGCCACGTAAAATTGGCTCAACTAATTGTTTTCATCACCAGAGATGGTTGAGAACATGAAGATCGTCGCCTCCGAGGACCGTGATCTTACCGTCGAGGAGCGCAATCTCCTGTCCGTCGCTTACAAGAATGTCATCGGTGCCCGACGTGCCTCGTGGCGAATCGTTACCTCCATCGAGCAGAAGGAGGAGTCTAAGGGTAACTCGTCCCAGGTTGGTCTCATCAAGGAGTACCGACAGAAGATCGAGGCCGAGCTTGCCAAGATCTGCGACGACATTCTTGACGTTCTCGACAAGCACCTTATCCCGTCTGCTAAGTCTGGAGAGTCGAAGGTTTTCTACCACAAGATGTGCGTTTATTAATTATACATTATTCTTTGCTTTCCATCCTGTTGACAATCAAAAATAGGAAGGGTGACTACCACCGCTACCTCGCTGAGTTCGCCGTTGGTGATCGACGAAAGGAGTCCGCAGACAAGTCGCTTGAGGCCTACAAGGCTGCTACTGAGGTCGCCCAGACCGAGCTCCCTCCCACGCACCCCATCCGTCTTGGTCTTGCCCTGAACTTCTCCGTCTTCTACTACGAGATTCTCAACGCCCCCGACCAAGCTTGCCATCTTGCGAAGCAAGCTTTCGACGATGCGATTGCTGGTAAGTGGTAAAATAAATGAAGTCATGGCAATGTGGGGCTAATATGTAAATCTCTAGAACTCGACACCCTAAGCGAGGAAAGCTACAAGGACTCGACTCTCATCATGCAACTCCTCCGAGACAACCTCGTATGTACCCTTAGTTACTCTGACCGTTGTGCGATCTACTAACATAAAAACCTAGACCCTCTGGACTTCTTCCGAGGCAGAACCCCCCGCGGAGTCGGCCGCAGCCCCTGCTCAGGAGGCTGAAAAGACCAGCGACACTCCGGCCGAGGAGCCTAAGGCTGCTGCCGAGTAAGGAAAAGTAAAAAAAGCCCGCGTCCCTAACTAGTCTCTAGATATCAACGGGGTCGACTATGGAGCAGGGTGGAAACTGGTGTCTACGGAGTGTCTGCTTGAGAACCCTCTTGCTTGAGATTCTGCATTGTTTTGTTTTTTTCCTCTTACGTGGCAAACGCACAGATCAAGTCCTTGGAAGGGTTATCTTTTCCTTAGGCAAAAGGGCAGAAGAGTTATTGGAAGTTCTTTCACAAAAAAAACTGCTCACTCGCCCTTTAGACTCTTAATGCAAATTCGTCTGGACAATAAACTCCATACTTGTCATTGCGCTTGCAATATTAATGATATGAATTTCAGAACGACAGGTAGTCTTCATAAAACACAGTAAAATTAAAATCTGCGAAGCATGCAAAGATATTACCCGCGTCTCGACAAGTCCAGATTTGTGGTTTTCAGTTGTAATATGCCATGTATTTTGAAGTTTTCCAGCGTCACCATCTGTGTTTACGTCGTATTGTTACCAAAGCAAGCACTTAATATTAATTATTTCAACAAGGTCATGTTACCGTGGTTTATCTTATTCGTAAATCATCTAACGTATTCTCCGTGCCTGGTTAACTCCGCGCTCCTTGTCTTTTTTTTTTCAACCCGAGAAATATTACGCGAAAACCGAAGATCATACCCTCCCAGGCCTTTACTCCTCACGTGCTCTCGTAAATATGCGACTCTCTGGAACAATGCCGACTTGGCTTCGCAGGGAACCTGGCCACGTGACAAGCTCTGTCTGTGGGGGAAAGAAGCGAGAGCAAACATATGACGGTACGAAGAGAGATTGAACGAGGGCATCACACTGAGGCCCGCGGATTTTCCATACTAGGTAGTTACCTCTTAGTACCCGCCGTCGCAGACCCCGATAATGAGATGCCCCAGTTGAAGCTCCAGTTAAATGTGAAGCCCCTTCCCGTGCCCCTTCCCCGTCTTTCCCCTTCTGCTGTGACGGCACCTTCTTCATCTCTCCTTGTCGCCATCACCGTTTCATCGGGGGCTCCCCTATTACTACTGACGGGTTGAGCAGCGGTAGCGGCACCATCATCCTCTTCCTCCGCTGCAGCGAAGAGAACCCGGACCCAGAGACTACAATCGAGGCACTCAACCATTAAAACGCCGTCCTCTTCGAATTCCTCTAGGTTCCCTTCGGTGAAAGAGTATCCCCGCGCATTGCCGCATCGGCAGCTACGGTAATATACACCTGTGCGCTCGTCGAAGGAGACGTCATCTAGATCTACGGTCTCAACGCCGGTTCTAAACGTCGAAGAGGAAGATTGGGTTTGTCGTTGCGAAGGCGATGTTCGCAGCACCCGGTCGTATTCAGACCGCTGCTTCCGGTCCGAGAGTACTGTGTAGGCGTGTTGAATCTGATCTACTGTATACTGGATGCGCGGCTGGGATCCTGATTTTTGTTTCGCAGTTGATTTTGATGCTGAAGGTTTTGATTGTGGTGATGAAGATCCATCTTTGGCGCTGGTTAATTTATCCGGATGATATTTCAGTAAAGCTCGGTGATAAGCTTGCTTTACTATTATCTGCTGCTGGGCTACGCCCGCTTGCCCCTCTAGATGTTTTGGAGTCAAAGCGAGGATGTCATACAGCGTTGGTTCCGCTGACGTATTGGATATCGAAGGTGCCATTTTATCATACCATCAGAGAAAAATAACTGGCTTAATAGACTTAGGAATTTGGCCAATTAATCTTGTAAATTTTGCGGACTTGGACGCCCTTATATCAGGGTTGTTTGTCAGTGTGTTCAGTGGCTTCGTTTGTACCTTATTAGAAACCGGTTTTGAGGAAAAAGTCAACCAGCGCCACGTGGTCACGTGAGCTAATTTTTTGATACCGAAATATGCAAAAACGCAAAGAAACGGATTTGACGAGACAACCTGTAGAGAAAAAATCACTTGAGAACTATACCTACCGTTTCTAACTCAATATTTTCTTGGTTAGTTGTACGGCGATATTAGCATCTACTGTACCCTTTCAGAAAGAAAAGATCAGCCTAGGATACGATGAAAGCCATGTTTTGAGTGCTTGGGATATGGCTGGGACTCTTTCGTATTGAGTAATACATAAGTTTTATACAATTTGCCTCGTGGGCAATGTAATGTCATAATATCATAATATCGTTGCTCATTTTGGATATTTGGTCCATTTGACCTTTCCGGTCTATCGTTTTATGTTAGCAACATAAGATATAACGGAATATAGCAAACTCACCTTCCGCCATTCCCTGATAAGTCTCGGCATGCCCAACATAGCTTCTCTCCTCTTCTCCATCCTGCCGAATATGTTAGTATTGATTTCACCCAGTATATCCCCAACTACCAGAATGACTGCATAAAGGGCAGAATCTCAACATACTTGGTTGCCAGCATTCTTTCATGCAAGTGACCCTTGACAGATTGGCCAACACCAGTACCACGAACCCTCAGACCATGCTCAACTCTTGTCCGTATCCGCTCTTCAGTACCCTTAGATGTAAATGGTAATAATTCCTCTACTCCCTGCTCTCTTGCTAATTTGACCAATTCGGCCTGCCGTCTTAAGGAAAACTCTGGATCGTGCCATCTCCCAGTGACTGGGTGTTTGTGTGGTAGAAAAGGATTAGGCGTTGCGCCGTCCTTAATTGTATTCGTTCGGGTCGAGGTAGGGAGGATCTGGTTCGGAGGGTACTTGGCGAAGAAGCGCTGCAGCCGTGGGTGCAGCTGCTTCGCCAGCTCGATGTATTTTAAGTTGGTTGCCATCACCTAGTCGTATTCAGACTATTAGTGAATGCGATTGAGAGTTGTGAATTGGAAAGACGTCGTGGGTGTAAATGTGCAGGGAATCGCAAAAGTGCAGAGCTCTCTCTCCAAAATTCGGTTGCGAATGGTAAAGTGACAGGGGTGTCTGTCTAAAGCAAACTCTCCGATTGGCTAGTTTTATTAGTAAGTAGCTTGAGCGGTCTTTTACAGGCCGTACCCCCGACAGGCCGATTTCCTTTAGCTCACTCTATTCATTGATGTTTGCCTTTGACCTTGATGTCTACAATCGCGCGGAATCAAATACAACTTCATTATCATATTTCATTCATCTCGACATAGTAGACGGGTTTGAGCCCTCTATTAGATCAAATAATCTGTCATTAACTCCTCCAAATACGGCACAACCCATCTCTTGAACCTAAAGCGATTTCAAAGATTCGATTATTCAATAGACGCCCTGTATCAGCGCCCTTCCACCATGGGAATGGAACCGCGAGCCGGGTCGGTCGCGCATACCAACGGCACCAACGGAGTAAATGGAACAAATGGCGTTACCAACAAGCGAAAAGCCCCTCTCGATATCGAGGAAATCTTGCGCAAAAAGAAAGAGGAAAATGAGGCTGCTGCCAAACCCAGATTTATCCCTAAAGCCGAGCGAGAACGCCTAGCTGCAGAGAAACAGAAAGAAGAGGAAGAGAAACGAAGACGGAAAGCCGAAGAAGAATCACAGACTAAATCCAATAGTATACCTAGGAGTGCTGTAGAACCCCCCAGACGGAATGCCGACCGTCGCGACAGAGATCGTGCGCCGGCTGTTCCTACGGGACCTAGAGCTATGCGTCAAGCCGGCCACGATAGACGCGAAGCAAACGATCGTGAGGATTCCGATACTCGAGGAAAGCCGAGGGGTAAGAAGGGATTGGTCGGAGAAAAACGACCGCCTCCAGAGGAAACAGAAGCTGCCTTAATACGAGCGCGGTACATGGGGCCGGAAATGAATCAATCGACATTTTCAGCCAAGAAGAAGAGAAGGAGAACGACGGAGAAGAAATTCAACTTTGAATGGGATGCGGAAGAAGACACAACCCAAGATCACGCCCCTATCTACGCGGAGAGAGCTGAACCGACCTTCTTTGGAAGAGGAAGGTTGGCTGGATTTGGCGATGATATGACGGAGGAAAATGCGAAGAAGTACGCTATGTCTCTTATTGAGCGCGATCCCGAAAATGGAGCTCAGCGAGCACAAGAACTACTGGATATGATGCAAAAGGCGAAGGAGAGAGCAAACCGCAATGGATTAGGAAAGCACTGGTCTGAGAAGAAGCTGGAGGATATGCGTGAACGAGACTGGCGTATTTTCAAGGAAGACTTTGGTATCTCGACAAAGGGTGGCTTGATTCCCAATCCAATGCGAAATTGGCAGGAATCAGGTTTACCTCGACGATTACTCGATATCATCAGCCAAGTTGGCTACGACGAACCTACGCCAGTTCAGCGTGCAGCAATTCCCATCGCCTTACAAGCAAGAGATTTAATTGGTGTTGCCGTCACCGGTTCAGGAAAAACAGCAGCTTTCTTACTACCCTTACTAGTATATATTTCCGAATTACCACCGTTGACGGAGATTACGAAGAACGACGGTCCATATTCACTAATCATAGCCCCAACTCGAGAGTTGGTCCAGCAAATCGAAACGGAAGCAAAGAAGTTCGCAGTGCCTCTTGGTTTTACTGTTGTCAGTCTTGTCGGTGGACACTCGCTCGAAGAGCAAGCCTTTGCGCTAAGAAATGGTGCTGAGATCATCGTTGCTACTCCCGGTCGTTTAGTCGACTGCATCGAACGGCGACTTCTAGTGTTGTCTCAATGCTGTTACATCATCATGGATGAAGCCGATCGTATGATTGATATGGGTTTTGAAGAGCCCGTCAACAAGATATTAGATGCCCTTCCCGTCACCAATGAAAAGCCAGACACTGACGCAGCTGAAAATGCGCAGCTGATGAGTAGGCACTTGGGCGGCAAAGATCGATACAGGCAAACTATGATGTATACAGCTACTATGCCTACAGCTGTCGAAAAGATCGCCAAGAAATACCTACGTCGTCCAGCTACGGTGACCATTGGTAACGCTGGAGAGGCTGTGGACACGGTCGAGCAACGGGTTGAATTCGTTCCTGGAGAAGACCGTCGCAAGAAGCGCTTGCAAGAACTCTTGTCATCCAACGAATTTGCGCCGCCTATCATTGTCTTCGTCAACATCAAGCGCAACTGTGATGCTGTCGCTCGAGAAATCAAGCACATGGGCTTTTCTGCCGTTACACTTCACGGTAGCAAGACTCAGGAGCAGCGTGAGCAGGCTTTGGCGTCTGTACGCAATGGTACAACAGATGTGTTAGTAGCAACAGATCTAGCTGGTCGTGGTATCGATGTTCCGGACGTATCCCTCGTCGTCAACTTCAACATGGCTACTTCAATCGAAAGTTACACACATCGTATCGGTCGTACAGGTCGTGCCGGAAAGAGTGGTGTTGCAATCACATTTTTGGGCAACGAAGACGCAGATGTCATGTACGACCTACGGCAAATGCTCTCCAAGAGTTCGATATCCAGGGTGCCGGAAGAATTACGTAGGCACGAGGCCGCGCAGCAGAAACCAACCAAGGGGCCCAAGAAATTGGAAGAAAAAGGGTTTGGTGGAAAGGGTGGATGGGACTAGATTTTAGCCAATTCTTACCTGCGCGACCTATCATGAGAGGAAATACAGTTATAATTGCTCATACGATGCCCTATCCAGGTAGTATTGCCCGGGTCCAATACCCCCTTTTGTGACTTGCTCCTATTTGGGACTGATTTTGATCACTCAGGTAGACCCAAACAGGAAGATTACCACTCTTCAAAGCCAAAATAAGGTATAGAAATGGTATTCATATTTAATTTAGAGAACCAGCTTACTCGAGAATTTAGACTACTCTATACTATCAGCTACTTGGAGCCAAGCTATCGAACCGACTAGACCTGGCCTTTCTAGAAGCCAAATGTGGTACGCAGTAGGAAAATGCAACTGTATCCCTTTTCTCTTTCATTCCATATTGCTTACCTGGATATTCACTACTGGTATTGACGAACATAAGACATCAGGTAAGAAGACTGCAGCCGGCTTTAAAGAGAACAAAGCATAAAAAGAAAGAGGAGAACGAAAAAGAAAATGTCGGTGTTTTTAACATATTATGCAGTTCAAGACAGTGCAGTATGGAATTTTCCCTATCTTAAATGGCGGTTAGTATTGCCCATACACGAAAATGCTAAAGTCGCACGACAGTAGACATGTCAATTGCGAACTTGATCCGACTTATCAAAATGTAGTAGCGGATGGAAGGGTGTTTGTTTGGCTTCATTCGCTTATATGTTGGATCTACGTTCTAGAATGCCCAGCTGAGATGCGACCCTGCCTGCCCTGCATGAGATTGTTTCTTAAAGTTGCAGATTTCGGGGGGTAACGGCCGCCTACAGCAACTTCCCAGCTCTGCCAGGTAGCCCAGGCACTAATATGTCGATTGTGGTTACCAGAGTAGGTAGGTACTCGCTCTGTCGGTATAGTACGTGTCTTAGATGGCCTTGAGTATCGTAACACTTTAATGGATGATCCCTGCACTTCCCCGCTACACCGCCTTCCTTCCGTGGCGTCACTTCCTCCAGATCTACTTTTTTTCCCTTCTCTCTTTCTCCCGCATTATACAACATCCCTGTCCATACATACGTCCATACTTTTTTTTTTTTCCTTGAACCCTGAGGGCCACCGGGAAGAGGGCACAATTGTATTCCCAGCACACACACACACACGCAATCAGAATCCTAAGGCTCTTGTTGGTCTGGTAAATTCGCCAATTCTGATCTGTCGCCTATCTTGATAATGCACAAATAAGGAAATCCCAAGTCTTTAGTACTCTCATTGCCATTGCCCCTCATTACGCGACTATACTGTAACTTTGTACATACCTACGGGATAACCCCTCCATCGTATTACCGCATGTGAAACTTCCGACGAGTCAACTTCTTGCCTGCATGTGTATTATATGACAATTGTATTATAACACTCTACTTCTAACTTACTTTTTCCTTTCCCTTCTTCTATGCATATGTCTCTGCGAGCCGCTTCCCGTATCGAGTCCATTCCTCGAATATCAACCCCGATACGAATTCGACTAAGACCGTACTCCCACTCACTCTCTTCTACTCCAACCACATCACAGTGGAGACGGAATCACTTCAGGCGCAGTCTTCTTGCCTTAAGCTCTCCACCTTCCTACGGGTATTCCTATTCCTAACCCAATTGACTGCCCCCTTCTCCCCCTTTCCGCCCCTTTCCGCCCCCTTCAGGCCCAATTATGCTCTTAGGCTAATGCGGAAGCTAAACCCAGTCAACCCAGTCTACGCTTTACGAATCACTCCTCGCTTACCTCAGTCTCACGTTCCTCCCCTCTAGGAAAGGCTAGAAACAACACTACTCTCCTTCCTCGACCCCTCGTCCGTCATTGCTCATACCGAAGACACAACATGTGTAAACTTGCTGGAGATATCGAACACACCGGGGGAGCCGCCCCGGACCCCACCCAGGGCCGTGAACTCCTTCCGACCAATGTCGTCCCAACCCACTACGATGTGACCTTAGAGCCCGACTTCAAGAAGTTTAGCTTTGAGGGTAAAGTGCTTATCGACTTCGACGTGAAAGAGGACTCTAAGTCTATCGCCCTCCATACCATCGAGATTCAGATTAACAGCGCCATCATCAGGTCTGGAGAGAGTGTTATTAGGTCAGTTCGTGTAATATAGCTAACGGGCTCCTTGGTTCCTAATATGTCTCTTCAGCTCGTCCTCAGCCATCACCTACGATGAATCCAAGCAAATTTCCACGATCGAGCTCAAGGACCCTATCCCGAAGGGCAAGGCGCAGTTGGAGATCAAGTTCATCGGCCTGTTGAACGACCAGATGGCTGGGTTCTACCGTTCTACCTACAAGAAGCCCGATGGTTCTGAAGGCATCCTTGCTACCACACAAATGGAGGCCAACGACTGCCGCCGAGCTTTCCCGTGCTTCGACGAGCCTATGCACAAGGCGAAATTTACTATCACCCTTATCGCGGACAAGCACCTGACCTGTCTCAGCAACATGGATGTTGCCTCCGAGTCGGATGTAATATCAGAATTCAACGGATCTGCGAAGAAGGCTGTCAAATTCAACACAACTCCCCTCATGTCAACCTATCTCGTTGCCTTTATTATTGGTGAACTAAACTACATCGAGACAAAGAAATTCCGAGTGCCTATTCGGGTGTACGCCCCTGCTAGCTCAGATATCGAGCATGGCCGCTTCTCGCTCGAACTCGCAGCGCGAACCCTCGAGTACTACGAGAAGATTTTCGGTGCCGAATTCCCGCTACCAAAGATGGACATGGTCGCCATCCCCGACTTCGCAGCAGGAGCTATGGAAAACTGGGGTCTGATCACCTACCGTGTTGTTGACCTTATGCTGGACGAGAAGGCCAGTGGTGCGGCTATGAAAGAGCGCGTCGCTGAGGTGGTACAGCACGAATTAGCACACCAATGGTTTGGCAACTTAGTAACCATGGACTGGTGGGAAGGCCTATGGCTGAACGAAGGTTTTGCGACTCTGATGAGTTGGCTAAGTGAGTTTCCTATTTGATTTTGGCATAGTAAAAAATGATCGGCTGACAGTTATCACCCATCTAGGCTGCAACCACTTTTACCCAGAGTGGAAGGTCTGGGAGAACTACGTTACTGACAACCTCCAGAGTGCCTTGGGACTAGATTCGCTGAGGAGCAGCCACCCTATTGAAGTCCCAGTCAAGCGCGCCAGTGAAGTCGATCAGATTTTCGATGCTATCTCGTACTCAAAAGGTTCATGCGTGTTACGTATGATTTCTACGTACCTTGGCGAAGAAACCTTCCTAGAAGGTGTCCGAAGATACATCAAGAAGCATGCCTACGGCAATACGCAGACAGATGATTTGTGGGCAGCCCTTGAAGATGCCAGCGGTAAACCAGTCAGAGAGATTATGTCTATCTGGACCAAGAACGTTGGATATCCCGTTGTTCAAGTCACAGAAGACGAGAAAGATAGCTCAATTCGAGTCAAGCAAAACCGATTCTTGAGAACCGGAGACACAAAACCCGAAGAGGACCAAGTTTTATACCCGGTTTTCTTAGGCCTTCGGTCAAAAGATGGTGTCGATGACTCCCTAACGTTAACGAAGAGGGAAGATGTATTCAAGGTGAAGGACTTAGACTTCTTCAAATTGAATGCGAACCACACAAGCATTTACAGAACAAGCTACACTCCGGAACGCCTCACCAAGCTAGGACTATCCGCTAAGCAAGGACTTCTAACAGTTGAGGATCGTGCTGGTATGATTGCTGATGCCGGCGCTCTCGCCGTGTCAGGTTACCAGAAGACTTCCGGTGTCCTAAACTTATTGAAGGGGTTCGATACAGAAGAGTCTTTCGTGGTCTGGAGTGAGATTATCGCCAGAGTTGCGACCGTCCAATCGGCATGGATCTTTGAGGATTCAACCGTTAGGGATGGGCTCGAGGCTTTTGTCAAGGAGCTGGTTAGTGAGAGAGCTCATAAGTTGGGATGGACCTTTTCAGACAAGGACGGCCATGTTGAGCAGCAATTCAAAGCTATGCTTTTTGGCGCAGCTGGTATGGCCGGCGACCAGAAGATCATTGCCGCCTCCAAGGAGATGTTCAATAAATACATGGCTGGCGAGAAGTCAGCTATTCACCCTAACATCCGAGGCAGCGTTTTCAGCATGGCCTTGAAGTATGGCGGAAAGGCAGAGGTAAGCGTTGTGACCTAGGAACTTATTGTAGTTTTTACTAACTCACATTTCAGTACGATGCCCTTCTCGACTTCTTCCACAAGTCCACCAATAGTGATGAGCGTAACACTGCCTTACGATGCATCGGACGAGCGAAGGGCCCGGCGCTAATCAAGCAAACCTTAGACTTCGTCCTCAGTGGCGAAGTCAAGAGCCAGGATCTATACCTTCCAGCAAGTGGACTTCGAAGCCATGCCGAAGGTATCGAGGCATTGTTCAGTTGGCTAACAGAGAGATGGCCTGATATCCAGAAGCGACTTAGCGGAAACGCCCCCATTCTGGGTTCTATGGTCACTATCTGCACATCCAGCTTCGCGAAAGCAGAGCAACTCCAGAAGGTTGAGGAGTTCTTCAAAGACATTGACACTAAATCGTTCGCCCAGCCCCTTGCCCAAAGCAAGGATGCTATCCGTAGCAAGGTCGCATGGCTGGAACGTGATCGTGACGACGTTGCCGCGTGGGTTAAGGGCAACGGATATGGCTCTAAGTTATGAGCAATGAATGATGATGGTGATGATGCCTCCGTACCGGTGTTTGAGGGTACTTTCCGGGGATACGTTTAGAGGAGGGTCTGAAAGAGATACCCGTAGAAAAGGATAGAGAAGCAATCACTAATTATATAGGAGCAGAAAAGTGAATTAATTAATTATATTGCTTTTAAGATATGCCTGACCATGTTGACTTCTAACTTATATAACTACATAGAAGTGAAATATTGGATATGATATTGTATTGTAATGTATAGTAGGTACTTACGTATACTGTATTAGCAATAGCTGTCTTATACTCGAGGGATATAGGCTTAGTGCAGGTAGACCAAGCCTATATTTGCTCTAGCTTATCCCCAACGAGGCAGTTGAAACTCTTCAGGGTTCTTCCCAACCTGGATGCAGCTGCCCTTGACGTATGTCGGACCGGTGATGGCGCCAGAAGACTAGCCAACAATTTTTAATTTTTTTAATACATGTACCAAGCTATACGTACTATGCGTAGCTCACGGAGTAATTTCAAGGGTACTTACGCAGCCAAGCGATCTTGGCAGTGATTTTATGTACCAACCCATGTACCTAGCCCCTCCTTCCTCCGATGTAATCCTGGTGAGGTCCGTCGCCGGACCCCGCCAATCGCAGTCGCCTCATTCCGTTTGTTCTGGGCTCTCACGTTGTCCGTTCAGCCCACGCTGCACGCTGCACCAGCCCACTTACATCAACCCAAAACACTAGGAAGCAGGCATGTACGTATAGGTATGTACCTCAGGAAATTCTTACCTCCATATCGCTGGGGGTTCACAAATTTCCTTTTCCTTCTCATTCTTCCTTCTTCCTCCTTCCACATATCAATTCAACCTCCTTCATCACCTAACTCCTAGCTCAACTCCCAGAAAATAGTAAGTCTATCAAGCTTCGTTTTTTCCCAATTAATCACTCGTGAATTAATTCACACATACCACCACGTTCACTTCACAATTGCTTCTATTTGATGACATCTGAAGCTACCCCACCATCCCACCAATCCTCCCCCCCTCCATTTTCTTACGACCCCTACGCTTTTTTTGTTCAATCTTATGTAGGCTTGATTCTTGAGGCATATATTCCACTTCTCTGTTTGAGTCACACATTTACCAAGCTTTTGTTGAGCGAATTCCATTGTCTGCCTACAAGGTTCCCTCATTTATTACTTGAGATTTCGCTACAATTTTTTTTCTCTTGAATTAGCTCAATTCAACTTCCACCAGCTGACTCAACGTGTTTCTACAGTCCCTAATCTAAATTCACGTCAGATTTCAACATGGCCATTAAGAAGGTCCACGCTCGTACCGTCTACGACTCCCGTGGCAACCCTACCGTAGAGGTAGATGTTGTCACTGACACCGGCCTTCACCGTGCCATTGTTCCCTCGGGAGCTTCCACCGGTTCGTGCCGCTCTTACGATGTCTCGAGATATCCCGCCCACTAACATCCTACAACAGGTCAACACGAGGCTGTTGAGCTCCGTGATGGTGACAAGAGCAAGTGGGGTGGTAAGGGTGTTACCAAGGCTGTTAACAATGTCAACAGCACTATTGGACCCGCAGTCATTAAGGAGGGTCTTGATGTGAAGGACCAGAGCGCAGTTGACAAGTTCCTCAACAGCCTCGATGGCACACCAAACAAGCAAAAGCTTGGTGCCAACGCTATCCTCGGTGTTTCCCTCGCTATTGCCAAGGCCGGTGCTGCTGAGAAGGGTGTTCCTCTATACGCCCACGTCTCGGACCTAGCTGGCACCAAGAAGCCCTACGTCCTACCCGTTCCTTTCATGAACGTCCTAAACGGTGGTTCTCACGCCGGTGGCCGATTGGCTTTCCAAGAATTCATGATTGTCCCTTCCAGTGCTCCTTCTTTCACCGAGGCTCTACGTCAAGGTGCTGAGGTTTACCAGAAGCTAAAGGCTCTTGCCAAGAAGAAGTACGGCCAATCTGCAGGCAACGTCGGTGACGAGGGTGGTGTTGCCCCGGATATCCAGACTGCCGATGAGGCTCTTGAGCTCATCACTGGAGCTATCGAGCAAGCCGGCTACACTGGCAAGGTCCACATCGCTATGGATGTTGCCTCCAGCGAGTTCTACAAGGAGGACGTCAAGAAGTACGACCTGGACTTCAAGAACCCTGACAGCGACCCAAGCAAGTGGATTACCTACGAGGAGCTCGCTGCCTTGTACAGCGACCTCGCCAAGAAGTACCCTATTGTCAGCATTGAGGACCCCTTCGCTGAGGACGACTGGGAGGCGTGGAGCTACTTCTACAAGACCCAAGACATTCAAATCGTTGGTGACGACTTAACAGTCACCAACCCCATCCGCATCAAGAAGGCTATCGAGCTTAAGGCCGCTAACGCCCTACTCCTAAAGGTCAACCAGATTGGTACTCTAACTGAGTCTATCCAGGCTGCCAAGGACTCCTACGCCGATGGCTGGGGTGTCATGGTTTCTCACCGATCTGGTGAGACCGAGGATGTTACCATTGCCGACATTGTTGTCGGTATCCGAGCAGGCCAGATCAAGACTGGTGCTCCTGCTCGTTCCGAGCGTCTTGCCAAGCTCAACCAGATCCTCCGTATTGAGGAAGAACTCGGCGACAACGCTATCTACGCCGGCGAGAACTTCCGCAAGGCTGTTAACCTATAAATCGGGAATTCAGCTGGAACTTGAATGAACTAATCTGCACGCGCTTTAATATGGTAACGAATAAGGGATGACTGGGGGCGGTTTAGCTCGGGAAAAATCGGTCAACCTAGATTATTAGCTCGTATTGAAATGAAATGAAACGAAAATGTGTACAATCTTAGAGGTCTCCCTTTTGTGTGAGTAAGGTACTCCGTGATGTGATGTAGGGACGACGGGTTTCTGTTCCGTTCCGTGGCTGTTGATCGCTGCCGTCCTGCCGTACCCGAGAACTCGGCATTAGCACGTAAACGATCCGGGTGTCTACGCTAGTTCATCGGACGCATAGACACGTAGAAGTCTAGCACTATTTGATATTTCCATGTGAGGACATATCAAACTTATTTGCACCAATGGGGATATTGATTGCGTTATTCTACGTCGGCTGTGCTATAGGGTCTATCAATGAGGTCGATGAGGTCAATGGATTTTACGGCAAAAGCATTGTGGGAACTTGGATATCTCAAAGAGCATATCATGCATAAAACATTCAAATATTAGCATATGGATATTTGTAAATGCTGATCAAGGAATTGTATTTATTATCGTAATATGGAAAGATCATATCTTCATAAACCTAAGTGAAATGCCGACCAACTAAACAGCATCGGTACCTGTCCAGGTACCTACCTGGGCAGTGAACAAAACGGTACTTAGAGAACCATCCACGCAATTTACGCAGGAAAAGTTTTCCGGTAACACGACAGAATACCTAACCAGATCGGATCTTAGAAACTTGCTTTGACCTACGGTGGCTTCGCTTAGGCAACGGGATGAAATGTGATAATCGATCGTCTAGCCTATTACCTGTCTGCTATGTCAGTTGAGCTTGATCCATCATGATTGAGATGTGAAGATCAATGCAAAGACTCCGTCTCGTTCAGAAGTCCGTTTAATACATTTCAGGTCCGAGGACCCGATGATATAAGAGGTACCAGAAATAAATAAAAGTAGGTGTGTATCATCATGAGAAGGGGAGTGGATGGAGGATGAGGTTTGGGAGAGCTTACCTTAAATTGATTAAGTGTCGATTAGGAATATTATCAGAACAATTGAAGCAGCAATATATACTGGAATAGTTCGTCAGTAGATGTTGACCATGCAGATGCAAATTCTTGAAGAGCTTTGCCAATGACTTTAGTTGAGAAGTGAGGAAAGGAAAAAAAAGAAATTTAGTAGACAGAACGGAGATCGGGGGAAAGATAGCGGTAAAAGTTCGGACTCTGGGTGAGCGATAAGAATGGGTCTCAGCGCTATGACCACCTAGACACAGTCGAAATCGACACACAATTTTCTCACTATTTTCTAAAATAATTCAATCCGCTAGAAACTTCACACACAATCATCTCCAACCTCAACTCATTTCTTCAATCACCACCAAAAGTCGACAACCACACCATCCACCAAAATGGGTCGTCTTCACTCCAAGGGAAAGGGTATCTCCTCCTCCGCGCTCCCCTACTCGCGCACGCCTCCCACATGGCTCAAGACCACTCCCGCCCAGGTCGAGGAGCAAATCTGCAGACTCGCCCGAAAGGGTGCCTCTCCCTCTCAGATCGGTGTTGTCCTTCGTGACTCCCACGGTATCTCTCAGGTCCGCGTTGTCACTGGTATGCATTATCCCTAGAATATATTGTGACTACTTGACTTTAACTAACCCCGAAACTTAGGTAACAAGATCCTACGAATCCTCAAGTCTAACGGTACGACATGAACCAATTCCCCCCATCGAAGCCGATAAAAAGGCAGCGCATATACTCTACAAATATCATGGTGTCTCTTCTCGAAACATCATGACAACAATAACGCCACTGTTGGTCAAGGCTGACGGTGCGATCTTTATATAGGCCTCGCCCCCGAGCTTCCTGAGGATCTGTACATGTTGATCAAGAAGGTGAGTACCTAACTAAACAATACAATGCTCGCGAAGTATATGCTAATATAGATACTATTAAGGCTGTCTCCGTCCGAAAGCACCTTGAGCGCAACCGCAAGGACAAGGACGCCAAGTTTCGCCTCATTCTCATCGAGTCGCGAATCCACCGTCTCGCTCGTTACTACAAGACCGTCGGTGTCCTACCCCCGACCTGGAAGTACGAGAGCGCCACCGCCAGCACCATCGTCGCATAAGCATTAGGCCTAAGGAGGGTTGTTTGCATGGAAATATGCTTGGTCTGGTCATGGAGTTCATGGAAGAAAAACGGAATTGCTTTTTCGAGCAGCCCACCACAACGATGAATTGCTCGGTGGTCATTATAGTCGCATTAAGATAGGCGAACAATGAACAATACGCATGACGAAAGATACCAAATACCAAAAATTCGTGAAAGTCACTTTTATTGCACTTTTTTATATTGCCTTATGAATTGCCTTGTCCTAGACTTTGTCGTACTCCCTAGCCCTAGAAACAGTATATCGTTCCTCGTAAATTGAGCAATGCCTCTAAACTAAAGCAGTGGTATCATCGTAGCGAAAAATGAAAAATCAAAGCTCTATCCTTCGTGCGACTGCGCAATTGCGATGCCTAGTTAATTTTTGCCCTGCCCTGTGCCTGAAACTCCGTTTTGATGCTACCTTCCATCGCCGATCGTCGTGCTAGCCACCTTTAAGTCGAAGAGGAAGAAGACGCCTCGAGATCCTTAGAGCGCTGGATCAGGTACTCGCCTAGAGTGCGAAGGGGGTCCTTAGGCCTGTAAATTGTCCAGTTAATAACCGTCTCAATAACACCAATAGGTAGTAATAACGTACTGCTCCTTAGCAATGATCTTCATACCATCCAGAAGCGGACCCGTAACCTTGGAGTTTAGGTACTGCCGGACGGGGGCGCCGTGGGGAGGAGCTTCAGACGGCATGGTGAAACCGGGATCCGGGTGCTGCGAGGCGGCGCGCGAGGATGAGTTGGCGTTGTTACCGCCGTCTTTCTCTTGGCCGTTGGCGGTTGTGCGGAGAGGTGTGCCGGTGCGGCCTAGAGGGCTGGGCGCGTTGGAGGTTAGAGGGGCGCCGGCAGTGTTGTTGGTGGGGAGGGGGGACTGGAGGTGAGAAGAGAGTAGTTAGTGGTTTGGTTTTCGAGTTTTTGGTATGTGTAGAGGAGAGGGAAGTCGCAAAGAGCTTGAGAGCTTGAGAGGAGGATTGGAAGGTTATAAACTGCCTACAGGAGCTTGCTCCGTGGTGGGAGCAGGCGCGGAGGCAGCAGCGTCGGTGGAGGGCTGCTCGACGGTCTGGGCGGGTGCTGCCTGGCCGAGAGCTTCACCGGTGTTACCAGCGGCGTCGCTACCCGTCGTGGGTTGGCCGTAGATGTGAGGCACGGGGACGGGGGTCTGTCGGACTTCGTCGGCCATGATTGCGGTGTTGGTGGCGGCGAATTAGGAAAGAAACACTGAATCCGGTGTCGCGCGTACTGTCCAAATTAATTGGGTTGCAATTGTTATGTAGGTGGCCGTAAAAACGGAAAGAAAGCCCCAAGGTTGTTGCTTAGATACGGCGGTGGAATTTAGAATTTAGGATATATATATATACAAGTAGCTTTTCAGAGTTTGGTACTATACTTTTCTACGGCGGGGTATGATAACACTGGGTATCAGAGATACTAAAGGTACTTGAAATTTACTTAAGCTTTATCGCGTGACTGCGCGTTTCCACACCGACTTGCCTTACTTTGGAAAAACCGCGTCCCACTACGCGTTTATTTAGTTCTATGAAGTCATTTGTTTGACACTTCCTTCTCTGTACCTAAGAAATTCCATCGTTTTCTCCTCCACTTATTGAAAAATCAGCCAAAATGATGAGTTTGTGGGATTTGCGATGATGGACGCTTTCCTTATTCGGAGGACACCGAAATCAAATGGCAAAGATATCGGCGCAACAAATGAGCCACCTTCCAAGAGGGTCAAAAGAGAGGAAGTTAGTGATAGTGATGAAGATTCAGACCAGGATATCAACTTCAAGCCGTTACCAGCGCCGCGGCGACTAGATACCACAACTTCTGGATTTGACGATGATGAGACCCCACAACAGTCGGAGACAGAAGTTGATGCTCCTCGAAGGACTGCCATCGAGAGTTCGCTTCCCGAAGTCAAGTCTGGGCAAGAAGCTCTTGACGAGTATGAGAACTTTAGAGCATCACAACAAGATGATGACTCTTCGACTGCGGAATCGAGGCTCAACTCAAGAAAATGGGTGAAAGGCAAGACTTCCCTCTATGTTGACGCCTTTAACCTAGCTCTAAATACAGTCCTCGAAGAGGAATCCCATTTATTCGATGAAAAAGAAATATATATCTTCAACCAATGGGACAAGTTAAGCTATGATGCTCAGTTCTTGTATGTGATTGAATACCAAATACTCTTAAGGACCCAGTTCTTATCTTTTTATAGATATGTGCGGTTATTTCTCAGGAAGACGGCATCGTGGCACCGTATAGCCCGTCTGCGTTACCACAATGACGTCCAGGATATCGAGCGAGCGGTCGTTGAGTTGCAGATGACCCGGGATTTGTCACCGGGCTCTCCCCATCTCCAGCCCGACCCAGAACATAAAGAGCCGGGACCCAGTTCCTGCAATCAAGGCCAGTGTGTGTTTGATGGGAATTTTGCTTTTGCAGACACGTCGGAACAATATATAACCAACATCGAAGAAGCCGTGGAGCTTCTAAGCTTGGATGAGCTGAAAGTCTTGGCTAAAGAAGCGAAGGTGCAAGGCAAAAACAAGGCAGACATCGCAAAATCCATCTGCCGAATGAGCAGTCAACAGGCTGGACTCTTTTCATTAGGCCTGCGACGTTCGAGTACCGTTGGCTCCGTGGACTCGCCAGACCGGAATACACCAGAAGTAGATTCACCAGGTCCAGTTGGCGATGATTCCAATAGGAGAAAGCATTTCCTCGACAAAATATTAGCTATATCGGGCCCTTGTACAAGACTTTCCTTACCTGTCTTCAGACTCTTCGAGAGGGTCCACCTTGTTTTTTATCGGTCTACCGAATGGACAGAGAAGTCTTTAACGACTATTATCCTTGCGAAAATATCTAAACGAAACTTCCCGAAGTACGTTGTTAGCAGGTCAGCTAATATCTTTAATTCGAGGGCTCAGCTGCTGGAATTTGAGACGGCCATGAGGACAGAATACACTGTCGATAATGTGTTAGAATTCAACGGACCCATCACCGAAGCAGGTTTTCGGAAGGTTATAGACACGTTCGAGGAGATATACCCAAGATGGAAAACGTTGCTACAAGAGGAACAGGAAAAAGAAGAAAGAGTTTATGAGTCTGGAGAGGGCGCCTACCTGAGGCGGCTCAACCCCGCCCATCCGTATACCCGAATTATTCATAAGGCCGCATACGTCTTCGGTCGGTTGAAGGAACACCAGCAGGAGCATGCGTTGCTAAGCGAATTGCTTGATCAACGTCTCTTTCATCTAGCACGTCGAGGCTCTTGGTATCAACGGAAAGCTCTTCTAGAGGAACATTATATGTACGCTTTGGAATCTGACCCTGCTTATAAGAACACAGAACTACAGAAGAAGCACTGGAAACGAATCGCTGCGACTACTTGCGAGGCTGCTCTGGAAGACCGAGATTGTCATCTGATATATCACTACGATATACAAAAACGATTAGTCAAACTCGAGAAACAACTTAAGATCCCAAAGCGCCTACAACACGACTTTGGTCACGTCCGACTACAAAAACCAGAAGAGCAATTTGTTGAGGGTATTCAATTAAAGAAGGATGATATAGTTGGCAAGAAAGGACGAGCAGCAAGCACCAAGACTACATGGGTAGACGAAGCCGAGGGAGGAGGCGAATGCAGTGTGGAAGCCATGTGCCTAAGTTGGTACCGAACCCAAGGATGGAAAGGATACCATGCAGAAGGGGGCATCGTAAGGACACTTTTTGCCTACCTCTTTTTTGACATCTTATTCCTCTATATCCCCAACGTCTTCCAGACAGCATATCAGACGTGTCCTTTGGACTTGCATTCAGATGCCTTTTATCCGACTCGGGCGTCAGAGATTAATCATCGGCTCGTTGAGATCGCGAACGGTGGGGCGGCGAGACTAATCGAAGAAGTCGACAAGCGGGAGCGCAAGAATCGTACTTGCGTTGTTGGTCTGAACTGGGACTACGAGCTGGAGGACCTTCTCGAACTTGCCGGCAGCTTCGACGGCGCGGCACTAGCTTCCTTGTGTAAGGTCATGGCGCAAGAGTACGGGCAACGGGGCGGCGGAATTCCGGATCTGATTCTTTGGAGGACGGATCCAAAACAAGAAGTCATGTTCGCGGAAGTCAAGAGTGCAAACGATCGTCTTAGTGATACGCAGAGGCTATGGATTCACGTTCTAACGGGAGCGGGAGTCAAAGTAGCCCTGTGTAACGCCGTAGCGAAAGAGATCAGGGAAGTCTAATGAAGTTGGACAGAATTCCACCGCACCATGATGCGATTCTATTGGCTGGGCCACATTACTGGCCGCCCCTATATATGATAGGGGTAGTTACTTACCACTCATTGTATGAGAGCCTACTTACTCTCGTACAACCACAACCAGCCCTTATACAGCAAGAAGAAAATTCTGTGGAAGAAATGCATGTTGCAGGTTGAAGATTCCCGGACTTGGATTCTCGTCCTCCCATCGAAATGTTTACTCGGTGGCGTATTGGTGGCGTTCTACGCGTGGGGGGACAAAAGTACGTACGCAGGGCCGCAGCCTAAGGGTGGTTGGATATCGATCCGAATTGCCGTTCCGTGTACTCTGTACATTTTTCCCGCACCTTACTCTTGCCGTAAGTAGTTTTCAAGTACGAGGTACAGACAAAAGAAACGACACGATCTAACGCACGCTTTCTGTTTAGATTATGCGTTGTTCTGCCAAGGGGTTGCCGAAGGCAGTAAGCAAGTAGGCATTCATTGTATAATGGCCAAGATCAAAAATAAGCAACTACTCGACAAGACATGACCCGTGCTATCTGCAGATGGCTCTCGTTCGCAGAACGATCCTGATGAGCTGGATCCACGGATTTCGCCCAAAGTAAATCGGCAGGCAATGCCTTGCTCTCGCATACATGCGCCCTATAGTAGCTCACATAAGTAGCGGTCAATAGTTCACGAAGCGGAGCCTTGCCGGTTGGATGCTTATATCCAATGCCAATGTGGATACTTGATGCCAGTAGTAGCCGAAAGCAGTGAGATGGACATGATATTGCGCTTTGATAATCCTCCACGCTAAGGAAGCAAGCACTCGTACTAAGAAGGCGTATCGTGGCATATTCTCGACGGTCTTGAGGATATGTTGAGGGTATCATGATTAGGCCTGGCTAGACGCATCGGCATTCAGGAGCAAAAGACGAAAATGCACTTTTTTCCCTGCAAAATTTTATGATAAGCGTATCCTATCCATGCCCAGCCAGTAACAACCACAGCACGAAAAAACCACATGATGACGTTATACGTACGCGTATACACCATTATCTCCAAGTTAACTGCATATTATCGAGAAGCGAACGTGTAATATGGACATGTTTGCCGCGATGGCTCAAGTCGGCTGCCACGTATCTAGTTTCACTTGCAGCTTCACGCGCTTAGACGAGATCAACCATTTAGTAGCTCCAAAGCGAAGGACCCGTGATACCGTGGGGATCCGGCTGTTGGTCGACACGCATATGCCTTCTCTAGTCCAGGTTAGCATGTTCGTCGAACCCTGTAAACAGCGACGGAGATGGGTCCTCATTGAGTAGAGCCTAGATGATCTTGCTCAAGCTTCGGATACAGCAGACCATTGTTGGTATTAGTGTTTCATCCTCTTGTTGGATACTGCAACGGCATTCCTTCAGGGATTCCTGAAGAAAGGATCTCGGTTCCTAGTGTCGACGACTAGACCAACAACATCGGCATTGCGATATTTACGATGTGCTAACACAATTAACCCCAATTCGACTGGCAACGAACCGAGATCCTTACCACACTTGACACGGATCTGGTATTCATTTCCAGTGGCTATCAGTAACCCTTGACAGGTGAAGGCCAATAATGAGTGTCGAGGCCGAGCTACCTCCAACATACCTTATTCCTCGAGTGCGAGGGTCTGGTCTTTGCTATACCGGAATGGAAGCTAGGCGCGAACGCTCCTTGCAGAAATGCGAGGGAGACCATATCTTTAGCAACCCTTTCGAAGAAGCCATATCTTAAGCGCGCAAAGAAGACTAACGAGGGTAGTTGGAGGAATAGTCAACGTAGTTATTAGCATGGTTGTGCGGCGCTTAACTGAAGTATGGCGGCTCCACAGCATTGGGTAAGTTGGGGAAGCTGACTGGCATAGAAGTCTTCTAGATGATTTTCATTTCGAGTTAGGAGGAGTGCTTAATTGTCTCCGTGGCCTCGAGATCTGGTGTAATGGCTAAAGAGACCCCCTCGGTTGGCCTGGCGCCCATGTTGTAGCTCGAGGAAGCGCGCGCTGGAGTGTCGAATATGAGACTCAAAAGAAGAGGTTTGTGGTGAATCGTAGACCCCAATTATCAAAGGCAGATTTTGTTTAGATCCTTCTGACCAACAGCAAGTGCGGAATGTCTTCAGCCGGTGTCGTGTGTCATGTGGCGCGCGCTCTGTCTAAGCCTAGCTTAAGACCGCGAGTCGCAAACCGCAACAAAAGCGAAATGAAGATTCTATTCATGGAAAATAGACAACCTCTAATTGTGCAAATCTAATGAAAAATGAAGCAGACATGGGCGAGCCGCGCGCTGATTTGAAGCAATAATTCGGACGTACAGAATAATATCTGGAGGCTGAAAAGAAAATGATAAACAAACAGCAACAGAACATAAATGGCACCAATCCCCAAACTTCACGATCATCAGTCTTCCATGTGGTCATCTGTGAGTAAGACACTCAACGGAACGAACCTTGTCCAAGCTTCTTGTGGGCCAAATCAATCAATATCGACATTGAACGAATATACCTATCCAGGTACTTTACCTATCTCGACTTGTACAGTACAATACGGACATAGCCATCCGGAACAGCACTTTACGCCCAGAGTCAGCGCACGATCCACTCTACTCTTCAGCTCATTCAGCTCAATATCGGACAACCTAGTAAAGGGGGCTGAGAATCACAAAAAAGCAAATTTTCTTTTACGATCACAGGGTTCCTTGCCGCTGTGGTCTGAGCTAAGGTGAGTTGTGTGAATGGTGGTGATGAGAGGCTTGTTTCCCCTTCGTGATGGGAAACGAAGTGGACGATGCGGAAGATGGAAGATGTGGAAGAGGTAGAAAAAGACAGGGGGGGATGGACGAGGGGAAACGTCAAATCAGAAGAGTGGGCAACGGAACGGCGCTAATTCAGGGACCCAAATATAGCAAATACCCAGTAGCGGCAGCGCTTAAAACCACAAGTACCGAATACCTCCGAGCCACTCAAATCCAGCAGAGCAATCCCGGTATATTGCGCCTGACAAACCAGACTTACTAGGTCTAATCGACCAATCAGATTCAAGAAACTACAGATCCTTGAACTGAATTGGCTTAAAGCAACGGCAACCCCAGCGCAGGTCACTTATACCTTTTAGGGGCCATTTTGAGCTTTTTGGGGGGGAAAGTGTGAATCAATTTTAATCAGAATGTAAGTTTAAGTGTTTCTTCTTTTTTCCTTCTCTATTTCTCTATTCCCTCCCCTCTCTCTCATAATACATATACCTAGTAGGTACTATACTTATGTCTTCTATGTACCTCTCTTACATGTGTACATTCAATGTTCCCATCCCATCCCCTACATATATGTAACTTCTACGTAATCTTACACAGCTCAATATAACTTACTTGGACTAATCAAATATTAGAGTCAGCAGCACGAAAAAAAGACACTCACATATATACATATCTACCTACATAATACGTACATACGCTATACACATCTACGTACAATCAAAGCCCTAGAAAGGTTGGTACTCCTAAGGGGGCACCTGATCCCTGCCGCCTATAAGCAACCAATCCCAAGACACCTTCACTTTGCACACCCACTACTGGCCCACCACTGCCGCCGCCCTCGAGCTCGAACTTGACCTTGACCTTTTCTCTTCCCGCGCCAACGCGTTCTTTCTTTAATTCTCTCCACTAACTGGGCCACAAGCCGACCTTCCTTGTTTTCCATCGTCCCCCGTGTCCGTTTTTGAACACCCCCAAAGCCTACAGCGCGTACGGACAATAAACACATCCAGCATCCGTCGGTCGTGGTATCTTACTCGGTATAAGTTACCTACCAGAAACAGACCTACCCGTCTTAGCCCTCACACACACGCGCACACACGCATACACCCCCGAGGATCGTCTTGGAACCACACCCCCCTGCCATTGGATCTGTCACATCGATTTAGTGTTTCTATTTAGCTGGGGAGTAGCTTAGCTTCCCGTTGGCGCCTTCGTCTCAGCATCGACTAGGCTGCTCGCTCGGATCCTTGTCCCCACGCATCTATCTACCTTACCCTTGACCTCTGCCGAAGTTGCATACTATAACTACCTATCTGCCCCTCTCACCCACTACTCACCTGGTCTCGACTCTTCTTCTACCACGGCGACTTGTCTGTGTAGCTTGTAGGCATCCCGCCCTTCCTATCCTTGAGTCATTCGCTTGACTTGAAGCTATATCCTAACAAACAACACCTACTTAACTCCACCTAAGAACCTATCACCATGCCTACAAGCAAGCCAAAGCTCGCGCAGTTGACTACTCCAGTCACGGCGACCTTCCCTTCAGAGCTCTCTGCTCTGTCGGCCAAGACGCCTCTATCCGCAGTTCCAGACTTTATCAAGGAAGAATTTCCCGGCAGCGCTAGGACTCCTATCAGTCCACCTACAGCCTATATGGATTTCCTCAAGGCCATGTCCATACCCTCGCCAGTTATTCCAGAGAAGAGATCATCGGGAACGAGCACGCCAGAAGATGATTCTACACAAAATTCAGTACCATCTACCGCTAGCAGCGAGCAAACAGACTGCTCGTGCAAGTGTGGCAATCATAAATCACCGGCCGGCATCCCGCCGAGCCCTTTTTCACGTCAACCAATGTCCGCACCACCTGCGGGAGCAACATCGTTCCCTAGCCTTCATATCCCACCATCCCCCGCCTTATCAACGATAGATTCACCGCTAAGTGCCACGGCACGATCTCCATTCAGCGCGAGATCAGTACGGTCACCGTTTGACTGGGAGGCGGCATTGAAGTCTAGGTATTCGCAGGATTGCAGAGCACACAAATCGTCAGGGAAGAGTGTAAGGCATATTCGAGAGGTTGTCACGAGAACCGTTACGTATACGCCGAGAATGGACCCGGCGCCAAAGGGCAAGAGAAGGAAGACGACGCATCTGGACTGCTCGAAGGCACAAGCAGCAGCGGCAACGGCAACGGCGGCAGCAGCCCGAACTAGCGCGGTCTAATCAGACGATCGAACCCCTTGCCATGCGCTTCTCAACTCCGAATTAACTAAAGTCTTGACACGCTCCCCTAATTCTAAATCGGCTTCTACGCCAACAAATACCTATCTATATTCCATTTGTTCATATCTATTACGCTACTTCACTCATTCAACTCGCTCAATCACACACTCTTTACAACTCTCCTTCTCCAACATATTTATCATCATCAGCTCCACAGCAAAACCACCGCTTGAATTGGGTCATTATTAACCTCCAATTCAACTCAGAAAGCGGTGGAAACGATTTTATGGCTTCTTTACGACCTAGATCTATGGCGTGTCTGGCATTACAGAGAGGGACGGGATTTGGGGCGGATTTCTGTCAAGAAACTACGATGGAGTTAATTGGCGTTTGATTTTTTTGTATTTGTGGGCATTAGCGATTCTGGGTAGCCGAGGAAGCTTGCAGAGCGATACCAGGGAGGATTCTTTGGATTATTCTTTGATTTTGAAGTATATGGGTGTAACCCCTTAGGAAAGGGGGGAAACTAACGGAAATGTGAAGGGAGAGAGCAAGTAGTACTACGATTACTGTTGGGTCTCTATGGGATAGGACGGAATGAAAATTCGTGTAGCCAACATTTCACAATACATGGTATCCCTTAGCTTACTCCCCTAGAGGCTCCATATTCGAATATTTTGTGTTTGACACGAATAAATCTCCATAGGCGAGTCCTTTAACGTGAACGAGCGTGCTCTTTTTTTTCTAGTGACTGTTTATTTATTTATTTTGAATCATTGAATCATAAGACGGGAACGGACGTTAGGATGTTGTTCTCCGCTAACGCGACCATGAATGCGGCCAGGAGGTTGGGCTCGTAAGCGTTGACGATTTCATTCGTTTGGATTGGGCTAAGTTTTCGGTCAAGAGGGCGGCCGTCGTTGGTGGCCTCTGAATTTTTTTGCCCTCCTCTCCACCCTCCTGTCTTGTATTTGCCCTCTCACACGGATCTTTATTTTTGTGACCACGCGAACAGCCCGCGGTAGTAGCAACCAAGATTGAGAAGACCCCTGACCAAGATCGACCGCACTCTTATTCGCCCGTTACGTATTGGGTGCGTTATCACGACGAAGGCAGTTGTAACCGTGTGAATAGGGAGGCTTACACTACCTTTGGTACCTAGATAGGCAGTAGTCATCGTAAGAAATGGCATTATACTATCTCTATATTAATATGCCTAATATGCAGGAATCATGATTTTCTTCCTTTTTCTTCCTATTGCTACTCCTCTGTATGTCATATTATACTACGATATGCATCTTCAACCTATTTCGTATCCGGATCGACATTGCTTTTTCATCATCCGAAGTTTTGCTTAATTTTCCCGTGAGAAGAAAAGGACAGATAGGTACCTCACACTTGCGCCTAGCCTGCATAGAACTAGTACGTGCTATACTTATTATCTCACACGTACCTATATACATCCATCAATTATGTAGATAGACAATTAGGTAGAGAGGTAGAATAGGTAGAGTCAAAAAACCAACGTCTAGGTACCCATGTACTAAAGACGCCCGACTGCTACGATTGCGCGACATGATTGGCTAGCTCGTGCGTCCCGACATCCTGGAACTTGCAGGGCGGGGGGGTTAGCAGGGATGGAAGGGAAAACGTGCTATGCCTCGTTTGCTCTAGCGTTCCCTTTCGAAACTAGGACGGAAGCAAGAGCCAAAGGTGTAAAGGTGCAAAGGGCAGCGGCGCAATCTTCTTAAGCGCTGGGTTTTGGACCGAGCACCGACGCCCCATTGGCTCAACCTTACCTTCGCAGCTAAGGGGGGAAGAATGTGTCATGCAGCGGTTCGAACTCAACTTTCTTCCTTTTTATTGGTCGCAGAGAGATCCGTTTAAGCGCCCGCGACCTTTTGTCTATTAAATTACTTCCATCCTACCTATCAAACATCGCCCTTCCCATGTTATTGTTGCTTTCTACATGTCTTCTGTTCCATCCCCCCAGATCTTCTACTTCGACTTCCTTCTTCCTCCCGTCTCCCCCCCTGAACTGGGGATTTAATCCTACTGGCAATACAATGAATGAGCACGTACATACATATGTGAGATAAATAGGTAGGTAAGTAATATATGTACGCACTTTTACCACCTAGGTACCTTTGGAAGAGGATGAGCCCGTGACGGGCGGTGAAGAAAGAAAACATGCAGTTGAGTAGCAGTGGGGTTTCGCTTCCTTCTCTGCCTGCCGCAAAGCAAAGCAAAGCGGACGGCCGCTACCGAGGTGGCCATCCATCCACCCCCGGCCGAACCATTCATCTTACAAACGGAAGCAGGAGACAAGACAACTTCCGTAGACATGGGTTTACCTACCATATTTGGCCCTCTTCCTCGGCAAACGAAATTGAGCAGATTGGGAACTCCTCTTGTCTTGCCAAGGGCTCATGACCCCAATATGAAAGAGGGGGCTTGTCTAGGTATTGCCCACCTAGTCCGATCACGACAAGGCTCGACCACAAGAACCCTCGCAGATGATTGAAAAAAGAAAAATGAAGCACAATACCTACAGACAAACAAGCGCTTAATCCCTCAACAGAAGACTCATACTTCGGACAGGCACCGCAAGGTAGAAATGCATCTGGCGGATGAAATTTCCGTGGGAACGGTGGCAGTGCGCCGTCGTCACGCATCGGGGCAGACGAAAAAAGTGTGACAAGGACCGCAGTAGCCTACCTGCCTTACCTCTTCAATGTTCCAGACTATTGTTTCCCCCTAGATCCTATCCGAACAGACCGGGCGATCAGAAGTTTCTGCGTGTCCTACCTCTTATCTGAGTCCGAAATTCTTTTATTCACTTTCATCTGGTCTGGCCTGTAACAAATCCAATTTCTCGAATTTTGCACATTGCGTGTAGTTGTATATTATGTGTGTGATACATCCGACTGTGTCATCCCGTCCTTACATACATACATGTGTCTGGGCGACCAACCACATTCAGATGATCGATTTGCTCAGAAAAGTTGGTTATCACAATTACAATCGAGAGATCCTAGTTAGTCCCAATCGACAAGTCGTTCTGGAAAAGAGGAGCAAAGAAGATGGTTATTCTCCGAAGCGAACATCATCCAGATCGTCCTTTTCTACCCCTGCTACCTATAAGTGCTGTCGCTATGGCTATCCACTACAAGGCTCTGCGCTGTTTAACCAAATCGCTTCAAAGTGTCACCGCCTAACCATAGGACGTTTATTCTAACTACATGCGAGGCATGATCCGCTTCGGCTACGGGCGCGGAAGTCGTTATTTAGCGACGCTATCGACAATCAGCTAACTCGCTTAATAACATTCCCTCATTCAGTATGTTTGATTGAAAAACATACGAATTCGAGGTGAGATAAGATTTCGTCGGGACAATATTGCATCAGAACAGGACAGGGTCGTCTGTGCCGCACGTGGAGAAGAACACGATTCCCATCCCCATGTCCCAACCGCACGAACCCTTCCCCCCCACGTCAGACTACCTAATAGGTAAGATCCATGTGGGCAGGCAGACCCGAGGCACGGTGTGTCAGACGGGGTGAGCAATACAGGTCGCTGACGCTGCGCGGGCTTAACTTAACCCAATTCTGATTTTATATCACATATTCCCGCCGTAGCCTCGCATCGCGTGGGCGTCTCGTGCCTGGCTTTTCGCGGGATTTATCTCGCTTTGGAGTCGAAACTACTGGTACGGGTGACAGCGGAGTTCACTTGAAACATTGGTATGGGGTTGCTAGTATCGCTGTTGGAGACTTTTCATGGCTGCTAGTCGATATCGTTGAGCTGATTGTGCGGTTTGACTCATTTTCTAGGACTTATTCTTCAGCTCTAGGCAGACAGCAGGACCGTGCGACGAGGATCGCTATTTGGGTGTCTGCCTCGAGATCCATTTGCATATTGCTGCGCTTGAGTCACTTCTACCTACCTACTTAGGTAGGAGATGGCTAGTTTGCGCATTGTCGTTTGCATAGGGTTGGGTCGGGCCGGGCGACTTTAGGCGACTTTTAGTCGAAAGAGCACCTTCCCGTCCCGAAGGAACGGTTGCTAGGTTCCCGCTTCCCTGTCGTCGTATGAACATGTTGTACACGGTCTCTCGGGCGTCTGTGTGTAAAGCGCATTCTCCTAGGTACACACTTTAGCTATCGGGTGTTCGTGGAGGCTCTTACTTTGTTGCAAGGCGACGTGAAGGTAAGCGTGTGAGGCTTCGTCAGTAGATTGAATGGCGAGAATATGCTTGGTTCTCATTCATATGCTATGAGGTGTTCCGGCTCTTAGTATATGCGAAAGGAATGCCCCCATGGCTTCCGCTGGAGTTGATGCTGCTTCATTTGGAGTGCTCTTTTATATGTGTATATGTCCCGTCTTCTCGTGTCGCGAGATAGTATTCGGGTAGTATGCTAATCATATGATGGTGAGGATAGACGTAGTCCTTCGATGGAAATGCTCTACTCGACGGTATACTTGGAGGTCAGTGTAAATTTTTGATAATCGTTTGGTAGAGTGAGAAGCGGCAGAGGACGGCTCGTCGCAGATGTGAGTGTAGCTTATGATTACGGTAGGGTATCCAGGTGACTCTGCTCCTCGCCTGTATGTTTCGAGGTTTAATCATTCGCATGGCTAAAGGATGGACATGCCTATTCTTTCCAATGCAGGTGAAGATTACATGGCTCTATGGTGGCAGTCATCTTATTATCTAGGTAGGTAATTCAGATAACATTCTCTCCTGCCCCATCCTATCTAATGATCCAAATGGACAGCGAGTTTTGATTATTGGTATTATTACAGGTATTCTTCAAGAGAACCTGTGATCGATGGAGTGGATCATTTTGAATTAATGTTTATCTTTACAGGTAGCCAACTTCATATAACTACACGTTCGCGATCATGTAGCCTTAAGACCCCAGCGCCATCCAAGTCTTCATCCTCCCTCAGCCAGTCTATCCGTTTTCCAAGCCCTTGGATTATGGATTGCAGAATG